AGCAAGAACATTTCGTCTTTTTTGTAGACCTTTGAAATAAAATACATGACTTCTATAAAAAAAAATGTATGCACTAATTCACTAATCTATAGAACCTTCAGCCATACATTCTCAAGGGAGAAGATACGAATAAGAGGGAGACGATTTTTTCGTGTGAAACTGAATACAAAGGGTGCTTTTACCTCGGGAAAATAAATTACTTTAGTTGAGGAAATAAATTGTACAACCTTGAACAATATATTTTTTTATATTCAGTTATGATTGCCATTACAAGATCGATACTATTTTCCTCAATGTATCTGTGCTTTATCATTCTCATAATTGTTTTTACTTGGCCTCATGAAATGTTGACAAGATATGTGTGAAAATGTTGTATTGTAAGAACGTATTATATTTTACATATTTTTAACATAATTTAGTTGGTTCTCAGACAAGACGTTAGTTCGTAGTTTTGTCATGAAACATCAATAACAATTACCACACGATACTGTATATTACAAATAATGATATTTGATAACTTAAAGGTATATGCCAATGGATGATCTCCCCATGCTCTGTTGGTCATGGGCATTGTTTTTGCCATACTTTACAAAACTGGTCAACGTGGGGTTGGTGAATCAGGAGAGAGGGATGGCCCAGTACTGTTTCACAAGCCACTCGCCACTGATGTAAGTCAGGCGGGGAATCGAACTCACAGAGGCACGCTCGTAGCAAAGTGCGCTAACCACTCCGCTGCAACTCCACACACATATCGCTAATACCTAGCGTTGAAAAATTACAAAGAAGTATTAAAATTCAACCTGTGGACAATGAGGTAAAACATTTTTTCCCAAGCTTTGAGCAGTGGTTTCCTCAGGAGAGGTCATTAATGCGTAATTGATTTTTCAATGCATCACCCCTTGAGGAAAGCAGCAAATGAGTGCTGTGGTTATTTTTTCGTAACTCCCGTCTAAAATCGCAGCTTTTTCAAAGTGTGAATACAGTGACAGCTTATTTGCATTCAGAGGAACATTTTCCATTACGATTTGTTCAAAGCAGAGGTTGTGTATGCTGCATGTGACAGGTTAATGTCCTTTGGGTCATTCTATTTTAATGCAATTTTTTTTAAAAATGTGCCTTGCTAGCAAGTACCATACACCACTGACATTCTTGAAGATGTGTTGTTCATGTGTTGAGCATTTTATACAAAACATCACACATTTTAGATTGGATATAACAGGATCATTTCGCAAGAAGTAATCTTGATTTTTTTTTCAAACATGAGATTGAAAAAACTGTTTCATATATAGAATAAGGCAGTTGTCACATTATGAGTTATTAAATCACGTATGATTTATTTATGTGATTACCTTCATGCTTATGTTATAGAGCTATCTCAACAAAATAAAATAATACTTTAAAATGCATTTGCAGTTTTCTATCATACGATTGATAAATGCATTATTACTAATATATAATGATTTTCACCGTAATTTCTGGTATGTAACAAACTTTAAGAACATGACAACTAAAAGTAAGAAAATATATTTTCTGCATTTTAGCTGTCCAGAAGCGGTCTAAGGAATAAACAAAAAAATATTTGTAATATACCTTAATTAGACTGCAGAAACATTACTCAACGATGTTTTGTTAGTGTTGTGCCAAAGGGATATATAGCGATTCCTCCTGGATGTATTGCTCTATGGAGTATTTACTAATATTTTCTTTGCTTCAAATTATATTGACTGCATTTTTTTAAATTTGTATTTGATTTTTCTTATAACTGAATATCAAGCAACATTTGACGTCTACCACATTTTGTCTAAAATTCTAATGTCAGAAGCCAATTTACTCCACATTATCTAATTTGCCTCATGCATTTGAATAACTGGCTGACGTTTAGCTTGTCAGACCTTGTTTAGGCAGCTGGAAGCTTCATTAACGTTCTAAAGTTAATAACAATTGTTAGCATAAAATTGGTTTCTACATCAAAGTGAATTATGGTGAGAATAAGTGTTTCGGCTGACAAAAGGCATGAACAAATATAGAGCCGACTGCATCTGTCATTGCTCCATGCCATACCAATTATCTGGTGTTGACCACCACTGCATTAGTAGGTTTTCAGAAATGGCGTTGATGCTCATACACCAACATATAGTGCAGTATGAACCCGGTGAGTTTGGTTCCTGGCCATGGCTCACATGACTGGATAGCGATGTTGAAACCAGTTCTACCCCTTGACCAACCTGCACTGACCATTGTAACACTCTTTTGGTCCCTGTAATTGTTATTATAGGTCATAACATTTGCCATGACAAGTTACGCCCTAGGCTTCGTTACTTATTCCAAATAATGTTTGCAATAATGTCTTATATTGTAAACGTTCATTTGAGTCATAACCTAATTTTTAGAAATGTTTTTTTATTTTAGTTCAATTCTTTATCTTCATGGACAAAAAAAAAACATTTCAGCATTTGAAGTAAAACGCCCTGGAAGGTCGCATGGTTCCCATGCTTCGACATTGTCAGTTGAACAAAATTAATGAAAATGCAAATTGTGCGCCTTGTTAGAGCTGTGCGCTGAGGTCCCCAGCACCAGTCAAGATGTAAAACAATGCTCGAAGGCGGATTTTGGAAGCATTGATTAATGCCAACTTGCAGCAGTTCTGCTGACGCTCTCATTAATTAGAATCTCCAACCTCTTTAGATACGGAGAGTCACCCAAATTAGTCTTTCTCACAGATATAGCATTATTTCTTTTGTCCACGGTTTTTGTCTATGTGCACTCCAAGCCCTTTGCAAGCCTGCATTGATTTATGGATATATGTGTCCCTTTGTCTGTGCCTTTGCATTTGCGTGCCATTTGTCTGCTGAAGCGTTGTTGGCAATTACAGCAGTATTTATCTTCCAAGTGCTTTACTCATAGATTATTCTCACTTGTGAAGTTGCGATTATATAATAACATTAAGTTTAAGCCCTATGTCAATGCACTGCTGCGCACAGGCCTTCCCATGTTCTACAGGTTATAGGGATGTATTGGCCATGCATCACCATGCTGTCCAGTGTGGGTTAGTGAAGGGGGTGCCCAGGACCAGTTTAGATATCACTCGCAACTGATGTTAGGCATGGTTGGGAATCGAACTCAGGACACTTGGTTCCAAGTGCAGTGCGCTAACGACTGCGTCACCGAATCATATAGCGAACATAGAATATAGTCTACCTAGAAATATATATGTATATTGCCAGCACGAGCAAGTACAAATCAAAGATAATCATCACTTTTGTGCAAGGAGGGTGACATTCAGGCAATTGGCCTTCTGCAGAGCACAGAATGTGATGTGCTAGAGGACCATTGCCTGAAACATCAGCCTATAATACATGATTCTGTTGTGAGGAAGTGTTGGTAATGAATGTGGATAGTTTTGTTCGTTTGCATATATATAGTCAGTTAAAAATAAAATTGACTATTGAGTAAATGAGACAGGCGTTGAGGCAATGCTTTGGAGGTGAGGGTTGGAATATCACACAGATGGGTGAATCTCCCACATGCACTAGGCTGTGACGGTGGTCAGGAGATGACAATACAGCACGTGGATTCTTAAATCATTCTGTGCTGAGCCTTGCGTGTTACGGCCGAGTATGGATGGATTTTATTCGGGAACTCAGGTTTTCTTCATAAATGACAAACACATAAAAATAAAATGGGTCAACCATGTCAATGCAGGACCCTCATAGAAAAGGTAAGACTCAGTGAGACTTTCTTGGATAAACAAACACATTATTGTTGTTGTTGTGATTCTGCTGGGTGAGAGCAGCTGGTTAGGCCAGTGGTCAGTGTGTTTCACCGTTGAGCCAATTTGCATTGATTTAATGGTTAGGGTCCTGCTGCTGTAATAATTACTGTTGGATGGTCGACACCACGAGGTATTGACTGGAAAAAGTAGGTCATTGTGTGCTGATGGCATAGCCTCAATTACAAAATATTAATTTTCCCACAAATACAGCAACATAAATCAATAACTCTCACAATGAAGTTAAAGTTGGCCACAGTTCTATTGCAATGAAGTTCATGAATGTCAATGAGCTCTTAACTGGCTAAGTAGAGTAAATGTAATATATACAATAGGGAGAAATATGCATCATATGCTGTTATTTCTTTATTTAAGCGTAGATTACAATTAAATCAAAGTCTCTTCATTTAAGGAAACGTGGATAACAGAGTGATACAGTAAACATGCAAAGAAATTGTTAAAACATCTAACGTATTAATTTTTTATATCAATATGAACATTAAATAACAAAGAATGAAAGCATTAATGAATAATAAATGTATATAAACAAATTGACAACTTAAAAGCATGCAGTCTACATTTTTAAAACTGTAATGAATATTTTCCAGTGACCTGTACAATCCAGCGTCATGAAAATGGCTCCGGTCATCCTCGCAGCTGCTTTTGGCTAGCATTGCGAGCTTCCAGATGCACTTTTTCGGCCGTCTGGAACGCTCTTCCTTCCGATATTAGGAAGCCACTGGAGCTATGCACTTTTAAATATCGATTGATAATTAATTTCTATAGAGCTACTTTTTGTGTTAAGTTTGTTGTCCTTCCCCCGCACCTCCGGTTGGCTACGTATGGTGCGAAAGAAGTTCGACATACAGACGAATAACCCCCACAAACTAACTGCACATCACAGGGAGGCCCTCATCCAGCAGTGGATTAGGAAAGGGCTGCACATGTGCTTGTTACCTACATAATCCAGCATTGATCTTTATTTCTCGACCCATTTTGTTGTTGATAGAATAGTGCGAATGATTCCAGTCACAATGGTTTGTGACTAGATGCATGGGCGTACATGTTACAATCGGTGTATACGAGTATGTTTTCTGTACACACTTGGAGGCAGACCATGTGGATCCATTTGAATGCGGCCGTTACATTTTAAGCGCTTGTACATCTGTGATAAAAATTGGCCCTTGGGGCTTAGGTTTAAGAAAACATGTGTGTCGCTCTTCTCTTGCAGATCGTACTGGTGAACGAACCCCACGTGGAGAGGAGTCTACACGTGAGCCTGGATGAAGGGGCCAGCTTTCAGAGGATACGAGTGACCTTCAGCCTGCAGAGCCTCCTCTTCCACCCGCACATGGAAGACTGGTTGCTGGCCTACAGCCAGGATGGAAAGGTCTGTGGGTGCTACAGTCACACGTCTGACTGCCACTGTGAGCACATAGTCGATCGACAGGTCACATACTGTGGGGGGGGCAAAGTTGGGGCACACTCATTCGCTTTAGGGAGCGTGAAAGAGTAGGCCGAAATAACCTCGAGAGGGGCTGCACCTCGAGCTCCCTCTAGCAGAGGCCCTTTCCACCAGCAGTGGCGTGAGTGAGAAATTGCAGGGCTGCACCGTTACCTTTGTGGTCACTGAGCTGTTCAAGTAAAAATCGCAGTGATCTATTCACGATGCTGCCATGGCCCATTCTGTTTCTATACACAATAACAATTTGCATCCCTTTGTTAGTCAACTGCTGGATGAAGGCCTCCTTTTATGTAGACTTGATATTTTCTTTTTTCAGTCCAGTAGTCTGTAATGCAAGTCTTCCCATTCCATTAGATGCCTGATGCATTAATATACTTTTATGACTTAAAAATAAGCCCAACATTAAGTTGGTGAAACATTTTTCATTTTATTTTACAATTCCCTTTATAGTTGTACTAATATCATTCATATTTGAAAAGACTGAGTGGAGTATATTTTAGCTGTAAAATCTAGATTGTCCAGTTGAGTTACTCCACTGTAAACCCACTCATATTCAGACTTGTGCCACTTTCATCACATGCTCGATTACATCCCATCAGATAGAACACTAAAACAAAGAATTGTGAACGATTATATATTCCGTTCATGTTTCAGTAGAATTTATATTTATTTATAGATGTCATCGGTAACTAGTAATATGTACACCACAGCATTTATACTATTGGCTCCGAAACCTTTTCTTGCCTTTTATAAACAATCCAGCTGTACGTGTCAATGGAACTCGGAAGAGACTGGCATTTGTTGCAAGAACGGGTGTCAGATGGCCGATATTACTGGTAAGGAAAATCGTGCACATTTATCATAACATGTTTATTGCTGTGCTTTGAACAGATATGTCAATGTAAATATGGTGGTTGTATTCCTCTCATGTCGTCTGCTGGCAGGGCTGTTCCTGATATCGACAAGGATCAGGAGCTCGTGCACGTGGAGGTACAAGGCGCAGATGGTGGTAGGTGGATATCGTTGCTCATTCGTTAGGAATGGCGTGCTTGCTATCTCTCTCCACAAAAAAAAATCTTGAGCTTCGAGGACAATATCGTCTGGTATATTTGTCGTACTTTCTGACAAAATGTACCAGCAACATTATCGGCAAAACCATACCGGAGGATAGCGTAACTATGAGATACAAAATCAACATAATCTCATTCGCGCAGTATTTTTAAATCCTTCTCGTTGTAAATGTTGGACACGGTCAGAGAAGTTACTTGTGGGGCCGTGTTTGTTTGCCAAGGGAGTTATGCGCAGGTGCAGCATCACCTTCAGCGCTGCAATGAGGGTTCCACTAAATTACGAGAGGCCTCTGCCATTGTGTATCACCTCAGCTTCCCACAGTGCGACCCTTGTGGGTTTTTTTGTGTTGTTGTTGTTTCAAATTAAAAACAAGCAACGAAAAGACACAGCCTGCGAATACTTCTCCGATTCTGTCAAGCTCCATCTGTTAATTAATTGTTTCATTATTCAAGGAGCATAGTGCTCTACCATCAAGAGCATCTATTGAATATCGAATCAGAGAAACTTATCAGAATCAAACATTCTGCTGCAAAATGCATGGCGTCCATTTCCTAAAATGAATTTTGCATCGTTCGTTAAAAAACGGAACGGTTATTTTGCTGCAAGTTCTGGCTTTCAATTGCTCTGGTTTGGCCTCTAAGAGGCATTTTTTACTGAGCATTTCCGTTCTTTAAGCATTATCAGCATCACTAATGCACCATTACAGATCTGCTCTGAGTCATTTCCACTACATACTGCATGTCCGATTAGCACGGTTGGCTGCGTACAGTGCAAAATAAGTTAAACATACATAGATATTCCAATTGCATCCTGAAGGTTAAGTGAGACACACATTAATGCATGTACACTGCAGATTCTTAAAGTACTTCAGTGTTAAATTGCCATAATATCTGTGCCATAAATGGCATGTGTTATTCATGCCATTGAAAATCTGTTCACTTCTCAGATATATCATCATCATCATGTGCGGGTGGATTGCTCTGTGAAAACGAGAGATTTCCCATATTCCTCCTGATGCTGTGCTTTCAGAATTTTACTACGTGACTTGTCCCATTTCAAACTGCACCGGCACGGCTCTCTTCTCGCCCTTTCCTGGAGCCATCGACCAGAACTCGCTGCTCGTTGAGAACCACTACGTCTTTGTGCAGGTAAGCCCCTTATGGTTTCACCTTTTTGTTCCATTCTTTTCCGCCATCTACGGCGATCGTAAAAAAACAACCCTTCCCATTGTTGTGCAAGATTACGAGAAAATAGTGTGAAACTTACAGAAATCGGGAAATCAAAGTGTTCGTCAATTTCGATTTAAAGCTTTCGTGACTGCAGGGATTCATCTTCTTGGTTCTTTCGGTCCATGCTTGGCAGTGTTCACTCAAGCGCTGTCTTCTGGACAGTCCTGTTTCTTCACCTGAGGAAGGCTACTCGTGTTGTGGCCGAAACGTCGTGAGAATTTTATTTTATTATGTTTTATTTTTATTATTTTATTTCCATTCTGCGTGACTTTACCGAAAGAACCAAGAAGATGTTCGTCAATTATTTTGCACTGAAGAGGAAAGGAAAATCAAAAGGAATGCAGAATCGACAGCGTTTCGGGAAATGACCATTCTTCATGCGGTGGTGCCATTGATGAATGTATTGACTGTTCATGCTTGTGCACTGTTGCAAATGCCATAGCATCACTAGTGCGAAGTTTTTTTAAAGACTGTGATGACCATTACTACAATAAAATTAACAGTTCCTTGAATTGTCAATTTAACTAACTATAGATTAAATAATAACTTGTAACAAAGTGAAATGCTGCTTTCAGTACTGTGTCAATAAAATAGTGTGTTTGGGAAAGGAACAGCATTTTATTTGATTAAAATACAAAAAAGAAATGTAATGTTTGATAGAAAGCTTTTTTCCCAATCCAAAAGTTACTTGAACACCTGCCTTCGAAATGAAAAGTGAAAAATATATTATTTGAAGATCTGTCAGCACATTATATGCGGTCTCTTACATGAAATACCTATTGTGTTGTTGTATGAATTGAATCCAACCGACATCTGTGCTGCTCAAGCAGCCTTTATAAAAAAACAATTTTCAAACAAAGATATAATTACTGGGGCTTAATTCATTTCTGGAAAACATGAAGGTCGTTTAGAGTACTATGATTGTCATCTCACGAATGTGAAAATGACTCCTTTGAAAAAAACAACTTTCAGCGGTCTTAATTTCTCGCGTAAATCTCCCCTTTGTTCGCGGGAATTAAAACATGGGGAGGGTTTTTTTTTCTCGTCTTCTTCTTCAATGGGATTTGATCGAGCTCAATCAAAACAGGCTCATTACTGATGTGATGGTGATCGATTCGAGTTTCCAATTCGAGAATAACTGGGAGTTGTTTGAGGAAGAGCGATGTGTGTCCGTGTTATCTGTACAATGACTTCTACTTTGTTTTGTCTGCCGATAACTGTGTCTCACCCAGAATTCAATGTCTTTCTTTACTTGTTAAACTGTTTATTGCCGCTTGACATTTTATATATTTTTTCGCATACATTTATTTGGGTATTTCTTTTTCCTTTCAACCTTATACTCTGGTCACCTTTGATGGATTAAACTTTTGTCCTCTGCACATAGAACTGAGTGTTTTCCTGTTAATGGGTGACAGACCATTTTGTGTACGGTGCAGGACAGTGCATACAATTAAGGCAAGCTACTGTGTCATTGTTTTTGTATATATATAGAGCGCTCATATACAAGGCTTAGACTACTCAGCAATCCTACCAACAGTGTTGGATGCATTGCAATGCAAGGGCTGTATTATCTACTATAATCATCCATAAATGTCTGTCCGTCCCGTGCGTGACGTCACTCCACGAGGCCCCCCCCCGCGTGACGTCACTCCACATGAGGCCCACCCCTCTCATTAATATTCATAAACTAACGCAGAGGAAGGTCGAGCTGAATTAAATAATTTATTATGCAAATTCGCTTCAAATATGACGTTTCTTAACAGAAAGAGACGGTCAACAATACATCTACGCAGCACAGTGCTATATCCGTGCGTGACGTCACTGCAAAAGAGAGCCCCCCCCCCTTCATTAATATTCATGCGCGCGTGGAAATTTACACTGACGCACAAGAAGGTCGCAATATTTACATGGCGTACCCCTCCCCTCATTAATAACCATGAGGGGGTGACGTCACGCCACATGCCGCACCCCTCCACAATATCCATTAGCGGGTGACGTCACTCCACATGGGGCAAACCCCCCCCCCCCCCCCATTAATAATCATGAGCTGAACAATTTTTATATTGAATATTGTCAGATTTACTGCAATATACACCCGTCCTTCGATGGGCAAAAAAGCTAGTTCCATAGATTAAAACTACAGAGACCACAGCAATTCATGCATTACACATAAACTCCCAGTACTGAATTGCAAAGAGGATCGAATGCCTCAATATGAATTCACATGGACACAGTGATGGCTGTATATGGTTATATATGGTATACTTATGGTGAGAAATGGGGAGCGGTAGTGTAGCGGTTAGTGCGCTGTGCACCAAACCTGGCGACCCGAGTTCGATTCTTGCTCATGGCCAAAATCAGTGACAATTATCTGAACCGGTCCTGGGCCTCCCCTAGGTCGACTCAGCCTCAAATGAGTACCTGGTGCGATGTGTAAACATTGCCACTGGGGAGACAAAGGCGGCCGGGCGTGGTGCTGGCCACCCACCCCCTCGTGTACCGTTCTGGCCTTCATAGGTGCTTGCTAACAGCACTTGCCCCAACAGTAAATTATAGGCTATACGGGGGATCTTTGTCTTTGTTTTTATGGTATACTTAGCAAGCAATATATGGCAGGTCCTATAATGAATGTAATACATGTGACACACAAAACACATAATTGAGAGCATTTGTAAATCCACGACGGAATGAAGGTCTTCCCATGCTGTGAAAGTCATGGATTGGGGTTGCTATATCATACTTCACCATGCTGGTCAGTGCATGAACCAAACTCAGGTAGTCATTGGGTTAATTGTGCAGTGCGCTAACCACGGCACCACCGCTCCATCTGACAAAAACAATTAAACAGAGCGAACAAATTGACAGAGCCATCATTTAGAGTAGAAAGTTGATGTACCTTTCCAGTTTTATCCTAATTATTTCTTAATCAGAAGACAGGTGGTGGCGTATTCACTCCCGGATGCTCCCAAGCCTCAAGCCCTGTGCAGTACAGGATTTGTGTAAAAATAGTGCCTGTGTATTCATGAATAAAGAAGCCATACTCGGTGATTGCCTCTGGTGATTAACGGTTGCATGGACACCAACTTTAAGGCTGTATGTTTCGTAAAAAGCTGGCCCAGTTAATAAGAAAGGGGACATAGGAATTATATATTTTTGATGGATATGTGCTGTTTCTTGATGTTCTGTTTTTTAAAGCAGGTTCATAGAAACATGTGCTTTCACCATACAACAGCATGTTGTTTGTTTTTATTTTCTGACCCACCCCTACTGGACATCTATGAAAAAGAGCTTCATAGCTCACCGGATTCCTCCAGGATAAATCCCGATTATGATTCTGAAACCTATATATACAGTAAAGGTGTACATGCTAGTTTGGTGGAAAATACATGTCAGTTCTTATATGAAAAAAATGAAACCAAGAGAATAATGAAAATGGGTCCCTTTAAAGGTGAAAATTGTTTATGACTGTCATAGGTTGACCTTTTAAAACAGTTTCTGTGCCAATTATCTTGCTTGCTGGGGCACGTGAAATCCTGAAGCAGTGAGAATCACAATGTAGCCTAGTTGCTTCACAAAGGCTGTCATGCCAGGAATATGCATCGTCTTTAATGGTACATCGGAAAATAAATGTATCCTACTTGTAGTACAATTTTTACTTATAGCAGTCATTACAGAAATCTATAGGTGGAAGAGCCACAATACAGTACAATGAAAGAATACAATATCAATTCATAATATGCGTTCTGTGTTAAGTTAGCAATACGATACAAATTGGATTAACATAGCGTCTAAATGTAACGACATCTCAAGACACTGTGTGGAAACTGCAAATCAACCCAGTGGATTGCTCTGTAATGATGTGTGTGAGACACCCACACCCATGGCAAAGGGCAATAAAGTACCTCTAGGTACCTGATAGGGTTTCTGAACTTTCTGTGCAGATTTTGAGTGACCTTCCCCTCCAATTGATGGATTTTTAATTGGGCACTCTGGTTTCATCACATAAAAGTACCGTAGCCATCCATAAAATATTTATGTAAATTAATTTGGTAAATATCCCAAGTAGGACTCGCCTGACAAAGAGGACGGAAAAAAATCACCAAGGCATTCAGGGACAAACAAAGAAATTCGGATTATCCTTCTCACTTACGGATGGGGTGGATAGTGAGAAATGGGGCACCGGTGTAAGCTCGCAGATGGGTGAGTTTGAGGAGTCGAATGCCCTTTTCTTGCTCTGAAACTTTGCGTGCTTGTGTGTCCAAGGTGACAGATGGACATATAGCCCGGTATTATGTCTCTCATGGGCGGAGGCAATTCCGGCAGATGCTGTTCCCCAAGTACGCCTTACCTAGGGTATGAGAAATGTCAATATATTCCCTTTAAGCAAATACAAATTATTCTGCCCACTGCGTTAAGTATGCTTTTCACAACTGTCCGTTTGCAGCGCTATCTGACCTCAGTCCAGATTGAGGCCACTCTGATGTTGCTCATATTTTGCTCTTCAAAACTAAATAAATGCATTATTGCATCACACGATATTCCATTTCGCCCATGAAATAAGAAAAAAGTATTTAAAATGTACAATGAAAGTGTGGCTTAGTCAATCTAATTACTTGAGAACTGCCAGTATGGTGCTTTGTATTATTAAATACCTGGATAAAAGTACAGAGTGGCCATTAATGCAATTATTTCCCGATTCTAGAATAATTTAGGATTACGGTGAATTGTTCTTATTTGCGAATTCACGAGAAATCCCGAGATGTGCTCTGACAACGTTGTGCTGTATAACCTCGCATTGGCCATTCTCGATTTTGGTCACGTACACATTTTCATTACATTACGTTTCTGAAAAATACTCCACTGCTTTTATATATATATTTTAACCAAATGTTATATAGATGCGGTTCTACATATACATGCTCAATTTGATAAGGCTTTTGCAGATGCACAAAAATGTTTGTAATTCGTTTTCTTTTCCAAAATATCACAATAAAGACTATGAAGTTGGTTACTTATCTGTTTCGTATGCATACGTAGATATTCAAATTGTATAAATAATGACCCCAAATGGTTGCTAAGACATCACAGACTATTTACATATTATGAGGAGGCAATTTATTTATAATAAGACATTATTATTCATATGCATCTATACACACATATCACATTCGTCTATATAAAATGTAACCCTTATCATGAGCACACTCATAGTATTATTGTTCATGACTTCAAAATGTACTGTTTAAGATCAAGCATATACTAGTAAAGCCATGTTTTGGCATCGTTCTGGAAACATTTGACTCCGCTTACATTCACATGGGTGAAGAACTGTTATAAGTTTACAGCAAAGGCCCCACACTCCTCTCCATAAAACCGCATTGATCAGGTATTGCTGGAAGCAGTTAGCTGAAAAAGAAACAAATAAAAACGATCTTAAAATACACCAAGCCTGGCAGTTCAGTGTGGGAGCAAGCGGCTCACAATCAGAAGGTTCAAATCCTGGTTGGGGGTTGACCCGACCCATTATCCCCCTGGGGTCGATAAAATTAGGACTGCCTTTTGGGGAAGTCGACCAGTCATTGTCCTATGGATAGGAATGTGGAATTTCCACTCTTGGCTCAAGGCCGTAGACAGGATATGAGCACTGCCTCAATGCTAATTTGGGCAGGAAATCGCTCCGGATTTAAAACAGGTGAGGCTTTATTGCGACTGGTCTCCGTGCAGTCTGCACATAGGCGCTAACACTGGCTCGCTGACGGCTGCTCTCCACGTGTGCAGGACCTGCACATCTTGAGCACTGGCGGAGAAGGCGTGTTTGCGGCAGCGCGAGACTGGAATCAGAACCAGACATACGGACTCTACTTTTCTGATGAGCGTGGCGACAGACTGACCCTGTCTCTAGCCAACGTTGCCTGCAGTGATATCCCGAGTGCTCCCAAGATCATAAACGTGCATGAGGTATGCCCAAGGCTTCAATTTTCACTGAATATTTTACACAGCAGGCAGCACGTGGCATAGTAACTACAGCCATAGAGAGAGGTGTATTTGATGTAGTGTGCTGGGCGCAGAAATCATGTCTTGGTCGCAGTCCCAGCCTAAATTTAAACCTTGGAAACTGGAAGCCCTGGCTGTCCTAAAACCTCAAGCGTGCTGAGCAATGCTGATGACAGGCCATGCAGGTTTGTTAAAATGTTTATTATGCTACGGGATTATTTATGAGTTTTCCACCCATGGGCATGTCCACGACTAAGGCTGTCTTCATCTCATATGTTGAACTTATTTTGCACTGTACGTAGCCAACTGTATTAATATAGCATCCCCCTATTCACGTCACAGCACCGCTCTCTACGAGCATTCTCTATCCATAGCTATGGAAGGGCGGTTGAGATGGTTTCCCCTTGTCTTCCTCAACAATTTTAGTTTTAGGTGAAACTATCAACAAATTCTGTTTTATCGATTGAGCATTTGGTGACTTACAGTATTTACTTTCTCTGTGTTTTTAAAAACATATATTATGCTATAACAATAGGTTTTACCCTTTCTGGCAATAAAACAGGTGTCAAGATAATCTTAGTTCTTTCGGTAAAGTCACGTTGAAGGGAAACAATAAAATAATAAAATATACATAAAACAATAAAAATTCTCACGACGTTTCGACCATAACACAAACGGTCGCCATCAGGTGTGTCGGTTTCCATACATTTATTTATTTTTAAACTGTGTATTTATTTATTTATAAAAAGCGTTAGCGCCACGCGCAGCGATTTGGCAGTTTATTTAGAAGGACTAGTCCATCTATGTTCTGAAAAGAGGAGGAAGGAGACGAAAAATTTATTTAATGTATGCTGTCTGAAAGCCACTGTAAGCGTGAACAATCAATTAAGACCTGAAATGGTTTATCAAATCTTTCCAATGATTGCTAAGCCAGAATCCATCTTCTCGGTTGAAATTGTCTCTGTGCTTGTATATGTGGATAGCCTCATGAACGAATCTCTCATGGTAGCCAGATGGCTTACAAAGAACCTCTGTCTTGGAAAAGTCAATGTCATGTGAGCCTACTGAATTATAACAATGATCTGCCACGGCCGAGGTGTTGGTCCTACCGTGTTTAAGGTCTGCTTTGTGTTCACGAATGCGGTCCGAGACATGGCGTTTGGTTTCTCCAATGTAACTACTACCACAGAGGCAACTTAGTTTGTAGACACCGGGGTATTGTAAGTCCGGAATCACGTCTTTTACAGACGGAACCAGATCACGGATTTTATGTAATGTGTTGAAACCGACCTGGATCTTGTGTTTATTCAAGATTTTGGAGATCTTTTTTGTGATCTCCGCAATGTAGGGTAAAGTGTGGGTTGTGAAAGGCTCCTCAAAAGGGTCCTTCTTCATGGTTTGAGTGATAGCTTTGCAGATTGTATAGTCGGAGTAACCATTAGCCTTAAGAGATTGGTGTACGTGCTTGAGTTCACTGCCTATGTGTTCCTGGTCGAATATGCATTGGGCTCTATGATACAGAGTCGTGATGAGATAATTCTTCTGTGATGGATGGTGGTGGGAATCCGGTTTCAGATAAGCATCCGTATGGGTAGGTTTCCTGTAGACACAGTGGCTCATTGAACCATCAGGTCTCTTTTTAATTAGGACATCCAAAAAAGGTAGCTTTCCATCTTTTTCGACTTCCATGGTAAATCTGATGGCTGGGTATATGGGATTAAAGTGGTCGAAGAATTGGTCTAGAGCAGGCCGGCCATGTGGCCAGATGACAAAAGTGTCATCCACGTACCTCTTCCATAAGGTTGGGCGCAGAGTGGCAGTCTGGATGGCGTCAGTCTCAAATTTCTCCATGAAAATGTTAGCTATAACCAGAGATAGGGGGGGGCTCATTGGGATGCCCTCAGTTTGTTTGTAGAAAGTCCATTCCAAGTGAAGTATGTATTGGTTAAACAGTGTCTCACCAGGGGGGGTACCTCAGTGTTTAGTCCTTGATGAACCAAGTCTTCAATGATTGCGATGGTGTCAGGTACAGGAACCTTGGTGAATAAGGAAACTACATCAAAACTGACAAGCAGGTCGTCTGGGGATAGGGAAATACCCTTGATTGTCGATACCAGGTGAGTAGAATTTTGTACCGCAGTGGTGGTTTTTCCAGTGAAAGGACGCAGGATTTCAGACAAAAAACGAGCCAGTTTGTAGGTGGGGGAGTTGATAGTAGAGACGATGGGACGAAGGGGTGTATCTACTTTATGTATTTTTGGTAAGCCATATAATCTTGGTGGCCTGGCAGCAGAAGGTTTCAACGAAAACTGTTTAGATTGATCAATTAATGCGGTTGAATCAGAAATGATTTTGTTGGTTATATAGCTTACCAAAAATACATAAAGTAGATACACCCCTTCGTCCCATCGTCTCTACTATCAACTCCCCCACCTAAAAACTGGCTCGTTTTTTGTCTGAAATCCTGCGTCCTTTCACTGGAAAAACCACCTCTGCGGTACAAAATTCTACTCACCTGGTATCGACAATCAAGGGTATTTCCCTATCCCCAGACGACCTGCTTGTCAGTTTTGATGTAGTTTCCTTATTCACCAAGGTTCCTGTACCTGACACCATCGCAATCATTGAAGACTTGGTTCATCAAGGACTAAACACTGAGGTACCCCCCCTGGTGAGACACTGTTTAACCAATACATACTTCACTTGGAATGGAACTTTCTACAAACAAACTGAGGGCACCCCAATGGGCTCCCCCCTATCTCCGGTTATAGCTAACATTTTCATGGAGAAATTTGAGACTGACGCCATCCAGACTGCCACTCTGTGCCCAACCTTATGGAAGAGGTACGTGGATGACACTTTTGTCATCTGGCCACATGGCCGGCCTGCTCTAGACCAATTCTTCGACCACATCAATTCCATACACCCAGCCATCAGATTTACCATGGAAGTCAAAAAAGATGGCAAGCTACCTTTTTGGATGTCCTAATTAAAAAGAGACCTGATGGTTCAATGAGCCACTCTGTCTACAGGAAACCTACCCATACGGATGCTTATCTGAAAACGGATTCCCACCACCATCCATCACAGAAGAATTCTCTCATCAAGACTCTGTATCATAGAGCCCAATGCATATCCGACCAGGAACACATAGGCAGTGAACTCAAGCACGTACACCAAGCTCTTAAGGCTAATTGTTACTCCGACTATACAATCCGCAAAGCTATCACTCAAACCATGAAGAAGGACCCTCTTGAGGAGCCTTTCAAAACCATCACTTTACCCTACATTGCGGGGATCACAAAAAAGATCTCCAAAATCTTGAATAAACACAAGATCCAGGTCGGTTTCAACACATTACATAAAATCCGTGATCTGGTTCCGTCTGTAAAAGACGTGATTCTGGACTTACAATACCCCGGTGTCTACAAACTAAGTTGCCTCTGTGGTAGTAGTTACATTGGAGAAACCAAACGCCATGTCTCGGACCGCATTCGTGAACACAAAGCAGACCTTAAACACGGTAGGACCAACACCTCGGCCGTGGCAGATCATTGTTATAATTCAGTAGGCTCACATGACATTGACTTTTCCAAGACAGAGGTTCTTTGTAAGCCATCTGGCTACCATGAGAGATTCGTTCATGAGGCTATCCACATATACAAGCACAGAGACAATTTCAACCGAGAAGATGGATTCTGGCTTAGCAATCATTGGAAAGATTTGATAAACCATTTCATGTCTTAATTGATTGTTCACGCTTACAGTGGCTTTCAGACAGCATACATTAAATACATTTTTCGTCTCCCCCCACCTCTTTTCAGAACATAGATGGACTAGTCCTTCTAAATAAACTGCCAAATCGCTGCGCGTGGCGCTAACGTTTTTTTATAAATAAATAAATACACCGTTTAAAAATACATAAATGTATGGAAACCGACACACCTGATGACGACCGTTTGTGTTATGGTCGAAACGTCGTGAAATTTTTTTATTGTTTTTTATATATATTTTATTGTTTCCCTTCAACGTGACTTTACCGAAAGAACTAAGAATATGAATTACTGCAGTCACGAAAGCTTTAAATGAAAATGTAGGTGTCAAGATGTTAAAACACCAAACAGAATTCTTATTCGAGGAATCCTGTCTGCATTAACCACACCTAATTGTGGACCAATAAGTTTCAAAGACAATGCACTATATATTACCAGAGCGTGTTTTTTGTTTGCATGTTCACCACAAGTGCGTGTGGTTAATGCAGACAGGATTCCTTGAATAAGGATTCTGTTTGGTGTTTTAACATATTGACACCTGTTTTATTGCCAGAAGGGGTAAAACCTATTGTTATGTTTTAATACTGGCAAGAAAGGTCCCATGTATTATGCTGTTTGTTGAAGCTATACAGTGAGGGAAAAAAGTATTTGATCCCCTGCTGATTTTGTGCGTTTGCCCACTGACAAAGAAATTATCAGTCTATAATTTTAATAGTAGGTTTATTTGAACAGTGAGAGACAGAATAACAACAACAAAAATCCAGAAAAAAGCATGTCAAAAATGTTATAAATTGATTTGCATTTTAATGAGGGAAATAAGTATTTGACCCCTCTGGAAAACATGACTTAGTACTTGTGGCAAAACCCTTGTTGGCAATCACAGAGGTCAGACGTTTCTTGTAGTTGGCCACCAGGTTTGCACACATCTCAGGAGGGATTTTGTCCCACTCCTCTTTGCAGATCTTCTCCAAGTCATTAAGGTTTCGAGGCTGACATTTGGCAACTCAAACCTTCAGCTCCCTCCACAGATTTTCTATGGGATTAAGGTCTGGAGACTGGCTAGGCCACTCCAGGACCTTATTGTGCTTCTTCTTGAGCCACTCCTTTGTTGCCTTGGCCGTGTGTTTTGGGTCCTTGTCATGCTGGAATACCCATCCACGACCCATGTTCAATGCCCTGGCTGAGGGAAGGAGGTTCTCACCCGAGATTTGACGGTACATGGCCCCGTCCATCGTCCCTTTGATGCGGTGAAGTTGTCCTGTCCCCTTAGCAGAAAAACACCCCCAAAGCATAATGTTTCCACCTCCATGTTTGACGGTGGGGATGGTGTTCTTGGGGTCATAGGCAGCATTCCTCCTCCTCCAAACACGGCGAGTTGAGTTGATGCCAAAGAGCTCCATTTTGGTCTCATCTGACCACAATACTTTCACCCAGTTGTCTTCTGAATCATTCAAATGTTCATTGGCAAACTTCAGTCGGGCATGTATGTGTGCTTTCTTGAGCAGGGGGACCTTGCGGACGCTGCAGGATTTCAGTCCTTCACGGCATAGTGTGTTACCAATTGTTTTCTTGGTGACTATGGTCCCAGCTGCCTTGAGATTATTGACAAGATCCTCCCGTGTAGTTCTGGGCTGATTCCTCACCGTTCTCATGACCATTGCAACTCCACGAGGTGAGATCTTGCATGGAGCCCCAGGCCGAGGGAGATTCTTTTGTGTTTCTTCCCTTTGCGAATAATCACACCAACTGTTGTCACCTTCTCACCAAGCTGCTTGGCAATGGTCTTGTAGCCCATTCCAGCCTTGTGTAGGTCTACAATCTTGTCCCTGACATCCTTGGAGAGCTATATGGTCTTGGCCATGGTGGAGAGTTTGGAATCTGATTGATTGATTGCTTCTGTGGACAGGTGTCTTTTATACAGGTAACAAGCTGAGATTAGGAGCACTCCCTTTAAGAGTGTGCTCCTAATCTCAGCTCGTTACCTGTATTAAAGACACCTGGGAGCCAGAAATCTTTCTGATTGAGAGGGGGTCAAATATAAACGTCTGACCTCTGTGATTGCCAACAAGGGTTTTGCCACCAAGTACTAAGTCATGTTTTCCAGAAGGGTCAAATACTTATTTCCCTCATTAAAATGCAAATCAATTTATAACATTTTTGACATGCGTTTTTCTGGATTTTCTTGTTGTTATTCTGTCTCTCACTGTTCAAATAAACCTACCATTTAAATTATAGACTGATCATTTCTTTGTCAGTGGGAAAACGTACAAAATCAGCAGGGGATCAAATACTTTTTTCCCTCACTGTATATATATTTTTAAAATAATTTTAGAATAATTATTAGTATTCAATTGGCAAGTCCAGTAAGTAAACAATGTAACATTGGATATGCCCACTGTCCACTTGTTATAAGCAACGCTATGCTTCACCTCAATCTGCCATCCTCAAAAGCTTGCTCTGCATACGTTCTTGGTCCTGCAGGAATATGTGAAATTAACAAGACTCCTGAATATAGCCACTGGTCACTTGTTGATATAAGTAATTACTACGCTGCAACTTAACATTGTGTGTGCACTCCTAAAGTTATGAGAAAGCACCACACTAACAATACATCAATATCAGCTATTGCAGTAATTACTCCTTAGTTGTGTACAGTGTTGACAAACAATTGATCCTTACTTTTTCAGCCATTCTCACGAAGTATAATTGATCATACACGTTCCATTTGTGCTGTAGTATGCACTAAATCTAAATTAACAATGTCCTCTGCGTAGCAAACAACTACAGTGCTGTTGTGTTGTTCAGTGAACAGCATAAATAATACATCAAAATTATACTTTAATACAAGTATTCTAGTGGTAATTGTGTATATTAACACAAATCAATAAGAGACATGAGACTATTTTAGTACGTGTGATGTTAGTACCTAAAAAACACTGTTTCTTTAAGATGAATAATTGACATTCCTTTGTCAATCCACACTGCTGGATGAAGGCATTCCTAAATACCGTGTCAGGCAAGGTCAGTGCACCTTGGTGAAAGAGGGGTACCCAGGACCAGTTCGGATATCATGTGCCACTAATGTTACCTATGACCAGCGAATCAAACTCATGTTGCCTGGGTTACAGCGTAGTGCGCCAGTGCTCGCGTCGAATTTTAACAAGTATTTTTAATTAAAGGGAATAAGAAGGGCTTGATTTGAGCGTGTATCACCCACCACTTAATATTCTTCAGTCACGCCATCAAAGTTAATGCAAGGGTTATGTTTTTTTTGTGCAGGTGAATGGATTAAGAGGGGTATTCCTGGCGAATCAGAGGCAGGCTGCCGAGGTGAAAACGTACGTTACGTACAACAGGGGACGAGACTGGAGGCTTCTGGCAGCTCCTGCCACAGATCTGCTCGAGAGGCCCACACACTGCCTGCTGGTAAGGCATCACTAGAGAACCAACTGCTACAGTTGCCACCTGTCCCGGTTTTCCCCAAGATGTCCCCTTTTTTTGAGATACCATATTCTCCGTATTCAAATATGTATTCTATCTCAGTTGGGGGTGCATCTTATATTCTTGTAGGTGTGTGTGTGACCAGATTTCTATAAGTGTATTTATACTGGGCATAGGTTTGGGGTGCATTTTATTGTCCATAATGTCTTATAATCTGGAGATTACGGTAGCTGTCCTGGGAAATATGTTTACCCCCGATATTTTAAGTCCTCGTTTTGTGAGTTGGGTAAAAATACACCACTCAAGATGATGTATTTATACGTTGTTCTCCCTTCTTCTGGTATTGTGGGTTATTCTTCTTCTTCCCATGATATGTCACATTTTTTGTACCTCGAAGGTGGCAAGCATAGCTTCCGTCTCCTATGCGGTCAGTTCATCTCCTTGGATGAAACTGTCATCTATCATAAAAGTGGTTGCATTTTTGACATGCTACATTAAAAAAAAAGTTTTTGAAAGTAACAAACGTGTCATTTGATTTTTCTTTCCATTTTTAAGGTCGTTTCTTTTTAGTGGAGGTTGAACGTTTTAATAGTGGAAGATGGGGAAAGAAGCAAGACACGTTGATGGCTTTTAGATTCCGTAGAATAATGTCTGCATCCGAGCCCACATTAGCATCTAAAGTGTCATAAAGTGCCTTGAGACTCTTCTTAGGATGAAACGTTTCCTTTGACGTGAACGTGATCGTAATGTTAATGCTAAGGTACTGAGGCATTACTACTTGGTTTGATACCTGGAGTGGTTTAATGGTAATAGTGAGCATGGTTTGCGCTTCATAAAATCATCTTTATTGCAGCCTGTTTAATGATCTCAGAAAAAAAACTCTCAATGGCTTCATGGCAATGCTCTGTCAAACGGACAAACCCCCTGGCAGGGTCAATCGAAGGCTTAAATATTTGCCTCTTCTCTTCTGCCTGTGACTGACTGTCTCTTCTCTATGAAGGGTCTTCTCACACCATACCTTAAGAATATAGATCTACCTTCTTTTATTGGCAGTCCCCGTGATGCATATGTCCCACTACTCTGTAAAACGTGTTAAAGATGCAGTTGCATTTAAATGCTAAAACAATCAACATTGTATTGGCATGCTCAGCTTTGAGAGTGGTAAGTGGAGATAGTGCGGTTCTGAAATAAATAATGACTTCCACAGCAAGAATGTATCCCTTTCAGAAGTAGCATTAAAAGCATAATTTATCAACAGAAATGGAGATTGACTATGATATTTTGATAAAAGGCTGGTTCTCTATTGAAGGCCATGTTAGTCAGTGGGAGTTACATAACTAAGCCATCTCTTAACCTCATTTGTAACTGAGTAAACTCTTGTTCACTCGGGGCAGTTTAAAATACACTGTTGAAAGCATAAATGTCAACAGTGCATCATTTGTGTGATTCAGGACTTTGGAACCTGCTTTATATTAGACACCAGGGGGAAGCATTTCTGGGCGCTTCCAATTTTACAAACAACTGCAATTGATGGGGCATGTTACACAGTGCAGCGTTGTAAAGCCAAAATAAAAATATCAAATAATAGAGGTTTTTTTGGGTTAGATCAAATGCACGTTTTACCTATTGGTGCAATTTCTCTTTATGCTTCATGTAAACTGTCTGAGTGATTTGCAACATTGTCTGCTGAAACATTGACCTGTTTATGTGCATAGGTGCCACGTTATTTTGAAAATGATTTCAGTAAATAAAAAAGTCGTTCGTGGGCTCATTGTGAAATATTTTTTTTCATGGATTAATTTATCACTGGATATTTTCTGAGTCACGAGTGGACTTGAGTAAGTTGCACATCATTAGTAGCCCCGGCCAGAGCAAGAGGGTATACTAGATGTGATGTCATATTCTTAGCTCTTTCGGTAAAGTCACGTTGAAGGGAAACAATAAAATAAGGGAAACAATAAAATAATAAAATATATGTTATTATTTTAAAATATATATTTTGTTATTTTATTGTTTCCCTTCAACGTGACTTTACCGAAAGAGCTAAGAATATGAATTACTGCAGTCACGAAAGCTTTTAATCAAAATTTAGATGTGATGTGTCGGATGCGGAAATATTTCTGCTGATATGAAGCCATGGGTAAGTGTGTTTGCTTCTGCTTGTTGTGAGGGTTAATTTGGTTGTGTGTGTGCGCGTGTGTGCACTGCATCTTATACGTTATATGGGAGACATTCTTGCTGCGTGTGCATGCTGTGGGTGTTTGTGTGCAGCCCGCGTGCTCACTGCACCTGCACCTTCACTCCTCTGGAGACACCGTCATGGCAGGGAAGGTCGTATCTATGGCCACAGCCCCTGGCCTACTCATGGCCACTGGTGAGGCCTGAATTTCTGCAAACACAGCTGTTATGCACACGTGATTTACCTTTGCTGCTATACTGAAATTAAGCGCTTGAAAAATAATGTCCCCTGATGTTTCACTCGCATTCATTATCATATTCGGCCATGATCAATCCTATGTTGAATTAATGCCTCTCAAAGCCATCCTTCGACATTACAGTCCATCTAGCACCTGCACATCAGCGGATCGTATTGCTCCATCTCTGGGGAGGACATCCTCTCGGGCATGTTCTCTCCTTTGTGCACCACTCAATCATTAATCTCGACCACCAGTCATCATCCCGATTAGAAGTGTGTCGTGCTAAGCCCACTTACTTTTATTTACAGTGAATATGATGCCTATGTTTGCATATGTTCGCTATCATGTGTTTCTTCTTTCCGACTCTCAATGTAAATCACTGGTGCTGTTGTGGGGAGCACCAGGCCTATGGGATGTATCATTAAATCATCAACGTGGAACAATGTTTAACAAAGTGAATTCCCCTCTTTTGAAAGGTTTTCTTTGCTCGAATATATTCAGTGATCTTTTCTGAAAAAAAGACTCGAGTAAATAAAATAAACCTCAATGGGCTATGTGCATATGTAAGTGAAAAGCCCTATACTGTGCAGGCAGTCGACATGTAAGGCCATCTGAAGTGCACAGTGGCACCTTTGGAGAGCCGCAGCTGATGCTCGCCATGGTCATGGTGCTGTTATTTTATTTATGCGCAAGGAAATTTGGGAGCCGGATTGGTGGAGTACGAAGAAAAAATGTTCGTCTCCTCTGATGGTGGAAATACATGGAGTCAGGTCAGTACAGAGAAAAAGCATTCAAACCCCAAACTAAAAGGCAGAAATGCCATGACTTATGATTTCCTATGCATGAGGCTGCACAAATTTCCAAGAAAATTTTATTTTTCATTTGCACGTTGAATGTAGAATATGCTTACACATTGTGGATATGCTGTGCAGCCCTCTGGCGTGTTTTGTGTTCTACTACAGTGTGTTTGTTCGACGTTTCACTCTGCGTTTTAGGAGCTCTTTTAAAGCAGTTCCTGCAGAAGCTTCCGGCATGTAGAGCAAGCGAAACATCGGACATCGTGCCGAATAATCGTGGTACCACCCGAAATCAAATCGGAGAGCTCAAGATTCTTACAAATGTCCGGTGTTTATTGCGCTGCACTTTCTTGCAGGCATTCGATGATGAACATCATATTCTGTTCTTGGATCACGGAGGAGCGATCATTGCCGTCAAGGACACGGCAATGCCCATAAAGCAGCTTTGGTAAGATTTGATTTATTGCAGTTCTTTAAAGGCAATGAAAACAAATATGTATCGAAATTGTCATTCGGTATTTTCAGATAAAAATTACATCATGTTTACCTATTGGCTTTCTGGATGTATATGAACCAAAAGCATTCGTTTAAGCAAATAAACTCTTTGCCAGTTTTGAACATCCGGATTTTATTAGACAGATTCAGGAAGTAAAATAATATTTTATTTATTTGTCTACATACTCACAATGCTCCACTTCGGCCCATAATGAGTTTTTATTTTAAACATGCGTGCGCTGCCTTGTTTGTGAAAATGTTGGGATGGTTGCAGGTGCAGCAGTGATTAATTTGTTGTGCCTCACGTTTTCACCATTGCGCCTGGATGGTTCGATGTGGTGCACAGGTACAGCGTGGATGAAGGCATCTCCTGGAAAGTCCACGACTTTTCTCCCACTCCCATCTACATTGACGGACTGCTCAGCGAGCCCGGCGATGAAACACTCGTCATCACGTACGCACGCACGCCTCGCTTGCTTGGTGCCACGCAACAATTCCCACGTCATTCTAAGAGCGCAATTAACTTCCAGTTTACGCACAGTTTGCTACCTCATTGAAAATGAATCCCCAGTAGGTGTTAGCTCATTTAAGGAGCTCCCTCCCGTCTGGCTGGGGGTCTTTGGGAATTCACGCGCGTTCGTCTGCACCTGCGCTCCAGGATGTTTGGGCACGCGAGCCTCCGCTCGGACTGGGAGCTGGTGAAGATCGACTTCCGGACCCTTTTCTTCCATGACTGCTCAGATGAGGATTATGAGAACTGGACATTTCACAACCAAGTGTGTCTGGGTTGAATTTCTGTTCAATACTTGTTCATGGAAAGCACGACGAGCAACAATTTATGATTAATTAAATGTCCATGTTGAATGCCTTCCAATGCATGTTGAAAACGTTTATGTGTTAGTTGTGTCCGTCTGTCTCTAATTGATAGGAATGGGGGGGCTAATAAACTCTCATACAGATGTTCCTATATGAACAAAACTATAGGATACGTTTTTGTTGCGATTAGGGACTGACCCTATTGAAAACCAGCCACGTTGATCCAAGGGTAGGCCAAAAGTTGTATAAAACCAGAGGGAATTCTCTTTTTTTAAATATGCATACATAATTGTTACTAACAGCTATTAGTCGGATTCCATACTTTTAAATTAAAAAAAAACTTTCAAGGAAAAACTAATTTTGGAAAGCAGAATTCGTTTTTATTTATTTTGCATAACTTGATGTTATGAGAGACTGAAATTACAAACATACACGTATATTAGATTTGGGATATTAAATTGCAGAGCATGGCATTTGGCTCATCACTCATGAACCACAGTGTGGGCCTCTGTTCCTAGCGTCTGGTGTGTGCTTTCAGGACGAAGCCTGCATCATGGGAGAGGTGCACGAGTTTAGGAAGCGCAAGCTGTCGTCACTCTGCATAAACGGCAAGAGTTTTAACAAGAGGTTGAAATCCAATCTCTGCCTGTGCAAGGATTCTGACTTTGAGTGGTGGGTATTTTACTCTGGGTTTTTTAAAATTCTCACTCTGAAAAAGTTAGAATAAAAAACCGCACAGGTTCGGTGGTCGGCCACGTTTGTAATTCTTGCGTCTGACCTTTGTGCAGCGATTACGGTTTTGAACGCTACCCGGATGGTTCCTGCAGACCGGCCTTTTGGCACAACCCTGCTTCCACCCCAACCGAGTGCCTCCCCGGGGACACCTACACCAACAGTTCGGGGTGAGATTTCATAAATTTGCACTCTGGCTGTTACGCGAGCGCAGCAATGCTGTGGGTTGATTTTTCTTTTAATATAGAATAAAATGATAATTGTGATTAATGAATCCAGAATACAGTTGGTAATTTCAAAAGGAGGGGGGAAAAAAAAGGTAACACGTAACAAGCCAGGCGTAACGCACCCTTAACATTTGGGAACGAGCGAGGGGCGTTCGGGCTCGCTACCCTACCGCGTTCGGGGTAAAGATTGGGAGCAGTGTGTATACGGGGGAGGGGAAGAGAAAGGGAGAAAGGGGAGGGGGTGTAACCAAACATAAGTCACCATAAAATAACATGAAGGTAATGTCAAAGTTTGTCATTCTTGTTATCCCCCAGAAGCAACGGTAACCACGTGTTAACGAAGGTGGTGGAGTATCCAGAGTCCATCCCTTCTTCTTCCTGGCCCCCATTTTACTGGCTATTCATACTGGGTTCCGACTTTGGGTTGAATTTTCTACGTAAGCAAAAGTACTCAAGTGCCTGGGGGAAGTGTTCAGCTTACATGTGGCACAGAAATGAACCAGACAGAGACCTTTGCAGATCATAGGCACCCTGCCTTTTGAAGAAGATGCGTGGAGAGATGACAAGCATGGAATTACATTGCCAGAAAGATGAACACATGAATTAGAGAACATATGCAGATTAATGACATCATCCAAACAATTAAGAGAAGTAATTGGGCTTTGGCAGGATATGTCGCTAGAAGGGATTATGGACAATGGTCAAGAATAATAATGGAGTGGCAGACAGGGAATGGAATGTATCTGAGGCGTCGAATGAGGAGATGGAGGGATGAAGGTGCTTGATGAAATACGCATTTCACTTTTGTTCCTCTACAGGGTGTTGGTACAGTATGAGAGTTTGGTGTGAGCATGACTGTAATGATTTGCTCTTTAATTCTTGTAAAATGTCTCGATTTTTGGTTGCATTCTATTCCCTTTAACATTGTGGTAAATGTAATACCTCTAATGGTTGGCGAGGTAATGTCAACCCGTTTCATATAAGGCGAATCAAAAGTATTTGACGAATGGATGAATCCATACATGTTTCACAATGTTTCTTAAATCACCCCACCTTTGTCCAACTAGCAATACAAATGGGGACACCACAGTTTGTCGATGGGCAGGTGGTGTGTGGTGGGGTAAAGTGTGGGTTACTCCCACTTCTTCCAAGACGTCTTGCCAGCATGCAAGAGTATGTAAAAATATCCTCTAGAGCAGCGGTCCCCAACTTTTTTGGCACCAGGGACCAGTTTCGTGGAAGACAACCTTTTTCACGGACCAAAGAGGGGGGGGGGGGAGGTCATCATTGGGTCTTTCCCCCTTTTCAAAGAAGCTCTCCAGCAACGTTTGTTTTTTACTCATTGTGGCTACTAGGGGTTAGCTTGTGGGCTTACCAAGACTGTGACTGAGACAAAGTGCGCAGTGCGGGAAAGAGGCACGGACGGATGTGGTGAATAGAATAATGGGGGCGGGCCACGCGCGGACTAAAATAAGTGTCGGATCCTGACTTCTCATAAGGAGCGCGCAACCCAGATCCCTCGCATGCGCAGTTGACAGGAGGGTTCGCGCTCCGATGAGAATCTCATGCCGCCGCTGATCTGGCAGGAGGCGGAGCTCAGACGGTAATGCGAGCGATGGGGAGCGGCTGTTGATACAGGTGATGATGAAACTTCATCTGTCAATACAGGTGATGATGAAACTTCATCTGTCAATACAGGTGATCATGAAACTTCATCTGTCAATACAGGTGATGATGAAGCTTCATCTGTCAATACAGGTGATGATGAAACTTCATCTGTCAATACAGGTGATCATGAAACTTCATCTGTCAATACAGGTGATGATGAAGCTTCATCTGTCAATACAGGTGATGATGAAGCTTCATCTGTCAATACAGGTGATGATGAAACTTCATCTGTCAATACAGGTGATGATGAAGCTTCATCTGTCAATACAGGTGATGATGAAGCTTCATCTGTCAATACAGGTGATGATGAAACTTCATCTGTCAATACAGGTGATGATGAAGCTTCATCTGTCAATACAGGTGATGATGAAACTTCATCTGTCAATACAGGTGATGATGAAACTTCATCTGTCAATACAGGTGATGATGAAACTTCATCTGTCAATACAGGTGATGATGAAGCTTCATCTGTCAATACAGGTGATGATGAAACTTCATCTGTCAATACAGGTGATGATGAAACTTCATCTGTCAATACAGGTGATGATGAAACTTCATCTGTCAATACAGGTGATGATGAAACTTCATCTGTCAATACAGGTGATGATGAAACTTCATCTGTCAATACAGGTGATGATGAAACTTCATCTGTCAATACAGGTGATGATGAAACTTCATCTGTCAATACAGGTGATGATGAAACTTCATCTGTCAATACAGGTGATGATGAAACTTCATCTGTCAATACAGATGATGATGAAACTTCATCTGTCAATACAGATGATGATGAAGCTTCATCTGTCAATACAGATGATGATGAAGCTTCATCTGTCAATACAGGTGATGATGAAACTTCATCTGTCAATACAGATGATGATGAAACTTCATCTGTCAATACAGATGATGATGAAGCTTCATCTGTCAATACAGGTGATGATGAAGCTTCATCTGTCAATACAGGTGATGATGAAGCTTCATCTGTCAATACAGGTGATGATGAAGCTTCATCTGGCAATACAGGTGATGATGAAACTTCATCTGTCAATACAGGTGATGATGAAGCTTCATCTGTCAATACAGATGATGATGAAGCTTCATCTGTCAATACAGGTGATGATGATGAAGCTTCGCTCGCTCGCCCACCGCTCACCTCCTGCTGTGCGCCCCGGCTCCTAACAGGCCACAGACTGGTACCGGTCCACGGCCCGGGGGTTGGGGACCCCTGCTCTCGAGGTTGTCTAGGACTCCCTCTAGTGGAAGCTATTTTGCCAGAAGTGGCATTAGTGAGAAATTTCATGCCTGCACCCTGCTCTTTTCCTTACATATCTATACCCTGCAGTTGCCCCATCGCCCTCGAAAATCCCCAATCGTGAAAAAGTAGGCCAAACGCCCTCTAATAGGGGCTCCGTAGCATTCCCAAGAGCGGAGGCCCTTCCACCACCAGCTACTTGAGCAAGGGCTGCGACATTACCTAATTTCACCTGTGTGTGTATGTGTGTCTGCCCACAGGTACAGGAAGATGGTGTCCAATACGTGCGTGTCAGGCCTGGAGGTGCACTACGAGTCCACGGTGCTGGCATGCCCCGTGATGCCTCCTCGCGGCCTCAGCGTCGTGACTGTGGGAGGGAAGCTGGTGGTCAGTCCCGGAGACAATGTCACCTTCTACGTGCTGCAGGAGAAGGTGCAGCGCAACGTGCCTATCTCCGCCCGTAGCTTTGTGGCCATGGGAGCAGTCGCAGCTCTACAGCCTTGTTGATTCTGAAAAAAAGTAAGCTAATGCCTCAGTGGGCTTTACCTGGTAAGATAAAATAAATATTTCGATTTAAAGGTTTCGTGACTGCAAGGATTCATCTTCTTCGGTTCTTTCGGTAAGGTCACGTAGAATGAGAATAAGATAATAAAATAACACAATAAAATTCTCACGACGTCTTCTTTGGTTCTTTCGGTAAAGTCACGTAGAATGAGAATAAAATAATAAATTGATAAAATAAAATAACACAATAATATTCTCACGACGTTTCGGCTGATGAAGGCCGCTTGTGTTGTGGCCGAAACGTCGTGAGAATATTATTGTGTTATTTTATTTTATCAATTTATTATTTTATTCTCATTCTACGTGACTTTACCGAAAGAACCAAAGAAGATGAATCATTGCAGTCACGAAAGCTTTAAATTGAAATTTCTCACGACGTTTCGGCCACAATGCAATCATTCTACGTGACCTTACCGAAAGAACCAAAGAAGATAAAAGAAATAGTTTCGTTGTATTTGTATTTATATTTTTAAAGGCATTTGTTTACCTTTCTTATACTTTGCACTCCTATCATGTTTTTGTATTGTTTGTTGTTGTAACGTTCTTACCTGCCCCTACTGGGCATCTGTGAAAAAGAGCTTTATAACTCATCGGATTCCTCCAGTATAAATAAATATTCTGATTCTGATATTAGTCACGTGCCACCAGGAAAACATGAAGGATGAAGACTTACATGAGGGACAGCGTTGTCTATCATATTTGACCCCAACCTACGGGAGGTGCACACACGTCGCAAATGATTTGTCAGCTTACATGATAATCACTAGATTGAAACGAAAAAGTGTTATTATTAACGGTTGATTAGGAATATGTTATGAATATGTATATATTTTTATCTTTAATCGGTAATCAAATAATCCCCACGACATGCACCCAGCATGGGGAGGCTCCCATCCAACAGTAGATTGACAGAGGAGGCTGTTCACGTAGCCTAGAGAGTAGTAAGGTGGGAGGGAGGGAGTTATCTCCATGTCCAAAAATGCAATTCCAGGGTATATAGAGTATTGTACCGCACTAAGATTGAAACCCATAGCTTGTTATGCACAACACAACCTGGTGCATACAACGAATACTTACCAGTAGTAGTACGTGCAATATATTTTAGCACGAAAATGTAATTGATTGCCCGCATAATTCATCTCTATTGGTGGAGAATGTTTTCATGGTAGTGGACAGGTGTCTCTGCGCGTGTATACGTGCCACGTGCAATTTTCTTGCACGGCACACGAACGAAACGTCTGAACATCGATGCCCTTTGCCGTTGCCAGGGAGACACGGCCACCACGAAGTACTTTGTGGACCTGGGCGACGGCTTCAAGGCGATTTACGTGAACCTCACGCTACGGGAGGAGCCGGTCCTGCACCGCTACCGTGAGCCTGGCGTCTACCGCGTGGTGGTGCGCGCGGAGAACCCCGGTGGCTGGGAGCAGTCACAGCTCTACATCCAAGTGCTGCGTAAGGAGACGTCCGTCGCACGAGCAGATTCGCGAGAGTGTTTTTTCAACGCTATACGCTAAACAATTATTTTTTTATTTCACCAGGTAAGGCCCACTGAGCTATGCAGCTGTTTTTCTTAAACAAATCTGGCCGCAAATGATAGCCTAACGAGGTGGCTTACAACGTGGACATCCATACCGGCCAAATGCTCTAAACGTGCGTTGATTCTAAATGTTGAGGGAAAAACCGGAGGACCAGGAGAAAAATCCACGCCACCACGGGGAGAACATGTGACCTCCAAATATACAAGCATCAGGGTCGGGATTGAACCCATGACCTGTATACCAGGCGAGGTCAACATTTTTCCACCAAATCATCATCATCATCAGCTACGATCAGTCCCATGCTGGGTGAAGGTCTCCCCAAGCCGTTTCCGTCTCACATGATCCTGCGATAAAATAATCCATCTAGCTGATTCTCATCGCTCCATCTCCGCTTGGGCGTATTCACCCCTTCGGCTGCCACTCTGGCGTTAATCTTGACCACCGGCTATCATCCCTTCTCGAGATGTGAGCTGCCCCAAGCCCGTTTACTTTTCTTAACAGGCAATATAATGTTTCAGGCTTTCTTATGTTCCCTAATATTACATTGGAATTATACATCAACTATTGGGGGGGAAATCATCATTCATTTGGGGGCAAAAAATTTACTGAAAAGTGCCCTCGAGACAAACGGGGTGCAGTATGACGCACGCCTACCTTGAACCACTCCGCGAGGTACTCGGGATTATGTGTGGTCAACATGAATGCGTCACATGGTCCTGAGATCCACCGGACATCTCCACGAGAATATATGGATAATTAAAATGTCTCCTTGGTGTTGTGTAATTTTAAGGTTGTGGTGGGAAATGTAATTGTCAATCTCGGCAAAAAATATGTTTTAGGGTGGTGCTAATGTGTTTTGTGGCAAAGGCTGGTTGTACATTTGAAATTTGTCCAAAAACTAACCTTTACTCTCCAGCTTTAAAATAGTGAAAGGTAAGATTGCATAAAAAAATACAAGCCAATGGGTTATTTGTATTGCGCTTATAGATGTATACAACATAAAACATGTTATGTACGTACAACTGTGATTAAACAATAATATTCCCTAACTTAAGAAGATCAGTTGTGATTATGCTCTTTTATTCCAGACTAGAATTCACGCTGGTTTAAGTAGAGCTCTTTGTGCATTCACGTCAATCTAAATTTTTTCCTTTTTTGTTGCCACGCAGAGCCCCTGTCAAGCGTATACCTGTCTATGCCACCAGTGGTGAAGTGCAACCAGCTCTTCAATGTGTTTACGCACATCATCCCTGCCGACAGCCAAGGAATGGTCTTCTCTTGGTGGCTGGGGAACAGTTCACAGGTGGCAGCAATCCCACACTCGCACACCTCGTTACAGACACAGCATGCGGCTTGGTACGCACGAAAGGAAACTACAAATCCAGTGCGTAAATCCATACAAATAACGATGCCATAACACTAAACAAACACCGTTAATAAATTTCCCTCGTACAGTTTTCTCCTGAGGGAATAACACTTAAGTGTTTTAATCAAATGGAATTGCTCGTGTAATGTAATTTAATTTGTTCGTCAATTGCGGGTGAAATTTAGGTCCATTGGTTTTGAATGATGAAATGATCATCAGTTAGCTGGGTTGTAGGGGTATACATTTTAAAAGCTTCCTTGATACACATATCCTAAAGTGACATTGTTTGTTGTGTGGTGTGGAGCGCATCATGGATAGGTGATTTGGTGTCTATGACGCACTGCATGGTGCGTCTGGCGAAGCGAACACAATGAGGATAATTATTGTAATGATGGTGATAATAATAAATACCAGCAATGGTCATTGAATCAAAATACATTACAATGTTAAGGATGTTTGTTATTTTTGTTTGGATAAAATACAATTTAAATGTATTAAACCTTTTGAATATATTTCCTATTTCGCGATGCTTTTTGATTAAAGAGATTAAAAAAATCGTTCATAGAAGTAAACCTCATTTATACTCTCGGGGCAGATTTGACTCGACTTAGTTGGTGCGTCGACCTTCTAGCAAGACTGTGGAATTCCTTACCGTCGCCTATTTTCCGTGCTCAATTTTAGAACGGTGTTAACTCTTGTATCTCACACCTGGGGTAGAGCTGTTTATTGCTGGTCACTTGGGCCTGTATTTTGCAAGTATGTCAAAAAACGAAAGTTATATTAGGGATTAGTTATTGTGAATGATACAAAGTTGCCCATGCCAGCTAATGCCATGTTTTGTTATGTTGGGACTCTTCTATGTGTGTTTGGGTCACGGTGATGTCCTTGCATTGTGGGGAGCAGTGGTCTAGTAGTCAGTGTGCCTGACTACAAACCCGGCCACCCGGGTTCAATCCCCGCCCACAGCCAACAGCAGTGACGAATACCTGAACTGGTCCTGGGCCTTCCCTAGGTCGACTCAGCCACAAATGAGTACCTGGTGTGGTGTGTAAAACATTGCCACTAGGGAGACAAAGGTGGTCGGGCATGGTGCTAACCACCCACCCCTCGTGTACCATTCCGGTCTTCTGCATAGGTGCTTACTAACAGCATTTGCCCCAACAGTCTGTTAAACGCTATACGGGGGATCTTTGTTTTTTTTTGACCCAGGCGTTGGTTGAGCTCTCCTACCATTGTACTTTGGTGTCTTTTTAGTCTCTGTCTCTTTCCCTACATTTGCCCCAATCCGTTCTCTAATTTGTGTGTATTTGTAAGTAACTTTCATTTGCCGTGATATTTAAGTTAATAATTTAAATGGCAAATTCTGATCGTTAAACCCCAACTGGTGATGAACATGTGTGATGTCAGTAAAATTAAACTTAACAAAAAACATGTGTTTCTGCATTGGCAGTGGTGCATTAGCACAAATACTAAAATTAAACACATTTGGCAATGACACAGCCTTCAAGAGGAACACATATATATAACAGGTGACGTTTCGGGCAACAGCCCATAGCAGAGAGATTTCAGAGATTGGCTATGATGGAGGGCCATGATCAGACATGTTGTATTCCTCTTTAGGGCAGTGTAATTGACAAGTATATAAGAAAAAGAGACCTGATGGTTCAATGAGGCACTCTCTCTACAGGAAAGCTACCCATACGGATGCTTACCTGAAACCGGATTCCCACCACCATTCATTCCAGAAGGATTCCCTCATCAAGACTCTGCACCATAGAGCCCAACACATAGCCAGTGAACTCAAGCACGTACACCAAGCTCTTAAGGCTAATGGTTACTCCGACTACACAATCCACAATCCTATCACTCCAACCATGAAGAAGGACCCTCTTGAGGAGCCATTCAAAACCATCACTTTACCCTACATTGCGGGGATCACAAAAAAGATCTCCAAAATCTTGAATAAACACAAGATCCAGGTCCGATTCAACACATTACATAAAATCCGTGATCTGGTTCCGTCTGTAAAAGATGTGATTCCAGACATACAGTACCCTGGCGTCTACAAATTAAGTTGCCTCTGTGGTAGTAGTTACATTGGAGAAACCAAACGACATGTCTCGGACCGCATCCGTGGACATAAAGCAGACCTAAAACACGGTAGGACCAACACCTCGGCCGTGGCAGATCACTGTTATAATTCAGTAGGCTCACATGACATTGACTTCTCCAAGACAGAGGTTCTCTGCAAGCCATCTGGCTACCATGAGAGATTCGTTCATGAGGCTATCCACATATACAAACAGAGACAATTTCAACCGAAAAATGGATTATGGCTTAGCAATCATTGGAAGGATTTGATAAACCATTTCGGGTCTTAATTGATTGTTCACGCTTACGGTGGCTTTCAGACCGCATCCATTATTTTCGTCTCCCCCCTCCTGTTTTCCGAACATAGATGGACTCGTCCATCTGAACAAACTGTCAAATCGCTCTCCGTGGTGCTAACGTTAAAAAAAACCGCCACTTTGTTTCAAATTTTCTTGCTGTGGTTTTCACACCTGATGATGATTGCTTGTGTTGCAGTCGAAACGTCGTGATAATTTTATTGTTTTATATTTGTATTGTTTATTTGTTTCCCTTCTACGTGACTTTACCGAAAGAACCAAGAATATGAATCCCTGCAGTCACGAAAGTTTTCATTAAAAATTTAAGTGTACGGAGGTTTTATGATACCGGGTGTCAGTGTAGGTTTCTAACAGAAGGTTGAGGCCTGCTTGTGAAGGCTGCTGATGATGTCTCTGCTCGGTTCCACTCCTCAGCCAGTGGTGTCTCTGTCGGGAGAGGTGACAACGAGTTTTCCTGTGGTGGGAGAGACGGCGATCAGCGTGCAGGCTGCCACGGGTAGTTGGGCTGTGCAGCACTCTCGCGCTCTCATGGTTTACGGTGAGAAAATCCAATATCAAAGCTGTGCAGAGAAAAATAATCTTGTGTGAAATTAAAATGCTTTTAAAGCATAACAGAGGATGCGGAGACTACAAAATTGCTGATGACTGTGTCCATCATATTGAATGAATATTTCAAAGAGCTCACCTTGAACCCCCGCCGGGGCTGTAGCATGTGACAAGAGAACATTGACTATGGTACTTGGAATGTAAGGGGTTCAGATATACAGTGAAATTGATGGTTGTAATTCAGTTGCCCATGACATAAAAACTGCTAAATCTTTCCTGCACTTAAATGTGCTGCGTTCGGCCCAGAGAGTGGCTTAGAACCGGCGCACTCTGGATGTCAGCTCGGGTGCTGCTGTGAAGCCAGTTGATCGGGAAGTGGGAGAATCCCCTGAATTGCATTGTTCTTGGGTTGTATGCGGTTAGGAGTCAGGCCTCGTCTTAGAATGATCAGAGAGTTATTCATTTGTGCTCACAGGTGATCAGGTGTATTGTCTGTAACGCTGTGGAAATTGCTTTCAAACAAGCATTGATGCAACTGTCTATAGATGCAGCATGTGTACTGGCTTCATGGTCCAAATTTGAAAGATATACTGGCAAAACTACTTAACTGGAATAACCAACTCACAAATAATTCCCACTTGCAGGCCACCGCTCCTGTTCACCTTGTGCTGCACAGAGACAGCTGTCATTAGGAGCCCTCTTGGCTTAAAAAAACTGGAATAATTTAGTTGAGATGTAATATAAGGTACTTTGATATGCTGGTGCATTTAAGTACCCAATGAATAAAAATCCTTATTCTTATAGATAGAAACACATCATATAATAATGAAATAATGCATACATTATGAAAGCATATTTGTTTGCATATTTTACCACAAGTATGTGTGGTTAATGCAGATTTTGTGCCTTGTAATAGGTGTCTATTTGGTGTTGGAACATCTTAACACCTCCTATGTTTTTGCCAGAAAGGGTAAAGCCTTGCCTTCTTTTTTTAGCAATTAGAATGGAGTCCATCAGTGCTGATGTCATAATTTTCAGTTTATTTTCCCGTATTACAGTATTGTTATTACGAGTAAAAATTATTATTAATTATCTGAAAGCATCTTAGTATATAGATCACTGCAGAGCTTGGGGAATCTTTGGCGGAGGGTTCACCGCCAAGCCCAGGGGTTCCCAAACTCCAGTCCTCATGGCACCCCACCATGCTGCACGCGCCTGATGATTGTTAAAGATTCTGATTCTGAATTGACGCTGCTTGTGGCACGTGAAACACACAGGGAACACGTGTACACACACATGCACACTGACATCTCAATCTTAATTTTAATCGGCTCTATTAATGCAGAGCGTTAATTGGTTAGCACATAACGTGGGACGTGTTTAACAATCATTGGATGCGTGCAGCGTGGAATCAGTTAATTTGTAATTGCATAGGGAGCATGGTGGGTCGTGAGGACTCGAGTTTGGGAAACCCTGGCCTATCTGCTGCCTTCCAGCTTGTCTGTGGTTCCTTATCGATTGTGAGATGCAATTTGCATGAACGCCACTATATAGAACTGAACATTATTATTGTGATGATGATTATTGCGCAGCGTATTTTTCTGAACATGTTTTTTTTCCGTGCGATGCCATGACAGGTGATTTAAGGGGGCGTGTCTGTGTGTGCGCGACAGAGCATGTGCGCGTTCTTCACCTGTTCTTCTCACCGAGCCTGGAATCGTACAACCCCGGGCTGCCCGAGTGGCGAGAGGATGTGGCTAGGGCGGTCAAGGCCTCTCTTTTACAAGTGAGTGCAGCTCATACCCAGACCACAATCTGGCAGGGAAATCCATTTACTGGAAAGAACTTGTAAATCAAAATAACAAAATATTTGTACGAAGTACTGTACGTGGCATAGGATGGCCAGTTTCTTTTTTCAAACCATGGAGTTCTGTATACATTAACCAAAGTGGAATACTCTCGGTAAGCTTCTCTAATGACGTGTAATATGTAGATATGCAATACAGTGTAAATCAAATAATTAGTAATGTTTTTGGTATCCGCGGCTATATTATTTGTCGCAAAGCTATCAGGAAGTTGCTGTGTTTCACAGACATGGTCCGCAATCGTTTTTGAGTCGGGAGTGATTGCTCTGTCTGCTCCCAATTCAAGCTGGGAAAATTTGGACCGTGACGCTGGTACACATGGCCTACACTTTAACGGATGACGTCATGGGATTATTTATCTTCTGCTTTGAAACGGACCGCTTACATCGTCAGCATTAACTAGTGCGGCCCCAGAGAGCTGACCATGAACCTGTGCTCGTGCTCTGCCACGTGACCTCCCCATAATCAAAGCCTATGTGGAATTTCCACTGTGTTTATTCCATGCCAGGGGATCCCCAACATCTGACCAAGGTCCATGCATAGAAATGCACCATTAACATTGCCACATATTTGTGCAAAAAACAACTATTGTTAAATATGTATTAAAACATAAAATGCTGGTAAACGTGTCCAAATAGACCAAGGAAGGATATGCAGATTGACTTGGTAGATATTCCTGTACATATGTAGATGTAAGCAAACAAACATGTTGTGTGAACATGCTCAAATTAGGTAAGTATTTGACACCTTTGAGTCATCATCAGGCCAGACCCATAATTCTCTATGTTTATACTTTATAAGACCACCTATCTTCAACTACACAACAATAACATCCATTACTTCCGTGACTTATCTACTGCTGAGACCCTTATCTTTTCCACGCCTTCATCACCTTTTTGTTCAACTACTGTCACTCTCTTCACGATGGCCTCTCCAAATCCCTTACCTTCAAACTGCAGATTATCCAGAATTCCTCTGGCAGATTTCTTACCGGTGCCCATAATTAAAATTAGATCATATCATCCCAATCCTCAGATCCCTTCACTGACTCCCAGTCCAATTTCATGGCTGTGCTGCACACCTCCCTAATGGGTTTTTTGGTTGAAACGTCAGACATAATGTGGAACAACACACGGTACAACTCAAAAATACATTAGAAAGCCACCCACTCCAATTCTGAATCAACTATAAAATGATCATGCTAATAATGAATCACCCTCACCATCTTAAAGATCCTCGGTGGACTCCTTCTACTAAGGCATTCTGTCACAACTCTTAGTCAATCTCCACTCTGAGGGAATAACAAAATAAGTAATGCCTTCTTCCCACGTGTCTTTCCATGTAAAAAAGGAAAGTAATTTTACCCAATCCATCGACCGCATGGCCTTCTGGGAATGTATTTTTTCAGCAGCGTTTGTTTCATAAAGCAAACTCTGGACTGGTTTTGACATTCAGTGTCTCATCAGCAGAGTCCGGCGAACTAGGACCAATGCTGGTGAACTCTATGGGAGGTCACTCATATTTTGCTGCTACCCACATTGTTTAGAGTTCCGACCCACAAGCCTTCCACACTGCCGACTTTCTCTCTCACTCCAAGTTCCAGGTAAAAACATTAGTCTCTGCCGACGACTGAGACTCTTTCTATTGTCATCAGGCCCATCTTATCCTACCTATTGTCGCCTCCCTTTATGTTCTGTAAATTTTCTACCCCTTTGTAAATTTCTTCCAATGGCGTATGCCCTGCGTTTGTGCAGCATCTTGCCATTCAGTCACATTTACATTATTTACGAATCCAAATTGTATTGTGTAAGTCCATGCTGTTATAATGGAAAATATATATCATATAGGAGTGCTGGTATGAATATATCGAAAGGTAGATGTGCATCCGGATGTCGGTAGATAGATCAGTACATAGCCTTAGTTGTGGGTAACAGGAGAATAATAATCTTTAGGCTACTGCTGGCTCAACCGTAAGTGGACACGGGCTGTTAAGCTCAATGGGCCTTACCAGCTGAACTAGGGAGAGTCTGAGTAGGACAATAGAGACATTAAACCAGATTTCTTTAAATGATGAAATACTGTAGTAAATAACCCCTGTGTATGTTTCACTGTGTGTACATCATACTTCTACTTTCAGATTTTTCGTTTTATTTCACCAGGAAACACTGTACACTAAACCTCAGTGGTCAGTTTTGGTTTTATTTTCCAGTTGCACCTGAGTCATGTTCACAAATTATCTTTATTTTATTTTATTCCTACACCACACTGACACACTAAACAACATACATATTCTAGATTTACATACATACATATTTCCCAGTGCACTATTACACCGTGCACATTTGTGTTTGTTTCTTTCACGTCAACCGATGGTACTTGAAACAAAAAAATACCTAATTCATCAATGACACTGTGGCTTGCTTTAAAAGGATGAATATATATTGGGTGAAGGTTTGGGCAATGGCCCTTCATAGTGTGAACGATTAATACGGTTAGTTTAAAAACTAAAAAACTTTCTTTTTAAATAAACAATTTTTTATTTTACCAGGTATGGCCACCTGAGCTATATAGCTGTATTTCAGAAGTGCCCTGGCCACAAATGATAGCTTAATGAAGTGGCATATCATCATGTGGAAATTTATAACAGCCAAATACTCTAAAGGCATGTTTCTAAATGTGGAGGGAAAAACCGGAGGACCCGGAGAAAACTGCACGTGCTCACAGGGAAAGAGACACGCAGACTCCAAATATACAGGCGTAAGAGTCGGGACCGAACCCGCGACATCCTGTATGCCAGGTGTGGTAGTTAACATCTCGCCACCACGGCACCTAATGGTACTCGGATTGCCAATACACAGCCTTCGAATACTTAAAATATACTTTACTTTCTTAATTACAAATAAGGATTTTATTTTATCTGTGTAAATGGCACATTGATTGACTTGCATGCCAATAAGCTTCCAAATTCGATTTTCTAAATAATTGTTTATAACAGCAGATGAAATAATAAAAAAACAGTAATAGTAATGCATAACCCTTTGTCAGTCCACCACTGGATGAAGGCCTCCCCATGCTGTGTAATTAATAGGGGTTGTTTGACCATACTTCACTACGCTCGTCATTGTGAATTGGTGCACTTGGGCCCAGGACTGGTTCAGATAGCACAAGCTGTTTATGTTAGCTATGGCTGAGAATAACACTCATGTCACTGGGTTCGTGGTGCAGTGTTTTGGATGTATTATATTTATAATGTACAATACAATTTGATAATGAAGAGTAGTGTACCAATACACCCAAAGAAGAAACCTTTATGTGCACTACCTGCTATGACATATGGTGAAGAAACGTGGTTGTTAATGAAAAACAAAAACGGAAAAGTGTGCAGAGATGCATGTTTAGAATTACATTGGGAAACAGATAAAGGAACACATCTAGGTTAAAGACATCGTCCGAAATAGTAAGAGAAGTGGGTTTGTGCTAGAAGGGATGATGGATAATGGTCAAGATTAATAATGAAATGGCAGCAATATATGGAACGTGTTCGAGTGGAGGCCCTACATGGAGATGAAGCAATGAAATAAATTAATGTGTAGGTGCTGGATTGATTGTTGCATTGCAAGGTCATGAAAGGTGGTGGCAACTTTAGAAGTCCTTCATCAAGCCGTGGGTTGATCGTAACTGCTGCTGCTGATGATGATGATGACAATTTGGATTTAGAGGGTATATATATATAAAAAAACTAATGGTAACCCTTTAAAGTATTTACCCAGCTCAAAATCTGTTTAGCTTTTGAGATACGATGAGATTGGGCACATTTTGCTGATTTGCTCATCAGCAAAAGTCCGAGGATATCTCTGAGTGGCTGTAGCTGGTGCTTGCTCTCGTTTGCACGGCAGGCTGCCAGTCACATCTCGGAGGAGCAGGTCATCACAGACGTGCCTCTGGGCTTTCCCACACACGTGGACGTGTACGCAGTGCCACGCCGTGATGAACCACGGAGGAGGAGACGCAGCAGCCACGGAGCTGAAGTCGAACAGGTGGGCACACGCAGTGGCATAGCTGGTTTGAAATGCACCGTGGTGCAACGACGTAAATGGGGTGCCCTGTACATTTACACCCCCATTTATAGTCCAGCACCCGGGCCTCTTCTGCCTGTGGGCTTTTGATTTTCACCGCCGCACACTTGATAGCTCTGCCACTGTGGGCACCTTTTACTATGTAGCGCTGGCGTGGGTTATCTATGTGCGGGCATATATGTTGGTTATCTGGGTGCATGTGTGTGTATATATATGACAGCTGCCATAAAAAATATATGGTTCTTTTATTGGTGTAGTCACTAGACTCATGAAATGAAATTCTGAGGTGAGTATACTGCTTGCGTCTTATCACTTGATGACAAAATAGCGCTGATTGAGCACGTACTCTTCCTATCACTTGATGACAAAATAACGCTGATTGGGCACGTACTCTTCCTATCTCGACGGTAAATAAGGTTGAGCCTGGTTAGTACTTATACGCAAGACCACTTGGGAATACTTGGTAGGCTTGGGCTGTGAAATGGCCAGGAAATTACAGTGAAGCAATGCATTGTTGAACCTTACTCTTTGGTTCTATTCAGTAAAGTCACGTAGGTAAAAAATAAAACAACATAAATCACGACGTTTCGGCCACAACACAAGTGGCCTTCATCAGGTGAAGGGACCGTACTGTCCAACGCTGTCCTCTGGACAGTATGGTCCCTTCACCTGATGAAGGCCACTTGTGTTGTGGCTGAAAGGTCGTAATTTTTTGTTTTATTATTTACCTACGTGACTTTACTGAATAGAACCAAAGAGTATGGATCCTTGCAGTCATGAAAGCTTTAAATCTCGAATTGTTGAACCTATCGGTATGGAGCTTTCAGTGTCATCCCCTTGTATGCAACGGTTTTCTCTGGTTAGTCCATAATTGGCCAAACATACTGACCAGGACACCTGTTGAGAAAATCTAGAGAATGTAAGAATTTTTATAAAGGGCAATAGTATTTTTATAATATTAATAATAATTGCATTACATCTAAATGCTGGAGTGTAAGAGTGTAGGTTGGTACAAATGTATTATGAGTGTATAGATTCCATTTTAAATAAATATCTTTCCTAAGAAAATATTACACAACAATCAATGTGTTTGATGCATTAAAAAACCTCATTCTTGATGTTATTGTAGCAAACAGTAGAATATGATATGTTTACTCAAAAGTTGAAGAATGGATTCAAATTCCTGGAAATGTGATGTTTGCATTATAGGTCTATGAATCACTTGTGTCGGTTGTGAAGAGAAACTTGGTGACATTCAATCTAAATCCTGAAGTAAAAATCACAGTAGTTGCAAGTAAGTTTGCATTTTTTTATTTACACAGCATACATAACATGGTTCTTGAAACAGTAGTCCAACAACACTCGCACATCCATATCTTTTGATAAAAAAGTATAGATTGCATACTCTTTGGTTCTATTCGGTAAAGTCACGCAGGTAAAAAATAAAACAACAAAAATCACGTGACTTTACCGAATAGAACCAAAGAGTATGGATCCTTGCAGTCACGAAAGCTTCAAATCTAGTATAGATTGCATACCCCGCGGTGATTGGATCGCGATTGAAGCCAGTTTTGTAAAAAGCGCAATACAAAAAAACGAGTGATATAATGTCGCAGCCTCTGTCATCTGCTTTGGGTCACAAATAACTGAGAACTGCAAAAAAGACAATCTTTGATCACTTTTCCATGGCAGCTCCACTCAGGATGAAAAATTTGAGATTATAAGAGTGAGTCACACAGACTATAAAGTAACTCATGCAGGACATGCAACTTTTAATAAAATGTCACTTGAGATTTGGGACATGAATATGCCAAAGGTGCTCTTGCTGGCTGTGTGCACACATTTAGAATGCAAATTATATTTTTTTTCCTACTGGCTTATTGAGATGTCCGCTCTACATTCCCCCAGTAGCAGGCTTCCAGCAGCCGGGCTCGGGGCCAGGTGTTACGCTTGTGCTGCTTGTGCTCTGCCTGGCCTTTCTTGGCCTTTTAATCTACATCATCTACAGGTTCAAAAGGTATGTGCCCCGTGCATGGATTTGAAAGAAAAAAGTTATAGTAGCATACACGCTTTCAATTAACAAGTTATCAATTGTTCCTTTGGCAAATTAAATTATGTTTGTTATAATTAATAATGGGGTTGAAGCCAGTGACACAGTGGTTAGCGCACTGCGTTACAAAATTGGTGTCCGGAGTTAAATTCCCATCCATGGCTGACAGTAGCTTGTGATAACTGAAACTACTTTTGGGCCACCCCCTTCAACAACCCGCATTAACGAGCCTGAAGTACGGTAAAACAACCCCCGTAGTCGATGTGACATTAGGAGGCCTTTATTCAGCTGTGGATTTACAAAAGTTTAATACGTAGACTTTCTCGACCAGTATTATTCATAATAAAGGTTTTTGGGTTAGATCGCGTTATTTATAAATGTGTCGCAACCCTCCACCACCCGACACGGCCAATCAGTAAAAAATGTGTCACGTTGACAAAAGACAAATAGTTCACTACTTTAGCCCACCGGTGTGTTGAAGAGTGGATCTACAACATTTACAATTTGAGTGCGCCGTTTTGCTGGAAATTACATCCAGCATCTTCGGACTCTTTGCCAGAATAGTGAAGCCATCCACCTGCTGCCGGTCTTAAATAGTGCAGGATGACGTCATCATTATTGAACCCCATCACATTTCGAGATCAGCGCGGGGGTGGGGGTGTTTGCAATTATGTAATAGATCAGTAATCAGCCAGTTAGCATGTGACTCACCTATAAGGTGAGTCACATGCTAAGTGGCTGACAGTAGCTTGCTAAGTGACTGATTACTGATCTATTACATAATTGCATACACCCCCACCTCCGCAATCTCCCACGGCTCTGCCTTTTACGTGATTATATTTTATATTCATACACAAATGAAGCCAATGAACAACTGCATGCACCGTGGGGGGGGGGGGGGGGGCTTGTGAGGACTAGAGTTGAAAAAAAAACTGATTTAGCCCAGATGAATTCCCCTATAGCTGAGCTGTAGTGGTCGCTCGCACCTGTAATACAAACACTTTAAAGGTAAGAGTTGGAGGACTCTGTACATATATGAAATACTTAACCTGCCAGGCTGTGAGGTGGCCAGAAGGCGGGAGCACAGCGAGTGGGTTCATGAAACTGTCAGTGCAGAATTTTAAATGTTATTCCCCTCTCGTCCTTGAGGTTTCTCCAATTTCCTGTCACACGCAAAACACTTGTTAAACGTTCATTGGTCACAAAATATAATATGGAAACTTTCTAAAAGAGAATATTAAGACTCCAGTGATTATTGAAACTTTCCTTGGTTAAGATCATTATTTTTATTTTAATACATGGTGCAGACTTTTTGCATATGTTTCCTGATATGTGTGACTGCCTTGCCTGGCAGCCTGGCATTGGACAGTGACGGAGATATTCTGGGAAAAATAAATTACATCTTCATTGGTTTTAACTGGTAATTTAACAGGAGTGAGGAAATATGAAAATGTTTGAGAGTTTGCACCATGTAAAGACCTCCTTTTAAGGGAAATGAATGATCCAAACAAATGGGTCATTTATGTTCATATATTTTATTTTACAGAAACCTTGGTCATGTCCTTACATTTCATGTATTCTCTTTGGTTCTTTCGGTAAAGTCACGTAGGTATAAAATAAAATGAATAAAATCACGACGTTTCGGGCGCAACACAAGCATCCGTCATCAGGTGGGACAACCACAGCAAGAATCAATTGCTGAAGTGGGCAAAAGGGCTGCCGTGACAAGAGGCCAAATAGGCAAGAGAGGGGGGAGGAGCCAGGGAGGAGAGACAGAGAGGGGGGTGTGGGGTAGAGGGATTAAAGGGCGAGCACGGCAAAATGCCAGGGGGGGGGGTAAGAGAGGGGGGCTCCTCCCCCCTCTCTTACCTATACAGCCTCTTGTTACAGCAGCTCTTTTGCCCACTTCAGCAATTGTTTCTTGCTGTGGTTGTCCCACCTGATGACGGACGCTTGTGTTGCGACCAAAACGTCGTGATTTATTTTATTTTATTTTATATCTACGTGACTTTACCGAAAGAACCAAAGAGTATGGATCCCTGCAGTCATGAAAACTTAAAATGTAGATTTCATGTATAGTCTAGGGTGATGCATTTATAAATATCCAACTGGTTTCTAATGAACACCTTCTCAACAGGCAATCAAATACGATTAAAGTGATGGCTCTATATCGTACAGAGCAGAGCGTTATACATTTAAAGAAGTGTATTATTGAAACTGGTAGGAAATATGAAGAGGCATTCATGTATTTGTTTTATCTCTATAATGTCCACATGTTATTTAAGTGGGCTGTCTATACATGGATCACCCCGTGTGTGTGTTTGTATCCACTTTTCCCTCCCTCCCAAATATAACAAGAACTGGGTGAGTTGAATGTAGTAAGAGGGCAATAAAGATACCGGGGAAGAAGGAGGGGTTGGTGGGGGCAGGGAGCAGTTGGTTTAAGTCCAAGCACTAAATTACTTTCCCATTCCAATAATAAAGTTACCTTCGTGATCCATATAACAGCCAAGTAAAATACATGCTGCCACTAAATCGCCAACTAAGGCGATAAACAGAGCCACAGTGTGAAACGTTTGGACAAGACACCATCGATTGTTCATTTTGAGTTTTTTTGGTTTTTGACCATTTTTACAATATTTACTGTAACCTGCAAGTTCATGGGGGAAAAAAAATCCCTCATTACGGTATCTGTGGTGGAATGGTGGTGCAGCGGTTATCACACCAAATGTTATTTCCGCCAAGGGCTCACATCAGTGGCGAGTGATATCGGAGCCGGTTCTGGGCCCCCCAACACACACCTCTCCACTTCACTCACCCACCCTGACCAGCATCGTGAAGAATGACCAAACAACCCCAATGCCCGATATTGCGTAGAGAGGCCTTCATCCAGCAGTGGGTTGCCAAAGGGTTGTAAATTTGTTATACTGTGATAATAATTAATTCACTGCTAGATGAGGGCCTCCCCACTTTGTGTTAACCATGGGGTTTGTTTGATTATATTTTTCCACGCTAGTCAGTGTGGGTTGCTGAAGTGGGAAACGGCCAGGATCTGTTCCCGTATGACTTGCCACTGATGTTAGCCTTGGCTAGGAATGGAACTCAAGGTGCTCAGGTTCACAGCACAGTGTGTTTAACCACTGCACCATCGCTGTCCCCAGGCCCACACCTGCAGTGTTATAATTACTTGGAGTGAACTTGCCACTCAACCCCGCAGGAAACTGGTCGGAGGAAACGTCTATGCGCAAATGCACAACGAGAAGGAGCAGGATGTGACCACCCCGGGGGAGGTGGCCACCGTTATCCAAAACGAGGCACTGCACAACCAGGAGGAGTTCATTGACGATGATTTGGACTCACAGACACTAGGTACGCACAAGCACGCGACCTCGGAACACTTGCTCATTCACAAGATAGTGTCTCTAATTGTGTGAACTTTGTGCTGACCCCCCTGGGTCATGCAGAGATTAATATACCGACTCTGAAATATTGACGCGCATCTCAACCTTCCCTGCTCCGCTGAATTCTGCTGCCAATTCCCTCTGTCCTTTCCCCTCCCACCTTGTCCTCATAAAAAAACCCATAAAACTTCACGGCCGTTAATCCTGTGGCATTTCAAAAATGACAATAGATTTAAATGTCGTGTAAGTTGGGTAATATTTACCGTTATTGATAGCATTTCTTTGCGTGTAACTTTTTGCCTTGTCTTTGGTGCGTGCGTCGCAGGAAACCACAGCACTCACGTCGTGCTCGGCCTTCACGCCAGGGAAGCAAACAGCTACGTGAGCAGCTAACAGCAAATAAACTCCAATCTCAGACCAATATGCCACGGTTTGTCCATTTATCAGTGCGTTGTCTGAGCAACCCCCCTGGTCCGCTTCACGTCCTCCGACACTGCTCCATCATAACTGCCGTCGCTCGGTAGACCAAAGAGAGAGAGAGAGAGAGTGCCCAGTGCTGCATGCTGCGCTTTAACGTGGACCTTCAACAGGAGTATGTGGAGTCTCAACCTTGCGTTGTGGCTGAGAGTACGTGCACTCTAGATAAAGGGTAGTGACTGGTATTGCCAGAGATTTTTTTAAACATTTCTTTTGGGATCCTGTGGTTTTTTTGAAATTATTAGTTGATATTCCCTAAAGTGTGTAGTTTTACCCAGTTACCCCACAGAGCATTAAATTGCTTTGAACCACAATACATAAAATTGGTTACTGAAGTCCCTAGAGTTTTATATCCATAAAACTTTTACTAAATTGTAACCAAATAGTTACAGACAGCCTACGGCTTTTTCGAACGCTTGTAGGATTAAGTGTTAGGAATGGGAAGTTTGCAAAGTAGTACAGTAGAACTCCTCTCATTCACGTTGACGTCGGCGATGAATATTGCAGATCGGATTTTCCGCAACATTATCCAAACATTTATTATTATTTGCATTTTTTTACTAAAAACCCACAGGCAATGGAATGAATTTGCCGCATGACTCCTCTTATCTGCATATGATCTGCGAACAAGAAACATTTCCAAAATTCAGGATGTGAAAATTTTGGAATATAGCAATGCAATACCTGTAATGGGGTCACATATAAGAGGAGTTTTTGTGGACCCCACATCTCTCGTGGATAATAGGAGTGCCAGGTAATAAGCCTCGCGGGAATAAGAGGAGTTCTACCATGTATACATACATATAAGGGCCTTAGTAATGCAAGAAATGAATTGGTGGCAAAATGCTTCTTTCAAAGCTCTCTGTAAAGGAAGTCATCGGCCTCAGCCTTGCGCTTGTTCACGTTACCATCAGTGGTGTTTCAGACATGTATATGTTCTAAAGATTTGTGAACCAAAATATTGTATGCGGTATGTAATGAACATAAGTTAAAGTTTTTGAATGCTTCAGCATTGAGCCTGTATACATTTCTCATGGGTTTTGTAAAGCACAGTATATTCTAATATATGCTGGTGGTAATCCTTCGATGAGAGTGTTGGCATGTATAGAAAAATATATGTTATTTTAAGCAACAGAAGGGTGTTTGCTAACAGTATGCGTGATCGATGTGGCGTTAATTTAAGAAACATTAAATGTGGCACAATGTATAAAATATAACTATTTATTTGCATTTCTAACTATCAAATGAAGTGTTGAGCACACAATGTGCTTTTAGTGGCATGCTTTACCATTACATGCTGCCTTTTCATAAAATTTGTTACCATGAATACTTACCAATGCTTGTAGTATATGACTATATGAGTAACCTTGTGTTTTCTGTGCTGTTAATGCCTCGTGGAGATCTTTGGTTTCGACAGAGTAATACCCATTTTAATTTATTTACAGTAAATACCTTTTGTGTATTCCCGTTTGCATTCAGTGTGCATTTTTATGGCATCGTTTGGGAATAATTTTTTGGGTGTGACAATTTTGCAAGGTGTTGAAGAGAGAGCCGTTTGTGTACGCGATCGTTTCATATGCCTGATCTACAAATCAGGCATATGAAATCCAACGCACACCTTACCTTCCGAGCTGACGTATTTATGGAACACAAAATTCATTGAAACCTGATCCTGACTCATCCGTTGTGTGATAGGCACTGGATCGTAAAGCTTCATCCTACTGAGGCAATACTAAACTGACCGTTCTGGTTTGTAGCTACCTCATTAAGGGGCGTGGACATTGTCGGCAGTGATTTCGGATTTCTCCAGGATAAAAATAAATTCTGATTCTGCGGCCATGCTCGATGTAAAAGGATGCACTGAATAAAAGCCTGTTTTCATGATATGACAGCATCTCTTTCGTAGCATCTGCCACATTTTCCCAGTGAATGAATTGTATAAAAAAAAATCGAAGGAACATTAAACAGGGCAGCAATTTTAAAAGTGGGGTATCCGGATGTTAACCTTAATAATTCTGCTCACAATATATATTTTGTGCTCTTCAGTAGCCTATATTTTAACTTCTTAAATTAGTATGTGTCAGTGTCTGTGGTGTTGAAAAAGGGGTTAAACGTATAAGTAATTGCTCTACAATCTAATCACTATAGTTTAAACTGTTTTATGGTGTCTTTTTGAGACATTAACCTTCTCGTGCTTTAGCTACTGAATTCATTTTCTAGAATTTATGCTTTAACATGACCAAATGGTTTCTGGACGATCGTATACCATCTGTCTTCACCGTGGGAGAGACGTGATGGGCGTGTTTCAAGCTAAAACCAATGTTCGGTATGGGCAATTTATCCAGTATGGTCTCTTTTTGAAAAATAAAATATTGGGTTGTTGTCCTAAATATCTGACATTTGACAGCAGCTTTGCTGGTCATATGTCCTGAGACAGCATATTGTGAGCTGCTATTTCTACTATGTGACAAAAGGATTTTTACATTACTTTTTAAGCTGCAGACTGTAACGCTAAGAAGTGTGAAAGCATATAAACATGCTGTACAGCCACGTATTGACAAGGTGTCAAGTTGCCAGAGTTTAATACAACTGAGAATTGCTGTTTAAATCTCATACTGTTTGCAGGGGGTAAAAAGAAACATCTTGATTCATTGTGCGCTCAGTCAATCATGTTCTCATTAGAGGTGTGCAGCAGTGTACTTTTCTGCACATACGTCTCCTGGTAGGGGGGCAATCTATAACAAGTTTGGGGGCAATTCTTCGAAACAAGTTAGCTTGCAGCTATGTAAGTGCATTTTTGACCAGGTCGCCAGTATTCCACATGAGGGGCCAAACAAGTCAGGAGGCAAATCATCACCAAGCTGTGCTTGCACTACTGAAGAAGAGATGTTCGTCTAAACTTTTGTTAAAAAGTATATTGCAATATGTTACGTGAAAAACAAGATCGTATAGAACATGTCTTTTTTCATAGGTAAGTGTATTCGATTGCTTTCTTTCTGGTTGTCCAGTTGTATCATTTTCTAGTTTAATCATAAAATAGGAAATAACTTGAGTATCAGAGCCTCAGCATGTGCTGTTTCTTGTTTGTTATCAGGGTATGTGTACGCATTTTGCAAATAACGATAACAACTGGAAAGAGAGTCTCCATTTCCTTTGTGACCCCCAAACCATATTGTGGTGTTAAGCCTGAAACCAAGAAAACGTGTGCACATTTTTGGTAAGCTGATAACAAAACAAACATTTACACAAGTAGAAGCACTGTGAAGTGCACACTATGATTTTGGAATCGCTACTAATACTGAGTTTCATTGTTATTTTCTGCTTAAATCGCCTCTCCACCCAACAGCTTAAAATGGTGCACTACATATATTCTTGGTTCTTTCGGTAAAGTCACGTAGAAGGGAAACAATAAAATAATAAAAATATAAAACAATAAAATTCTCACGACGCTTCGACTGCAACACCTGATCATCATCAGGTGTGAAAACCACAACAAGAACATTTGAAAAAAAGTGGCGATTATTTTTAACGTTAGCACCACGGAGAGAGATTTGACAGTTTGTACAGATGGACGAGTCCATCTATGTTCGGAAAAGAGGAGGGGGGAGACGAAAATAATGTATGCGATCTGAAAGCCACCGTAAGCGTGAACAATCAATTAAGACCCGAAATGGTTTATCAAATCCTTCCAATGATTGCTAAGCCAGAATCCATCTTCTCGGTCGAAATTGTCTCTGTGTTTGTATATGTGGATAGCCTCATGAATGAATCTCACACCTGATGATGATTGCTTGTGTTGCAGTCGAAACGTCGTGAGAATTTTATTGTTTTATATTTTTATTATTTTATTGTTTCCCTTCTACGTGACTTTACCGAAATAACCAAGAATATGAATCCCTGCAGTCACGAAAGCTTTAAATCACTACATACATGTTTACTCGTGTTCTATGTGAAGCTAAAATTACACACAACGGGTCTTCTGAATAAATATTTCACACAGCAGACTGAAAATATAGTTACCAAACAATTAAATTGGTGCCATTGAACAGGATATACAGTGAGGGAAAATAGTATTTGATCCCCTGCTGATTTTGTACGTTTGCCCACTGACCAAGAAATGATCAGTCTATAATTTTAATGGTAGGTTTATTAGAGTAGTGAGAGACAGAATAACAACAAAAAAATTCCAGAAAAACGCATGTCAAAAATGTTATAAATTGATTTGCATTTTTATGAGGGAAATAAGTATTTGACCCCCTCTCAATCGGAACGATTTCTGGCTCCCCAAGTGTCTTTTATACAGGTGTAATGTTCGGTTTCACTCGGACAACTTCTGTCTTTCTCCGAACACCGCTTTAGTTACAACTCTCAGCATGTCCTCCACATTCCACGGTATCCTGGTCGCCACGGCTCGCTCGCCGTGCCTCACTCGACTCGCTCGCCACCTTTGTCTCTCCACTCCCCACGATTACTTCGCTTACTCCCCACGATTACTTCACTTACTCCGCCGCTAACTTCTTCGTCTCCGCTCTCCGCTATCACCGTCGCTATGTTCTTTCCACTGCTAACTGCTTTATCTCTGTTCACCGCTATCACCGTCACTATGCTCACTCCACTGCTAACTGCTTTATCTCTGTTCACCGCTATCACCGTCACTATGCTCACTCCACTGCTAACTGCTTCATCTCTGTTCACCGCTATCACCGTCACTATGCTCACTCCACTGCCGGCTGTTCTCGTCTCCAGCTCCGCTATCGCTACGCTCTCTCCACTGCGGGCTATTCTCGTCTTCAGCTCCGCTATCGCTACGCTCTCTCCACTGCGGGCTATTCTCGTCTTCAGCTCCGCTATCGCTACGCTCTCTCCACTGCTAACTATTTCGTCTTTGTTCAGCTTCGCTATCGCTACGCTCTCTCCAAGCTCCATCTCCAACTCCGTCTCCCTTCCACTCTGTCTTCCAAACTCTGTCTCTCAAACTCTGTCTCTCAAAACTCTGTCTTCCAAACTCTGTCTCTCAAACTGTCTCTCAAACTCTCCACACTTCAATTCCCCCTGTTGACTCCAAGCTCTCCAAACTCCAACCCCCGCTCCAATTGCCGACCCCCCAATTTATCCCCGCTCTCATCACACCCCAATCAATTAACCCGCGTCCCAACGGCACCCCGCGTGATCCGTACACCTATTTCTCGCCAGACTTCAAGACGCCTCTCCAGCCCCGGCAACAGCACCAACCAATCACAGCCGTCCTTGGCTCTCCCAACCTAATTGCCCTCACATAACCTGTACTGTGTTTGTTATCATGTAATCACGCGGTTTCCACAATGCACCATCGTACTCCACTACACAGGTAACGAGCTGAGATTAGGAGCACACTCTTAAAGGAAGTGCTCCTGATCTCAGCTTGTTACCTGTATAAAAGACACCTGTCCACAGAAGCAATCGATAAATCAGATTCCAAACTCTCCACCATGGCCAAGACCAAAGAGCTCTCCAAGGATGTCAGGGACAAGATTGTAGACCTACACAAGGCTGGAATGGGCTACAAGACCATTGCGAAGCAGCTTGGTGAGAAGGTGACAACAGTTGGTGCGATTATTCGCAAATGGGAGAAACACAAAAGAACTGTCATTCTCCCTCGGCCTGGGGCTCCATGCAAGATCTCACCTCGTCGAGTTGCAATGATCATGAGAACGGCGAGGAATCAGCCCAGAACTACACGGGAGGATCTTGTCAATGATCTCAAGGCAGCTGGGACCATAGTCACCAAGAAAACAATTGGTAACACTACGCCGTGAAGGACTGAAATCCTGCAGCGCCCGCAAGGTCCCCCTGCTCAAGAAAGCACATATACATGCTTGTCTGAAGTTGCCAATGAACATCTGAATGATTCAGAGGACAACTGGGTGAAAGTGTTGTGGTCAGATGAGACCAAAATGTAGCTCTTTGGCATCAACTCAACTCGCCGTGTTTGACCCCAAGAACACCATCCCCACCGTCAAACATGGAGGTGGAAACATTATGCTTTGGGGGTGTTTTTCTGCTAAGGGGACAGGACAACTTCACCGCATCAAAGGGACGATTGACGGGCCATGTACCGTCAAATATTGGGTGAGAACCTCCTTCCCTCAGCCAGGGCATTGAAAATGGGTCGTGGATGGGTATTTCAGCATGACAATGACCCAAAACACACGGCCAAAGCAACAAAGGGGTGGCTCAAGAAGAAGCACATTAAGGTCCTGGAGTGGCCTAGCCAGTCTCCAGACCTTAATCCCATATAAAATCTGTGGAGGGAGCTGAAGGTTCGAATTGCCAAACGTCAGTCTCGAAACCTTAATGACTTGGAGAAGATCTGCAAAGAGGAGTGGGACAAAATCCCTCCTGAGATGTGTGCAAACCTGGTGGATAACTACAAGAAACGTCTGACCTCTGTGATTTGCCACCAAGTACTAAGTCATGTTTTGCAGAGGAGTCAAATACTTATTTCCCTCATTAAAATGCAAATCAATTTATAGCATTTTTGACATGCGTTTTTTCTGGATTTTGTTGGTATTCTCTCTCACTGTTCAAATAAACCAACCATTAAAATTATAGACTGATCATTTCTTTGTCAGTGGGCAAACGTACAAAATCAGCAGGGGATCAAATACTTTTTTCCCTCACTGTATGTATCATGTGTCCCGAATGCTTATGTTGTAAAACATGTGGTCATATCCGTTTCATTTTGCAAACGCACTATAATTGCTGTACATCAGGAGACAATTTCAAATAAACTCGCTGAAAGTTACAGCAACTATGTGGCAAGTGGAACACTTGCGCCAACAACGTGACTGAGGGTTTTATCCACATGCACTTTTCATTTTGAGAAAAGTCAGTCCCGAATTGTTGTTTCCCATCTGATTACCCACATTACCAACCAAAAAAAGCCATAAAACCATAAAGCTGAGGTTGGGGGGGGGGGGAATTTCCTGCCGATAAAAAAAAATCACCCAGCTCTCGAGCAATCCTGGGAGGAACCGGAGGTTTTTAACAAGAATTATACGCGAGCTGAGAATCACTCTACTACACAGCAACTCCAGGTGAGTTCACACCTTTGATCATTCTCACACGGATTATTGCTTCTGTTGTCATATATAGATGAAAAATAATGGCTTTGAACAAATTGCGTTTCATGTGTTAAAATATGAAACTGTAAAAAATTACGAACGTTTAACATGCTCTACAGAATTGCAATATCAACACGGGTACACTAAACACAATAGTTGTGATGTATAGGTATTTAAATTATGTAATTATTTTTTCATACGCACGAATAAAAGCAGTACCACCACACATTCTGAACTTGGCTTTGGTCTTCACAGACTCACCAAATGTCTACTAATAGTGCCTAAATTAGCAATGCGGGGCAAATTATACATTCATAATGCATACAAATGTATGTAAATGTAGCATATATAAGTACGTTATCTTTGTGTAGTACAATCAGGAAAATAATTATGTTGCAATTCTACGTTTCCAGATGCGCTTCTGCGGCCATCTGGATGCTCTTGCTTCCAATATTAGAAAGCAACTGGACCTATGCATTCTTCAATTTAGATTGAAAACTCATTTCTTTAGAACTGCTTTTTGTGTTTAATTTATTGTCCTTCCCCTGCACCTCTGAGTAGCACGATTGGCTACGCACGGTTTGAAAGAAGTTCAACATACATACATATATTTTATGCGGGATGTTGCCGTATAGTGGTTAGCTCACTTGACTTGCAATCCAAAGGTCGCCGGTAGGATGTCCCGGTGCAGGTTAAAAAGTGGTGCATGTTTTTGGATCCCCCCACACCTCCGTCCACCCAGCAGTATAAATGGGTACACCACAGAGAGTTGATTGGCTTGTGGTGGGGTAAAGTGTGGGTCTTCCTACCTCTTCCAAGACGTCTGTCCAGCATGCAAGAGAATGTCAACAATACTCTCTAGAGAGGTTCTCTAGGGCTCCCTCTAACGGAGGCCACATTGCCAGTAGTGGTGTCGGCGAGACATGTCATGGCTGCACCTTTAATTCTTTACCTGATATACATGTATGCTGCAATTATCCCATTGTTTTTCAAAATCCCCAAAGCTTGACCATGGCTCATGATGATGATGCTCGGGAAAATAGGATTAACTTTCTTAAAAGACAACCATTGATATTACAGTACTTGCATACAGTATTGCGGAAATATCCACCTGAAGTTGCATTTGTAATGTCCTTGTGGTTTAATGTTTGCTACGATGAGAGTATGTCTTGGCACTATAGTCGGATATTCATCTTTCAGCTAATTGCATGTTTTTGTTATTTTTTTCTGCGTGGCCTGCTGATAGCTCATTTCACGGTGTGAGGTTGACAATGGCGAAATGTTTGGGAGAAAACATCATTTGTGAAGGATATTTGAAAAAGTCTCCTCCTCCAAATAAAATTGTCTTCAAAATATCGGTGAGCAACTTGTTGACTGGGTTATCAAAGTGACTCCACTCCCCAAGACAAGCTATGTCTGTTGGCGCAAATGATTACTTTGAGTTATGGACACCGTATTTAATAATTTTGTGTCAAACTGGGAACCCCCTATCATGAGGGGAGAGTGCTTGCCTGCAATATTGGCAGTTCACCAGCATTGATTCAAGCAAGCCTGACTACTGATGAGATACTCTATGTCGAAACCAGTCCAGAGTTCGCTTGTGAAGAAACATTGCTGCTGAAACGATGTTCTCCCAGAATGTCATGCCACTGCTGGGTTGTATAAGTAATACTTTCCTATGTTTTATGTGCACAGACAGATAAATGAAGGATACAATTTGTCTAATTATTTATTTTATACTTGCGGAGTATGGATTGGGAGCAAAGGTTAACTTCATTAGGTGGAGAATTATGAACCCAGAGGCCTGAATTTGATTCCCGGCCATGGATGATTTCAGTTGGGAATGATATCTGAACCGATGCTACCCCTCTCCACCAGCACTGACCAGTGTAGTGAAGTAATGATGGGGGGGGAAAAATCTCCCATGACTGACATGGACTTCATCCAGCAGTGGATTGACATGGCTGTACAATATAATGTATTATTGCCCATATGCTTGACCAGAACAGTTAAATATACATACAGTCCTCGACTTACGAACACCCGCAATTATGAAGCAGCTTCCATGATTTTTTTTTTAACATTGACTTAAAACCCGAACTATCATTTGCAAATTGAACCGCGGCAATAATTTGTTCAGCTGACCGATCCTCCACGAGATGTAATGAATAAGCCTCGTGCTGGGAGTGAGTGTTTCTGTGTGTGGGCATTTTAATATACAGTAGATTACTGTGTTCCGACTTACGAACCGTTCGACTTACAAACGAGTCTCAGGAACGAATTGCTTTCCTAATTCGAGGGCTGCCAGTTAAGTATTTCCTTTTAACGTGTTAAACATCGACATACTTGTTTTTCCATCGGTATGGTATGACTGTTTTGCAATTAACTATTTCATTTCTGCTTAAAATAAGTTATGAATGTCATAGAACTCACATTGCACTCTTCCTTTGCACTAAAAAAAACGATATTTTACAAAATATCCCCACTAATGTTGCTTTATTCACACGTCTCTCTTATTTTTTTACAGCCCCTTAGAGATGCTGTGAAATGTTAATGCGCAACAAGAGCGATACTTGTTGCAGTCTTTTTCAGTTCGATTATTACTGAAGGTGTAATACCCATAATACTACACGGCCGTCTGCTTTACTGTGGACGTTGAAGGCCCCCTGACGTCATTCGCAAGAGCAGGCCATTTGTGTGCCAGGGTCAGGGTCCACATTTCTTTCCCGAATTTGGAAATTACCCGCACATTACTCGATTTAGGATTTCTCATAACAATAATCGCCCTCTACTGGCATACTAACGCCTGCTTGCAGTCCATGTGCTGAGCCACCGTGTGCTGCACATGGACAGCTATCACTGTGGGTGCTGTTTAACGTATGGCACGTGATTTAAAGTGTTTTGAGTTGTCCTGGTGTTTAGGGCGCTATATACAATACAATGATACTTTTTACTATTTCATCTTTATTTCATCAGAAGTATTTCCAAGTTCAAATAATGGTTTTAAATATATGGAATGCGATGTAAAATAACGTACTTTTGGTAAAGTTTAGATAACACCTCTTTCAACTCTTCTCTAATGACTTTCTCCACGACCTGTAGCTAAATGTTTTAACTTGTCATTTACTATTTGGTATAGAAATCATTTTAATGTGTGTTCTTTCTCTGTGCATGCAGATCTCCTGGAAGAAACGTTACTGTGTTCTTTGTCAAAATGAGCAAGGCAGTTACAGCTTTAAATATTACAAAGACGAAAAGGAATTCAAGGAAGGAAAGCCTCTTCTTGGGGAAATTAAAATAGGAACGTAAGCAAATAGCATCAGTTGTATTGGCACATCCATGTTATATTTATGTTTACCATATTATCTTGATTATAATTAGACACACTTCTCCTCCCCCCCCCTTATTTTTTAAAGCAAGAGTTGGGGGTGCGTCTTATAATCCACTCAGTGTGTGTCCTGTATTGTATAACTCGATTAACTCTCAGCACAATTTTAGGATCTGTCTTACTTGCCGGATAATTTTGTAATGCGGAGAAAATGGTAAAATATATGTTTTATTGTGTTAGCAATAAAACCTGGACATTATATATATTTATGTAATGACATTTGGGTGTATTTCAGATGTGCCAATTAACAGAAACGTTGTCCCACTTTATTGACATAGCTTCTCTGCTATTTTCAGTCTGCAGGAGCTGACAGATAACCCTGTTGTGCCAAACGTGATAATGCACAGAACAGAATCCGTTATATTTTTAAAAACAGAAAGCCGTGAGCTCTTCCTCTTCGCCGAAGATAGGTAGGCCAAAGTCTTCTACAATACTCGTCGTGCAGTCCATTTGCAGTTGCTTCCAGGTTGTGAATAGAGATGAACCTTGCTTGATTCATAATTTATATTTTGGTTAGGCCACCTAATGATCTGGACAAGTTGGTGTCGTTAAGGCTCTCCTCAACCCATCAAGTTAACTCGTCACATGTTATATTCTTGGTTCTATCGGTAAAGTCACGTAGAAGGGAAACCATAAAATAATAAAAATATACGTGATTTTACCAAAAGAACCAAGAATATGAATCCCTGCAGTCACGAAAGCTTTAAATCAAAATTCGTCACATGTTGTATAAATGTTTAACCAAACGCCAATAGTTTTGTTTCATCTTAGGGTAAGTTGAAGAACAATTCCCACAAACAAATTTGTTTTAAACAACCCAAAAATCGCTTATGAATTGTATCATTGGCTATAAAAAAACGATGTGCAAAGTGGCGAACCTTCAAGATTAAGATGTCACAAAGATGTCAGCATGGCCAAAGTTGATGATGCCACCACAACGCTTTCCACCCTCCGGTAGATTCCACAGTTGTTGCACAGCAGATATGGAACCTCCAAGATGTGCCCTAACAGAATACTACCATCTGGCCTTAGGTCTTCCCTTGGACGTCGAATTCATGGAGATCATTCCAATGGGTGTCTCGGCAATTGGCCCTCCCCCATGCGGCTCTCTTGAACAAGGTTTGCAATGAACCTTGGTGAGATTAAAATTTAGCTTTATTGATATTCTCGCTGTGGTGGAGAGATGGTATCTCTGTTGCCTGGTATGGAGGAGCCATGGGTTCGATCTAGACCCTGACGCCCGTATATTTGGAGTTTTCCCCGTGGTTGCGTAGATTTTTTTCCGAGTCCTCCGGTTCTCCCCTTCACATTTAGAAACATGCATTTAGATTATTTGGCTACTATACATTTCCACATGCAATTACTCAATCATTTAGGGGTGAATTGTTCCACCTCTGTTATGAATATGAAACATGTAACGGAATTAACATTCCATACGTGATTTACATATTACATTTTTCTTTTTTAATTGTCATAAATTTAACTTTTGTTAAGAAATATGCTGCATCTGTTCACTTGTGCAATGTTCTACATTATGTTTTATGATCAGAGAGGAAACAAAAAAGTGGTACTTGGAACTAGAGAAAATTAAATTGTCAAAGGTGAGTAATGATACCATGCCAGATGTTTATAGTTTTATCACCGCATTAAGTTAGCTACTTATTCAATTACACGTTGAATGCCGATCCCCAAATAATTGTAAATTACTCATTGGATTATTATAATTATTTGATTTTAATAAAAAAGCAAACCTAAATCTCAAGCTATTATCTTTTTCTCATCTGCTAACAAGAGGCAAAATGGCTATGCACGTTACAGTCATGTGAAAGATGGAATGAACAAATTATGAATAAAGGTCCAAGGCTGGAGGACATTTTAACAATTCTGGCCACTACCTGATGATGCTGGTTGTAATTACCAGCGAAACATTGCACCCAATTGTTGAATATGTGTGGATTGCTCCCCAACATATCGGTGTGCTGAAGCAGTAATACATTGGCACATTTGTTCACGTGACATCTTTATTAAGTGGCTGCATAGGGTGGAGGAGGGTGTACGACACATACTTTACTTACACGATTTGACCCAAAAATCTATTATGAATCATGGCATTGGTCGTGAAAGCCCGCACGCGTTAAATAAACCTACCAATGTTCTGCATAGCGTTATGTACGTCTACAGTTCTTTTGTCAATCCGCTGCTGTATGAGGGCCTCGTCATGCTGTACGGTATAGGGTGGGGGTTATTTAAACATATTGTACTTTTCCACACTGCTCAGTGGGGAGACAACTGATTAGGGTGGGTGGCATAGACATTGAAGCATCAAAGTAAAGTACGGGTTTCCCTCGCTTAATCCGGATTCAGTCACACGTGGGACAACATTGTGGGTACTGTTTGCGCGACTCGGCAGGCAGCTGTCTCGTGTGTTTTCACTTTGTGTGCCCCTTTTTTGGAACCGCATAAAGCGAGGAAAATCTGCAACAATAAATTTTGCTGAACTACCCTCTGCTCTCTGCTGACACTGTAACCTCACAGCAGCATACAACACCTGTATTGTTCATGGATGTCATCCACCCAAGCACTATGCAGGCTCAATGCCTACTTAGCATCAGAGATCTGAAGAGAGTGTTCCAGGTAATTTGATCATAGGCGTATAATGTTATGTATGTCCAGTATATTGTTACATATACGACACGGTATATTTTCACAGAGTGGACACGAGTCTTTGAATGTGGGACGAAGTCCACTGAAGCGAGTCAACACACAGATAGAGAATTGCCCACAGAAGATTTGCATTCAAAAAACCGTTTCATGCCCGCCGTGTCTCAAAGGAGGGTTCTGCTCGTGTCAGGGGCAGGTCACGGTGCCTCTGTCCAGCGAAAATGTAAGAAACTATGAGCAGGTAAATGTGGCATGGCTTTCGCGAGAAGAAGCTTGAGAGAGCCCCCTCTAGAGGCTACACAGAATGGGCTGACTCTTCTACAGTGGTCGTGCACTAACTGTGGCCATCCCGTTTAAACAACTGGGTCGGCAGAGGAGGGGATTATTTAAGAATATTGCGAACAGGGGCGGAGCCATAGGGGGGGGCTGGGGGGGGGGGCTCAGCCCCCCCTGAAATTTTGGGAGAGTCGGAAATCGGGATAACCGGATATCTGGCTGCTGCAAAATGCTGGCTGCCACCTTGTACTGCCCTGCAGGCTGCCACCTCGTGCTGCCCTGCAGGCTGCCACCTCGTGCTGCCCTGCAGGCTGCCACCTTGTGCTGCCACCTTGTGCTGCCCTGCAGGCTGCCACCTTGTGCTGCCACCTTGTGCTGCCCTGCAGGCTGCCACCTTGTGCTGCCCTGCAGGCTGCCACCTTGTGCTGCCCTGCAGGCTGCCACCTCGTGCTGCCCTGCAGGCTGCCACCTTGTGCTGCCACCTTGTGCTGCCCTGCAGGCTGCCACCTTGTGCTGCCACCTTGTGCTGCCCTGCAGGCTGCCACCTTGTGCTGCCCTGCAGGCTGCCACCTTGTGCTGCCCTGCAGGCTGCCACCTTGTGCTGCCCTGCAGGCTGCCACCTTGTGCTGCCACCTTGTGCTGCCCTGCAGGCTGCCACCTTGTGCTGCCACCTTGTGCTGCCCTGCAGGCTGCCACCTTGTGCTGCCCTGCAGGCTGCCACCTTGTGCTGCCCTGCAGGCTGCCACCTTGTGCTGCCCTGCAGGCTGCCACCTTGTGCTGCCACCTTGTGCTGCCCTGCAGGCTGCCACCTTGTGCTGCCACCTTGTGCTGCCCTGCAGGCTGCCACCTTGTGCTGCCCTGCAGGCTGCCACCTTGTGCTGCCACCTTGTGCTGCCCTGCAGGCTGCCACCTTGTGCTGCCACCTTGTGCTGCCCTGCAGGCTGCTTGAGCGGCAGCCTTTCGAACTTATCGAACTTATTAGCCACATCAGCGGCTCCGACCTATTAATAAACTCCGCGTTCAATTCCAATAAAATTTGTTTTATACATTTGTGTCGCCCATTGGAAAACATTACACTGGATATCTCAGAATATTGAAGTCAGCCCCACCAAAGTCAAAATCCTGGCTCCGCCCCTGATTGCGAACGTTCAATTTCCATGCCATGAGCTTGAACCAGTCACCGCTACATTCGACACAATATAAGACTTTGCAAAAAATATCTTGTAAATGGGATTAATAATTAAATGTTGATATTATTCCGTACAATGTATAGTTGTTTTGTTGATATATGCCACCAATATTAATTATTTTATTTGTTGTATCATGTTCACATATGTCAAAGGGTCCGAGCATCGACAATGCACCGATGGAGCTCATCACACTGAAAGTCCCAGAGACCAGCACATGTTCTGATCACTCCTGTAGACAGACCGAGAGCAGAACTGTCGCGCAACAAGAGACGGGTTTCCATCATTCGGCTCGTTACATGCAAGACCTTGATCCACGCTCATATCCAGTGAATACCAGGGATGATAAACTACCAACGGGAATGCTCTCAGACGCTTTTAATCGCAAGTTAAGGTATAATGGGACTTTTTTTGCCAGTATCAAAGTTTGAAGAAATAAGAATACGTTTTACCCTTTCTCGCAATAAAACGAGTGTTTGATTCCTTGCAAAAGGTTTATATTTGGTGTTTTAACGTCCGTTATATTGCCACAAAGGGTAAAACCTATTCTATTTTACACGCTTTTTTATTAACTCACTGTTGTTGTCGTTGTTGTATCTTGTAACTAAATTTTTTCCCACTTCCCAATGTGGTATCGACTGCAAACTTGGTATACTTATGTCATACTGATGACAATACTATATTCTATCATAAAATACATATATTTTAAAACATTTTTTATATGTTATGTTTTGGCTTGGGTCTAATTGTCCACGGTCAACTGACGTTGGCTGTAATTTTACTTATTCATACTGAGGTATAATGTTTTTTTTAATCAGTATTAAGTTATTAAACACGCTGACGAAGTGTGGTTGGCATGGGCCATTGTGCAGGAAATTAAAATGACCCTGCCCCTCGCCTTCTTTGTAGCCTGGAGTCTGAGACTCCAAACCGTTGGGCCCCAGTGCAGTTGCAATGCCTACACACTCGATAGCGACCCAACCGTGGGCACATCTCACCTTGTGGCACAAGCGTGGGTTCTACGTTTCCTGCGTGGATTACTATGGGTGGTGACGTGGCCTAGTGGCGGCGCGTTCGCCGCTTCTTGCAGAGGTTCATGGCTCGAATCCAACGGCCGCCCTGGTTATTACTGCGGTGTGTATTTACTATATAAATACGCACCGTCGACTTCACGGTGAACGTTACAGATCCCATGATATAATTCGCAAGAGTAGGCTTTTGTGTTCTGGCGCCATGGTTCAAATTTGCTAATAAAAAAAAACGTGTAAATTATTAATTTGGGATTATATATCGGAAGAAATTGTGATAAGACTCAGTGAGGATTTCCTGGGTAAACAAGATTAATAAATATATATACAATTTGCTATAAAAAATATAGATGTTGCAAAACATGACCAATGTTTTTTTCTTCCTGTATGAAATGTGGCATCACTGTTGCAGAAATCTGGAATCTGAAAAAGACATGAAAGAGGTTTCAAAGTGTATCACTCTGCAAGATATAGAAAAAATTGCATTTGTAAAATTCCAGGAACAAATATGGTAAGTACTGCCATGAGAGAGCACAATTCTACATGATAATTTCATAATTTAAGGAATATAACACTTAATACCTGTGTAGGTTTTCATCCCTGTGGCCTTTGGTGTGTTTTCCTGTTGCGTTGTTCGGCATTATATCCGACAATTCACTCCACGTCTTGGGAACTTATTCCTGAACAACCTGTTGTGCAACCCGAAAACGCATCACAGAACTGTCAATCTGATTAACAAGACGCATCCAACCAGCCACGCTGACCTTTGCTGACCGAATACGATTGGATGCAGTGTTGCTGGCTGGAAGGTGGACTCAGGTTCGGCATTGAGTGAAATCCTGCACATAGGCGACTGGGTCATCACCGTGGGTGAAATGAAACCTCACGACCCCGAGGATATTTTATTCTTTGCAAACCGCTACGCCAAAAATAAGGTAAATGTTGCAGTATCGCTTTGCACAATGGTGCTGAACAGCTCTCCGATGTTTTTGCAGCTTGTAGCATGTGCTGTTCGGCACGATGCCTGGTGTTTCTCTCCATGTGCTGGAAGCTCCTTCAGTAACTAAATTCATTTCCTGAAGAAGGTCCCCACGCATGGAGAGAAGTATCACGCCGAACAACACGCGGTGCCACCTGAAACACACTGGAAAGCGAAACGTCACAATGATATTGCATATTTAAATGTGTTCGTTTCCATTTAGGTTACAGTACATATAGTCACATAATACTGTGGGCAAAAACATTTAGTAAGGCTCGCTTGAAGAGCCTTTTCTTCTTATCTTAATATGGTGCCCATGGGAGTGGTGGTACAGTGGTTAGCAAACAGTGCCATTAATCTGGCTACATGAGTTATATTCTTAGCCACAGCTAACATCAGTAGTGAGTGATTTACAAACTGGTGCTTGCCTACCACCCCTCCTTCACCAGCCTGTACTGACCAGTGTGGTGAACTATGGTCAAACAATCTCCTGTGACTGACACAGACAGGGCAGGCCATCATTTTGCAGTGAATTAATAGACGTGATCGCGCATAGGCAGCAAGGGCTGCCCTTGCTGACATTGCGTGCATTGCCAGCGCGACCACGGGGTCGTGATCCTCGATTCAAACATCAACCACCAACCGAAGTGCCCGGCGTGCAGGGGTGCGGGCATCCAGATGACGAACCTGTCCAAAGAACGTCGTCCGCCTCCTAATAGACACACTCAATTAATTGACATATTTCATTCGCTGCCTGTGCGATGCAAGATATATAATTTAGAGTTTTGTCACATATATATGAATATATTTGAACATACTCTTTGGTTCTTTCTGTAAAGTCACGTAGGTATAAAATAAAAATAAATCACGACGTTTTGGGGGGGGGGGGCAACACAAGCGTCCATCATCAGGTGTGAAAGCTGCTGAGGCAGACTGTTTTTAAAAGGTTTTAAGGGAAATGCCATTATTTTTTGGCTGCATACATTTTTCTAATTTTGTAACATTTTACACTATTGCATAACATGTTTTTTTACCATTAAAAGTAAAAGTAGCCCTGTAGATCATTGAAAATTATCAGCCAAAACCGTTGCACGTTAATAATTGGAGAACAAATTAGGAATAATGTATACTGTAGTAAATTTACATCTCATGCAGTATGCATGGTGGTGAAAATGTTTTTATAAGACAAAAATTGGCTCAACCTAACATGCATATTTTAGGTACATTATGTATAGAATACATCTCATTGTATGCATGTTTAATCGAATCTAATTGTATTAAAATAATATTGGATGAGACTGCATATTTGAATATCCTTTTCTGAGAATGTTTTCACTATTTCTGATTGGATGATATACATATTCACATGCGCACATTCATATGGTGTATCGGAAAGTTAGTGTCTGTGTGGTATTTTTATGTTGAGGATGTTTTTTGCATATATGCCGTTGGCATAGTACTAACGTACCTCTGTGTATAGATTCCGATCACCTTTGCTCGTCTCCCGCAAGGAAAATTGTTATTCGCCATAAAAACTGAAAACGAAGACTGGGGGATAGAGACTGAAGGACCTGTGGTATGTCACGCCTTCACATATATGTAACGTATAAACACCCATTAATGGAGTTGGCCAAACATCCCAATTTAGGACCACAGAGTTTTGGAAAGTGTTTTCCGCTGATTATAGCTGCCTTCAAACTTATCTGTGCTTTCCCACAATTGTGGAATCTGCGCCATGTTACGAATTCTACGGATTTTAGGAGATTCATTCATTATTTTCGCAGTGCTATTGCAATTTCTATACACTACACCCGACTAAGTTTATACAGCGATGGGAAAATATCGAAGTCTGTTTGGAAAAAAGGAATTGTATTGTTTTCCTTTTCAGATCAAACACATAAAACCTCGGTCAGTGATAGCACAACATGGATTAAATCTACCAATATGTATCACGGATCAGAAAACAGTGCCTTGGCAAATAACGGAGATTAACTTCCACTCTGTCAGTCTTGTTTCTGCTGATAAACATTCCACTCAGGTAAGCCATTCATTCCCAAATAAATGCATAAGGGGCCGTCCATAAATGACGTCACACACCTAGGGGGGGGAGGGGGGTCAGACATTTGTGACGATGCGTGACGAGGGGGGGGGGTTGAGAAATGTGACGTCACGTCAAAATGCGCAACTTTAAATAAATAAACAATAGAATTGTTATAACAACACTTATTTTGATTAGCTTTTATTATTAACTATTGTATTATTTAAATTTACTAAGGTCACCATTTTTGTATTCCATGAATATGTGATTGTTGTAATTGTACTCTCCATTTTGCTTCGTTCTACTACGAAGTTTCAAGTATATTTTTTATCGTTCTAATTACTTTTAATATTTTATAATTATAAGAGAATTTCAATATAATATTCTGAACATCTGCAGTTTTAGTTAGACGTTGAATATTTTCAAGTGAATTTTATGCTAAATTTAAGCTTTCTAATGCCTTTTTAATACGTGTTTTCTCCTACAACATCAGAGTGCAGCGCCACATTAAATACGCACTACAATGACAACAATAGTTTAAAGTGATTTGAAGCATGTTTTATTTTCAAGATGGAAATATGGTTGGGGGGGGGGGGGCAGAGCTTTGAGGGGGGTCTGACTTTTTGTGACGCCGTGTGATGAGGGGGGGGGAGGGGGGGGTCAAAATCGGCCAAAATCGCGTGACGTCATTTATGGACGGCCCCTAAGCACATCATACATAAAAACAAAAAATCTAACGAAAACACTGTAATATTTACGATTAACTTATCGTCGTATTTTCGTAAAAGTAAAACCTAAATTCACTCTGGCAACTGTCTCTCATGGCGGCATCTTTACATCGCTATAAAATGTTTCAGTTGGTATAATTCAAGTTGTTCACCAGTGTTTTTTGCGATTTCCACAAAAAAATGCTAAATATGCTGTTTATTGCTTACGATTTTTGCAGCGTGTTGGGTGGCTCCTGAACAAATGTACCACCGAACTGTTCCTAGTGCTGCAGCCGAAGGATTATATTCAAGGGCTTGTGAGCGAGGTTGAAAAAATGTACCCCCAAAAGGAGTACGATACCGATATGCACTAACATTTATTGTTTCCCAGTCTCGTAGTGCACGATTCACGTATGTGTTAGAGGCAAGGATATGAATCTTGCGTGCAAAATAAAAACGGATTCAGTCTTTTATTTAAAACAAGTTATTAACATATCACAGCGTAAATAAATGGAGCCAATAAAATATAAGCCTCTCAGTCCCAAATGGTCATATGCACACTCAAAGTGAGGAGTGACATTACAGATGGAATGTTATTGTCAGGTATGCATGTACTCGTTAAAAATATTTTTTGTAAGCTGGATTTTTGTTTTATAATGTAACTTTTTAAATCATTTAGCACCTGCTTTAACCAACTTGTGCTTAGCATTTTTAAAAGCTAAATTTACTGTCTATGTAAACGTGTTTATTAAAGATACTGGTTTGTGGTAAAGAAAGCAGTTGTTACTATTAGTGGAGATATTTTTCTTATTACGTAATGTTAAAGCAGCACATGCCATTGTTAACTCTGTTCTGTATATTCAGGTTGGGCCAAAAGTCAGGAAACGTGGTTATTTTATTTGAACACTGGCATTAAAATGTTTATTTATGATTTAAGTTCATATTTGATCTATTAATATATTTATTTCTTCTTTTTCTTAAGGCATCGTCTCAAATCCAACGTTTAAAAAAATACTCGACCGAGAACCCTGAATGAATTGAGATTCAACATAATTGCTGCATGTTCAAAGATTACACATGTAATCTTAAATAATGCCTAAATTAATTTCGAAAGATAATTCATACATGCATTAACATTCATGGAAGTCAGTTTGAACATGTTAAAATAAATCAAATGACCCTTTGTGATTTGTTAAAATAAATATAACCCGTGTCTTGACTTTTGGGCCAACCTGTCTTATTATAAGGGAGGTATCTTTATTGCCAATTCAATAAAATGTTATTGTTAATTCTTTGCTCTTTCAATTATTTGTTCACTTCAGTTTTCTACCCACTACCAAAAAAAAAATCTAAATTCAAAGCAGCATCTGGAATTAGCCACGGCATTACCACTAGGCTTACACTGTTGTCATATCGATGTTAAAAATGTAATGGTAATATTTGAATGTTCAAAACAAATTATGTTACAACTTTTTTGTTTTCGCAAAAAAACATCGGAAATTAAAATATATTAGTGTAATACTCTTTGGTTATTTCTGTAAAGTCACGTAGGTAGAAATAAAATAAAACAAATCACGACGTTTCGATTGCAACACAAGCAATCTTCATGACACGGAACAACCACAGCAAGAACAAATGCTGAAGTAGGCGAGAGAGCTGCCGTGGCAAGAGGTTATATAGGTAAGAAAGGGGGAGGAGCAAGGGGGGAGAGATGGGGGGCTGCGTGAGCGCTAGGGGGGAAAAGAAGTGAGGCTGGGTGGGGGGGGGGGGAAGTAGGCGGGGCTAGAAGTGGGAAGCTGGGGACACGGGGGGAAAGTGACTCGGAAAAATCTACGAGTACCCGGCAGGTATGATGGAAACAACCACAACCAGTTAAGGCTTTACCTGGTTAATAACATACTTCCAATGATTGCTCAATGTGTATCCATCTTCGCTGTTGAAGTTATGTCTATGTTTATATATCTGGATGGCTTCATGAACAAACCTCTGATACTTGCCCGAAGGTTTGCAGAGTACCTTGGGTCTCGGAAAAAAAAACAATATCACGCGAGCCCACAGCGTTATTACAATGGTCAGCCATGGCAGAGAACAACCATAGCAGAGGTTTCATGCTCCACCTGATGAGGATTGCTTGTGATTTATTTTATTTTATTTCTACCTACGTGACTTTACCGAAACAGCCAAAGAGTATGGATTGCCGCAGTCACAAAAGCTTCAAATCAAGATTAGTGTAATATTTTGAATAGTACTGTGCTGTGTGTATCAGGAACAGCTGGAATAAAATAATGGGCATGATTTGTGACAAAGAATGATTCGCTTTGTAGGATAGTTTAGCAAGTCTAATGTCATATTCTTAGCTCTTTCGGTAAAGTCACGTTGAAGGGAAACAATAAAATATATATAAAACAATAAAAATCCTCACGACGTTTCGACCATAACACAAACGGTCGTCATCAGGTGTTATGGTCGAAACGTCGTGAGAATTTTTATTGTTTTATATATATTTTATTATTGTATTGTTTCCCTTCAACGTGACTTTACCGAAAGAGCTAAGAATATGAATTACTGCAGTCACGAAAGCTTTAAATCAAAATTTAAGTCTAATGTCGAGAATAATTTTTGTTTATATATTAGGTTAGGTAAATCACATAACATTTACCATTTTTAAAAATGCGAATACTGCACTGTATTACATATGGGGGTGGAGTGGAGATGCAGTGGTTAGCACACTGCACGATGAACCTGGAGATCGAAGTTGTATTCCTGGCCACCAGTGGCAAGTGAAATCTGAACCGATCCTTGACACCCCACCCCACATTAGCCAGTGTGTTGAAGGATGGTCAAACAATCCATGACCTACACTGTGGGGAGGCCTTTAACCATCAGCGTACTGACAACGGGTTGAAATAGCTATTTTATTACCTATTTTGGGATCAGCTTTAGTTGTTGTACTGTGTATGGAAATTCAGGAATGGTAATTGGAAAATGTTTTTTGTCATGCAATTGCCTGGTAACATTTCACAGCGCACAAGCAAAAAGTACAACCATTTTCAAAAATGAAATGAGGACACTGTTAAGGTAGACAGCTTTTTAATTTATGATAGAAAAACACAATCCCATAACAGTTTAGAAATGATGAAGTGATGTTTAAAAAATAATTAAAACCTTGATATTTTTTTGCGTGAAAAACGTATATTTTAAAACGACAGAAACATAGAATCAACATATACATTATACAGAATATTTCGTTTAATATTTAACACCAATTCTTTTTATGCATTTGAAACATTTCATTTTCTCATAAACTTTCTCAATGAGCAAAATTCATGTTTTTTTAACATGTGAAGATAAACCATATTTTAAAGGGTTGTATTTACCATTAAGTCACCTATTATTTAAGGAGGCTAAAGATCAATTAACACGGACATATTTGCAAAAAAATTACATTTACGAAGATACAATGAAAGCCAGTTCGTTAACTGTAGAATTCACGTGAAATATATGGAGGAAATGTAAAAAGCCACAATTTTTTCCATTTAAAACACCGCTGCCATAATCATGGACACAGGCTGATACATCAAATATAATTCGATAATTGAATGGTCACACCAAGAGGTTTTTTCTGGTCAAATATCAGTCTGAAAAAAACTGGCATCTCTTCATTGAAAATTGGCACTTGTATTCTTACAACTTAAAATTGTTCCACAAATTCTTTGGTTACCCTGAAATGGAACTTCCTATAAGTCTTCTTAAAATGACAATGTTGATCAGTTTCACTTGGAGCCACCGGTGGCAATGTTGAAGCGAGCATGTGTGTATCTTTCTGCACACACAAATACCTACGTTTTGCTTTAGAGAACTCTAAAGCCGAGAGTGAGACACTCATTCACACACACACACCAATGACAAAGTAAATCATCGCTACTGCTACAGCAACACGCATACTTTAAGCACGGACAAGATGCACGTCTGTCGTTGTATTTTTGTTTGGACCAAATCACTATAAATGCACCAGGTCTTGTCTGATCGCAGGGCTTTAGCCTGGCTAGTATATTGATGGGCGAACACCAGCGCTTGCCAGGTGTTGTCGGAGTGGGGGTCATGAGATGGTGGTGCCGAGAGACAGCCCTTCTTTACACGAGGTGGATTTTCTCCAGGTTCTCTGGTTTCCTCCCACGTGAAGTCAATCACTCATTTATGGCATTGGTCAAACATCACCATGTAGCCTGGCCCTTATGAAAAAAATGGTATTGAGACTCATTGAGACTTTTGTGGTCAAATTATTTATATTTTTTTCCTCTTTATAATTTTTTTGTCAAATTGGGAATTTTGGTATTGATAACTGCACACAATGGCCTACTCTGACAAATGTTGAGACAAGGCTTCTTAATGCCTAATATGTACAGGAGTTGGTGGTTGATTGTGGATCTCTTTCAGTATTATATAGGCGGCAGCAGCAGCAGCTCTTACTGTCAAAACCATACAAACTGTTTCAGTGGTAATTGTGCTAACAGTAACACTACACAGATATGAAATATATACAGCATACACTGTTGCATTAGTTTTAGATACTATGTACAGGGTAAGAAAAAACGATTCTGTCCAAAACGTGTCTAAACAAAAAAATTGTGTTGAGATTTTTTTTAAACAGGCAGTTTTGATGATCTGTCTTATTCCTAAAATTATGTTTACATTCCTGCAACCATCCTTTGATGTTATCCAGTGACAGTAAACGTTTTCTGTAAAAAAAGTACTATAACACTGTTAAAAATTTCAGTAATGCGATCAGTACATATCAACACACAGCCAAAACATGAATGTCACGGAATGAGTGAGTTATGACTGTGGCATAAAATACACATTGCAATGTGTTGGGAAAAACATCCTCTGATTGAATGAAGTACAGAAGTGTGTGCAGTGCCTTGTGGCATCATCTCAAAAGCCGATGTATTCAGCATTCCACAGCTCAATAAATCCCAATTGAGATGACGAAACTCCAATGAAACAAGCAGCAAGTTAGCATAGCCCTGTGGACTAGCTTTAACGTCTGCACTGCTCTTGGTCTTGATTTTTACTGGAACATAACACGTGTATGGGGGGGCGGGGGAGAGTGCTGGTGCAGGGGCGATATTTACCCCATGCGATGACAACCTGAGTTGGTTCCCGGTCAAGGCTAACATCATCAGTGGCAAGCTATATATAAACTTTTGACTTAAAACTTTCGTGACTGCAGGAATTCATATTCTTGGTTCTTTCGGCAAAGTCACGTAAATAGAAAAAAAAATACAAAAGTAATAAATTGAAAAATAAATTGAAAATAATAAAAGCAAAAAACCCACCCGATGTGAAAAAGCAAAAAACCGCCTGATGAAGAGGGCTTGTGTTGCGATCGAAACGTCGTGGGTTTTTTGCTTTTATTATTTTAAATGTGTGTATATATTTTTTTAATTTTATAATTTAGATTTTTTTTTTTGTTTTCTGTTTACATGACTTTACCGAAAGAACCAAGAATATACATGAACTGGTCCTGTGCACACCCCACCCCCAACCGCCCCTTCCCAAACTCACTGACCCGCACGGGGTCCCGTCATACAAAGGGTAGGTTAAATTATTTTCGTCGTTTTTGTTACGCACGTGTCTGGGGTGTTACTCTGATGCAAGCCATGCACTGCACACAGTGTCACAAAAAAAATCTTTAAATTAGCACCGACAGACAAATCAAAAAAAGACCTTCTTTATATTTCTTGAATTCAATCAGAAATGTGCCCAGATCTCAATGCACATTGGGAAAAACTCTTAAAAACCGCATTGATAGTATTTTTAATGGACACCTGCTGAATTGTTAAAAACTTTATTATTACAAGTTCTGAACGTTGATGACGTCTCACTGATGCACCAATTCCTAATCGGGATGGTTGAGTAAGTGCATTATAAATGTTTACATTAAATATTAAATTATCACCTATAAAAGGCACCTCACTGTATTAACAATTGCACATAGTAAAGCAAAACAATAAGCAGAAAAATAAAGAAAACCCCGAAGCTGGCAGTTTAATGTTAAAATGTCAGATAAAATAAGGATCTGCACTACGAGAGTATGGGGAAACAGATTGCGACGTTCAACGTTTTAAGGTTCCAACGAGACCAGTTGCTCAGCCCTCCGATCGTTTTCGGGTTGTACCGTCATATTGTTCGGCACGACGTCCGACATTCCTTACCACGTGCTGGGGAGCCTTTTTCAGGAATTGGGAGAATCTACTCAATCCAGTTCCTGGCGAGATTCTGAGCGCACGTGCAAAGTGAGACGTCGTTGCTCGGCACGATCCACGTGCCGAGAGCTTCGAGTCAGAAATCACAACCCGGAAACGCAACCCAAACGCAAATCGGATATTTATGTATGCACAGCACAACAGCAGAAACTTGCGCCGAAGTAACACTGGTTACAACTGCATAACAACTGTCTAATTTATAAAGTTGCTGTCCCAATCCGATTTTTTTTTGAAACGTGATCCTTGCATTTCCTTCAATGCAATGGCACCACAAACACATGTGGATGGGGCAGAACTATTGCATACGTAAAAAAAAAACCCGCATACATCTACATCTTTCAAACACAAATACGGCCGTAAAGCGGATGTTTATCCCAGTACTTGCGGCAGTTACTACGTGTCCACAGAGAGGAAAGAAAGAACCGTGACAAGAAACGCAATAGCGGGGGGGGGGGGGGGGGGGGTGACAATTCTCTGGAACGCTTTGATGACCGTAGTGGCCACAAGTGGCTGCTCTGCGTTGGGGGGGGGAGGGGGTCACGTGAAACCCTTCCATGCAGGATATAAAAAGTAAAAGGTGTCGCCCTGAAATTGCTCGCTCATGCAATTTCTGGTGGAACGGCCTGCACTCGAGAGGGCCGCCCCCCCCCTCCAGCAGGATACTTTTTTGTTATCTACTCTTTCACTCTGGCCAGATGTCTTGGAAGAGATGGCAGCACCCATACTTTACCGACCACACCTAGGAGCACGGTTGGCTACGTACGGTGCAAAACAAGTTCAATTTAAATATGTACGTGACCTGCCGACGGACGAACTGTGGTCTACCCGCTCATATGACTCGGGTGGACCGAAGCGGCGGAAGGGATTTAAGAAACACATCCAAGGTTTCAACTGAAACACAGGGAGATTGAACTGGTGACCTTTGGAAAGTCCAGTAAGCTAACCATTACATCACCACAGCAGCATCTGTACAAGATGTGTGAATCAATACACATTGATTGTACACATGATTTGATGCAGATATGATTTGATGCACACATTGGTTAGCTTAAGAGCTGATATTAACTAACAAATTAATGCATCAGAACACCCCTCCTCAACAGGACAACCTTTAGCTAATGTACTAATGAGTATCTTAAACAGCAAGATACAAGCAATGCGACGCTTGATTTACACGCCATGAAATGTCTGCAGAACACACGTCGTTGTGTAAAAGTCAGTTCATTTTCAGAGACATCACTTTACTTTGAGCAGAGATGATTTGGCTGCAGTTCCATAGACGTTAATTTTTTTGTCAGTGTTTTCACAAAGTTCTTTTTTAAAATACATATATTTTTTTTGTGGTTGATGCCACACCGCCACAGTGTAACCACCCGTCTCAGTTTGTCCCCTTCTTCTCCCACTCCTGTGAACGAGAGCAACATTTGTTCATTAGTAAATGTGAACATTCAATGACATTTTTAAATCCCCCTTAAACCACATGAGCTCTTAATTCTCGGGTACACACTTAAAGTTTGCACATGTAATTAGCACTGCAACAGTTTTTTTGGAAACTTATCCATACAAATATTTCACAGCTTAGATTTACGTGTAAGCTTAGCCATAATTTCAGCAGGCATTCACAATAAAGCTTACCAATTAAACATGTCTGCATCAAAATTAATTGTGACATCGGCATGCAGTCAGGCATGCTGGAATAAATGACAAAATGATCTACGTTCAAACCACCAGTGACCTCAAATGAATCTTGACTTAAAGCTTTCGTGGCTGCAGGAATTCATATTATTTGGGTCTTTCGGTAAAGTCACGTAGATAGGTTCAAAGAAAATAACAAAAAAGTACGACGTTTCGATCACAACACAAGCGGTCGTCATCCTGAAAAAATATGACTCAGATGAGATGTGATGTTCTTGAAGTCACAGTACAGATAATGTTGCCACTTCCGAGGAACAATTAACTGGGACAAATGATGGAGTGAATACTTCACGAAAAACACAAGTGGGGAGCAGTGTATGCTTACGCAATTGACAACTTTTAATGTCCTGGGAAGATTTACAGATTTCCCAGGACAGCGACCTCAAGAAGATGATGATCTTACAAAAACTGGGACAAGGTGGCAACCTTAAGTACAAAGCACAATGCACACCTTGGCCTTTTGAATGACGTGGCCTCGGCCAGTTTGCGGTGCAGAATTCTGTTTCCTCTTGAGCATGGCCGCACAGTTGACGGGCAGCATCGCCATGTCTGTGTCGCTGGGCTCTGGACTGGAGCCGAGGGAACTGCCACGCTTCACCCTCTGTACCTGGGGACTCTACACAAAAAAAATCGATGTAAGCTCGTTTAATTGTGTTGGGATTGTTTTGTCATTGAAAGATTCAGCAAGACAAGCCTACAAATGAGAAACGGCTTGACATCAAGCAGTTACCGTAGCCAAGCCACGTTGAACAACATAGCTTTCGCGCAATAATGTAAAACTTTATCATTATGCTTGTTTTCAGTTAGTCTCAAGACTGCAGTCGGGGTCAATTTTGCTATGTGGAGGACAAGGGGGAATCCCAACCCCCCCCCATCCCCCCAAACAAAAAATTGCTGATTGTTGTATGCCACGAATAATTTTTTTAATTATATTAAATTGTAAAAAAAAATACATACAATTTACCCTCTCCATTACTTTTTGCTAGGTGCGCCACTCAGAACAGGTAATGTATGTCCATTGAACATATTTTGAAGTTATATTTTTTATAAGAAATCTCGCAAAAATAAAAAAAACAACCAAGAGTACGCATGAACAGCAGAAGCAAGGTCAACGTTCACACAATGACCTGTAGAGGAGGAGAACCCACGACCTTCGGGTCGATGGTGATACCCAGCGAAGGACCTCCGGCTTGGGCCTTTTTCAGGCTCTCCTTGACCTCGGTGATCTTGAGCTCCAACTCCACACGCTCCTGCTCGCGCGTCCGGCACTCGTCTTCGAGTTTGTGCAGTCGCTCCTCCAGCCTCCCGAGCCGCTGCTTGCCACCACCTGAAGCAAGTGCCACCATTACAATGGCTGGAGGTCAGAGGTCAGAGCGCTGAGCCAGCAGTGCTGCTATCCTGGGTATGAATGTAGGCAGCCGCCTCTGATTAGACTGCTCAACTCAAGAAATGTGTTGAATATTATCTATCACAACTTGCACAGTGGTGTTTGTTGCTGGCTGCTTAGCGTTTTGGGCTTTTCGGTCAGTGCTTAGCAACCATGATGGTCTCCAGTAATAGTGTGAAATAAATATCCGTGACAAAATTTTTTGTCCTGCACTTAATTGGCTAATTGGCTAAATTCCTGCTCTGAGAATTAAAATATAAATTTGACCATCATGCAACAAACATTACTCGCATATACAGAGCTGGTGGGAAAGTTCTGCCCTCCACTGTGTGGACCAGAAGTCACTTGAAGAGATCTCTCAGAGGTAGTTCTGTGACATCCACTTCAGGGGAGCTCTTCTATAACTTGAAGGGTTGCACGGCTCTGCAAGAGATCCACTTACATTATGTTTCATGGAGTGACATCGATAGCCCAATCAGGATACAATTTGGACTAAATTACAAAATATATGTTAGTAAAAAACACAATGGCTGGAGGCTGTCTCCAAAAATACACCCAAAAAGCATCAGGGACAGCTGGACAGTGCTGGCTGCTTAACAATTTAAAGTAGTTAGAAAAGTGCTGCCTTGTGGCAAAATTTGTCTTTGAGGAGTCTTACTTTCTTAGCATGAAAGCCTCTCTGGAGAGTAGGCATTTATGCCAAAGAAAATGTAGAATGTCAAGTAATCTCAGAAAAAGCTCTGCATTTTCCTATTGTAATAAACATTTTTTATTACAGTCTCATGATTTACTAAAACAGGTTACAGATTGTGATAATTGGTTTTTTACCCTTTTATCTGGCAACAAAACTGACACCTTTTTTACAAGGAGTCATGTTTACATTGACCACAATACCTGCGGTCAGAACGCAAACAAAAAATAACAACTCTGATAATGTATGCACTGTCCTTGAAATTAATTGGTCCACACCCGAGACAGATTTCTTTAGAGCCTCGTCTCACATGGTGTTGGACCAGAAGACGCCAAAAGGCGTCACACAACTCAAAGGCAATGCACCATCAGAGTATGAGAGCTCAGGGTAAGCATTTACACCATTGGAAACCTCATTTGCCAGTAACAAAATATGATAATTGTTTTTTTTTACCCTTTTATCTGGCAACAAAACTGACACCTTTTTTACAAGGAGTCATATTGAATTGATCAATTTCAAGGACAGTGCATACATTATTAGAGTTGTTTTTTGTTTGCGTTCCGACCGCAGGTATTGTGGTCAATGTAAACATGACTCCTTGTAAAAAAGGTGTCAGTTTTGTTGCCAGATAAAAGGGTAAAAAAAACAATTATCATATTTTGTAACTGGCAAATGAGGTTTCCAATGAAGGTTACAGATTATGAACGTGCATGAATATTTGAGATTGTGGAACATAAAATGAATGATTGTTTGAATTTATTTGATTTTGTTACACGGATGGTCCCATTTAGCCAGTTGCCTCACTATATTACAAGAGGTGTCCGTGATGTACGCGCACAGCAGCAACATTCACAAAAGACGAAAACTGTTGAACATTTAGTGTTGTTATCTATTCCAAACTTATTATTAGCCAATGGGGATCAACGCACGATGACACGAGCATGTAAATAATAATAATAATACCATAGTTTAAGAAAACCAACTAAATCAAGAACTGTGTGGCATCGCTTCAAGTTTCCAGAGTGTATGCCAGCGGCTGCCCACCCACCCACCCGTGCATTTCTCCATAGCCTCCTTGAGTTCCTTGCGCTGGGTCTTGAGTTGTGCCAGTTGGCATCGAAGACGTTCCTTCTTTTTCTCCAACTCCTCCTTTTCTGCCTGGAACCTCTTCGCGTCGGCCTCTGCGCGATGCTTGCCGTAACGCTGCGAGTCTGCGTCTGATAGTAAATGTAGAGCGTGCATTTGACGTCGATTTTGCTTTTGGACCACAAGCACAGTTCTGATTGAGCTGTATCGGTGAATCCTGGACAATCCAGCTAACATCAGTGGCGGGTGGCATCGTAACTGGTTCTAGCCCCTCCTTTTCACCAATCCGCACTGACCAGCTTGGGGAATTAAAGCGATACAACCCCCATGACCGACAGCAAGGGGGTGCCTCCACCCAGCAGTAGATTGACAAAGGGCTGCAAACTAAATTCGTATTTAGGGGTTAATAATTGATTATAAATATTATGAATTATGAATTGTAATTCAAAGCACATTAACGTCAATGCAATACAGTTATGCATTTTGACAACACAAAAATAAATCCCTTTTGATTGAATCACAAAAACTCAGCACATTCGTCAATAACACTGCCCTCGGAGGAATAATGTGTAATTGTCAGCATTATCGATGAATGTGTCCAGGTTTTGTTATGTGTGCTTGTGCACCACCTCCGTAAATATAGTATCACAACATTTTCAAATATATATATCACTTTATGAAATACATACCAGAGAAAAACCCACTTATTTTTTTCTAAGGGATACTTTATTCCATGCACGTGCCTTTGTAAGCAGGGTATCTGGCGCGCTGTTTTAAGGCAGCAGCAAAGGCATTGGGATTGCGTTTCCTTCTTATCACGTGCTGGGCGAATGGAATTTGCAGCTCACAAACGCATCTGTAAAAGCTAAACATAAGTGGCAGAGCAGCTTACTTGTGTCCACAGCAAAGTAAAGACATCTGTCATCAGTTCGGGTACTTTGGATATATCAGAAAGTGAAATTGCAAATTCTTTCTAAACATTTACGCAGAGGCACTGAGTCGAGTTCAGGAGAAGTGTTTGTTTTAAAAGCAGACGTATAAAATCAATAGATATTTACTGGAAGGATTCCTCTTGACGGTTGCGTTCTGTTGCGGTTTCTCCTTCTGTTCGCTCAGCGCTGCCGCTTGCTGTTTTACAGTTGTTCTTCTGCCTGTGACATAAATCTTCTTATCCTGCAAACAGTGGACATTAAATTTGTTAATCTATAATGAAAATGTTAAATATTTTAAAATCCTGAGAGTATTTTTTTGTGACCGCCAACTGCATCAAGCCTAAATTTAGAAAAAAAAAAAAACTTAAATAGTGAAAATCCATTTAAATCAAATCCATTTAAATTTACTGCAGTTAAAGCGCCGTAAGAAGATTTACAATTCACCAGCCAGAAAAGCAATAAACTGCAGGAAAAAAAATCGAAGCAGCAGTAGCAGCAAGCATCCTCGCACATTACCTGCTGCCTGCGATCCCTGGGCAGACACCTGCCCCCCTGGTCACCAGCACTGGGTCCCGTGGGGGGCTTGCCCCCCAAACCCTGTGCTCGGCGTGTGCTTGGGGAGGGGCTCTGGTAGTGCAGAGGGTCAGAGCGCTGGCGGGACAGAGCAGCGTGTCTGCCCGCCTCCCCCTTCCCCTCCTGCAGGGGGCAGCCCAAGAGAAGCAGCAGCAGCAGCAGCAGCCGCCCGAGAGGGAAGAGCAGATTTAAATGAAAACAAACGAGTGGGAAAACTGAGCAGCATAGCTTACGCAGGTCAGCGTTTCCCAAACTCCAATCATTACGCTCCACCAAGGCACACCTTTTCATGTTTGCAAATGAAGACAAGCGCACGTGGCGTGCGCCCAATGATTGCTAAACACATCCCACAAGTGGCGTTTGAGAGATTTCTGGATTTGAATCTGCACTGTCTATGTTGCGAAGGCCGTATTTACCAATCATCAGGCATGTGTAGCACATGTCAACTGAATTTGCAATTGACTGGAGAAGACTGATCAACGTGAAAAGTCAAACCATGGTGTGGGTTGTGAGGGCCGGAGTTTGGTAAACCCTGCTACAGGCAATCCAAGCACGAGCCAAAAGGGAATTTCTTCAGAGCAATTTGACCACTTGGCAGACGTTATATAATGGTCCTGTTGGACTGGAGTCCTTTCTGACAACCAGTTTATTAGTGTGTCTGCATTGGACTTGATTGCCTTGAAAACACCCCTGGCAGGATTTCAAATGAGCGGCAGATAGCATAACAAAGCATTAAAAGACAGTGTGGCATATGAAGGAAGGAGTGATTGAGTCATCAAAAGGTATGTGCATGCATGCTTTTTGCCTTTTTGTTGCTGCCAGGCTGTGCTAGAGCGGAGGTTTGGACTAGGGTGCGTCAACGTTGGATAAACGTAAAACATTCCAGGTATGCGTTTTTTTTCTGTGGGTGAGCACAATCCGATAGGCACAGCACGGTTGAAACACCGCAAGTGCCAATCCAGAAACAATGTATGTAAGCCGAGATAAAATAAACTATGGTGTTTTTGACATTTAAGCCGAAATAAAAGAACACAATTGTGTTTTTAACGTTAATGAACCTTCTATTACACGAATAACATTCATGAGAGGTTTTTGGGTTAGATCGTGTAAAACATAAATGTGTTGTTAAACCCGCCACCACCCGACAAAGCCAATTAGTAAGGTTTGTCACGCAAACAAAATATGTCAATTAGTTACGAGTTCAGCACACCAGTGTGTTGGTGAGTAAACCCACAACATTTACCATTTCGAGTACAATGTTTCGCGTTAAAGACATTGCCAAACCTTACTAATTGGCTGTGTCGGGTGGTGGCAGGTTAAACGACACATTTATATTTGCACGCTCGAACCCAAAAACCTCTATTATGGATAATATTAGTCGCGAAAGCCTGCGTGTTAAAATTGACAGATGACATGACTGAAAACCATATGCACCTTGTTTGGCTGCTTGTAGGGACCATTAAGCGAAGCGTTCCGTCTCACACTTGTTTTGGAATCAACATTCCCGGCCGGAGACCTCTGTAACGTCCGGCTGTACGACAAAATAACACACGTTCTTTATTAGCTAGATATGAAAACGCTCCGCAAATTGACCTGAAATCCCTCTGGACTCCTGAAGTATCGAGTTTTGGCTTAGCTAAACATGAACCACTGAACTTGTAAAGATTCACCATGTAAAAATGCAAAATTTCTGCTTTAAGGCCAAGAACTGCAGGACTAAAACAAGATATCTTATGCTGATGTCCCTGTTTATACAGCTGCAGGTTAGAGCTCTTCACTTGGATACTACAAGCAATAAAGCTACACGGGCTACAAAAAGCAGTTGTTATATCCTCCAAGAATGTGTTTTCAAAGCTGGTCCAAACACCTTCAAAGACAGAGAAATGATGCTGAGGTTTGGCTGCATTAGGACATCGATTGAAGTGGATGAGTCACTCAAGGCAAACCTGTGCTGCGATTGAGATGCCTGGATTTGTCCCTGTGAGCAGCAGCATTTGGAAAAGGGTCAAAGGTGAAATAATACAATATCATAAACAACGTGCCTGACTTTAATGGGAGAGTTATGGCTAATTGGTTAATTTGGCAGTCTCAGGTGACATTTTGCCAATAAAAAAATCCTCCCACGGCTAAAATGACAACACAACTGAACCATAACCCAGATATGATTAACTTTGGGAAAACCTTATTTTTCATAATATAGCTGATGAAACAAATATAATAAAAACTATCCAAATTAAACTTGACTACGAAGTCAAACATTATGCTCACACTTTGTCCAAATTATGTTCAACACTTTTAGCCATTTTGGAGGAATCTCTTTATTTATCACAAATCATAATAATGTCCTCGGCACCTGACTTGCGGTGCATGGTGAATATTGCACGAAGAAAATGAGCTGCAACCAAGACACACGCGGCACACTCGCGCCATCATTACATTTACGACGAGAGACCGCGTCCCGTATAATTGAGCGCGCCGTGGCAATTGAAGTGCCAGACGTCAAGACAGCTCTCGGGTCACCTGCAGGCGTCCTGCTCTGCCTCAAAGACGTGACCAAGGGCGTTGATGTCCACGTAGTCGTAGGGCAGGATGACGGGGTCGGTGCCTCCTCCGGCCTCCGACAGCACGAGCCCCAGCCAGCGGACCATCTCCGCGTTGCAGCCCGCCTGGCACGTGCGGCGACACAGCACGGCAGGCGGCGATGCCCTTAGTGAGCAACTACTCACCGACAGACAACGCTATAGAACAGTGGTTCTCAACTGGGGGGGGGGGGGGGGGGGGAGGACATGGACCCCTGGGGGTACACGTGGCAGTGTCTCAGGGAGTACGTGAGGTGATTTATAAATGTGTGAAATGATATCATACATTAGTCAATCATACATGAGTCATTGGTGAATAATCATGTATGAATATGCCAATATAAAATAACTGCGATACATTTTAAATCGTATGGTAACCCAGAACAATATCAAATACCTTTCTGAACTCATCAATAGTAGACAATGTGGTTTCAAATTACGTCTTGCATGCAGAGCGTCTGTGGTATTTTTTTATTCGCTTTCAGTTACTAGCTAGTTAGGATACCTCACAAAATGGACATTTGGTTAAAATATTGATGTTCATTATTCCTAAATATATTTCTCAGAACCATGTCGGGTCAGGCAAGGCGGTACTCTGTTGAAGCAAAATTTAACAAGGGGTAAAGTAGCCAAAAAAGGTTGAGAACCACTATCATAGAATGTAGATCATCATCAGCCATGGTCAAATCCACTGCTGGATGAAGGTCTCCACGAGGCACCAATATTTTATCATGATCCTGCTATGTGATAATCCAACTAGAGCTTGTGTACGAGCGGATTTCATCGCGACGTCACCCTGGTGGGCGGTCTCTCGGACGTGTTTTTTTTTCCGTCGCTGCAGACAGTAGACATGCATCGTCAAGAGGAGCGGTGATGCAGCAGTAAGCGCGCTGCACTATGAACCCGGTGAACTAAGTTCGATTCAGGACCGTGGCTAACATCAGTGGCGAGTTATTTTGAAGGGGGCCAATATAACTCACTGGGGCTATATATACATGGATGCATGAGAAAGAATGAAAATTCGAACGGGCAGATATTGGCCTGAGGCCCCGGTGCCGTCTCACACTCGTCATGTCACTCACCATCAATATTAATGCACTGGCCAAAGCCTAGAGCCTCGTCACCCGTAATGAGGTCAATCCTGTTCGACATTGCAGATGACGCAGGATTGAATCTGTGCCGTTTGTTTGGAAATTAAATTAAACGTTGAGGTACGAGGCATCATACGCAGACAGATGAACATATTCTGTCGCTATAGTTAGCAAGCTCGTCTTAACCGAGGGTCACAATTCGATTAAAGAATTTACTCTTCTTTTTAACATTGTCGTGGCTGGTGAGGTAACATGTACCCATTAAATAAAATGCGATGCTCATATTGTGAGATTCATTGACATGAATAGATGAAAGGATGCAATGTTAAACCAGTAAGCCATGATCTATCCACTGTTGGATGAAGCATTCTCCAAGGCGTGACCACCTCTAACAGTGTCACAATATAACAATCCATTAAGCACCTACACGGAAGCTGATCTCATTGCTCCATCTCCGTGGTCGGCGTACTCTCGGTGCGTGTTCCCTGCTTTGGTCACCACATCATCAAGAGTCTGAACGAGCGGCCATCATCCTGGCTAGCGACGTGTACTGAACCCAGCCCTGAACAGGCCAAACATCTTAAACCCTCAAATGCGAAATATGTAAAGGAGCACGGACAGTTGCATGCTCGGACTTACACCGAGAGAGGTTTCACACAGATTTGAGATTTGAGAACACAATGAGATAAATGTGCAGCCCTGCAATTGCCTGTTCATGACACTTCTGGCAGATGGGCCACCACGAGAGGGAGATCTAGAGAGCCTCTCGAAAGGCCATTTGGTCTGCTCTTCCATGCTGGCCAAGCATTTTTAAAGACGTGGGGGTGCTCAGACGTTACCTCCACCACACGCAATCTGCCGACCGACTACTTGTGGTGTCCCCATTTCAACTGCTGGGTGGACAGACGAGGGAAGATTTGATAAACTTGCACCATTGTTTCAACTTCTGGGTGGACAGGCAAGGGAAGATTTGATAAACTTGCACCATTGTTTCAACTTCTGGGTGGACAGGCAAGGGAAGATTTGATAAACTTGCACCATTGTTTCAACTTCTGGGTGGACAGGCAAGGGAAGATTTCATAAACTTGCACCATTGTTTCAACTTCTGGGTGGACAGACGAGGGAAGATTTGATAAACTTGCACCATTGTTTCAACTTCTGGGTGGACAGACAAGGGAAGATTTGATAAACTTGCACCATTGTTTCAACTTCTGGGTGGACAGACAAGGGAAGATTTGATACACTTGCACCATTGTTTTAACTTCTGGGTGGACAGACAAGGGAAGATTTTATAAACTTGCACCATTGTCTCAACTTCTAGGTGGACAGACAAGGGAAGATTTTATAAACTTGCACCATTGTTTCAACTTCTGGGTGGACAGGCAAGGGAAGATTTGATAAACTTGCACCATTGTTTCAACTGCCGCGCCAGACGACTGAACCAACGTGGTGACCTCTGCATTGCAAGTCCAGTTTAGAGCACCTAGTGACGTGAAGAGCGCCGAAATGAAATTCGCATTTTTTCGCACATTTGCCGGCGACCAAATGTAACGGTCGCTTAAATTTGACGAAACAAAGAGAAAGAGAGGACTGATAATCACGAACGTTAGAAACCAAATAGTTTAACACAATTGAAATAAAATACACTGCTCCACAACTGGAGCAATCGGTAACGTGTTTACGTTCACTCTTACACTTTCTATTTATTCTCTAACTTCATACAGAGCTCTCACACCCCAGCCACTCCCTCTCCTCTCCAAGCCGTTCCAACCGCCCCCCCCCTCATCTCCACCACGCCACCTGTTACCACGCACCTCCAGGGCAACGGCCTCCTGCCCATCGCGCAAGACGCGGAACGCGTACGGGTGCTTGGGGTCCATCCCGGGCAGCAGCTGGCAGCCGCCGAGCGGCACGGTGCTGGCGGGGACGGCCACTGCGGAGCGCGCCTCGCCTCGTTCCTTGTGCACGTGGAGCGCGCCGTCTTTAATCTGGCACCACCGCTCACGCCACCGGCCCCCGATGAGGACCTGGAGGTATCCGCATGCCGAGGACTCCTCCTCCGACGAGGAGGGCTCCTCCGACAGCTTCTTCTTCTTGCCCAGCCCCATGAAGCGAGTGATCCGCTTGCCTGTGGCCTTGCTGACCGAGTCCTTGAGTTCGGCCAGACTCGTGCGCTTGCTTTTGTCTGCGGAGATTCCAGTTACGCGTTCAGGTTTCAGACAAGCGTGACTTTTGCTGATGAGACCCACGAGGTTGAAACCGGTCATGGGTTTGCTTGCTTTCAACGATTGTTCCTGATGGATACAATTTGTCTGGAGGCACTATCGGATGTTTGCCAAAAGAAAAATACTGTGGGGAGGTTATACATTAAGTGCAATGTCACCACTCAGTCTGTTGCCCTCTTTAGTCTGGACCGACCTTTCCCAGCCTGCCGTGCCGTCGACTCCCTGCCTCTGTTCAAGTCCAGGTTCAAGACTTTCCGCATCTCCCTCTGTCTATGAACGACTACCTCTCTCTATGAAATAAATATGCCGACTGTTTCTGCACAGCATCTTGAGATGCGGTCGCGTTTTGGCGCCGTATGAATCCCAATTGCGAATTGCATATTTTAAGAAGAACAAAGACCAATAGGCACGTACAGGACTGCTCAGCCGACATATCTCACGGTAAAAAAAAACCCTTGAAAGTGTTGAATGGGCATGAGAAACAATGTTCATTAAAATTCTTTAAACAAATCACCTTTGTCTTTGCCATCATTTCCATTCATCATGATAACTTCTTCTAAGCCATTCTTGCCAATCGTTCCCTCTTCAATTGCGATGTTTCTTTCCAACGAAGAGCTCTTAAAAACAAAATACCGATATAAGTAGCACAACACCAAACACAAAATCAACACAATGTGTTAGCAGCATTTATTTGTGTCATGTGGTTTAATCATAAAATTATTGCAGTGTGAGAAACCTCCCCACAATAGATTTTTTAATGCTTTCAACAGGGACCCATCATCTAGAGGGTGTGCTCCTGCCAGTAACGTCTGGTAAAGCAGCAGCGGCGTTATTTAATAAGGATGACTGCTGATGAGCCGAAAAAAATGACGCAGATTGTATTTGTCTGGAAACCAAGAGAGTGAGGGACCAAAATATTTCATCTTCATGTGGAGACGCAGAAAGGAGATCTGTTCATAAGATATCACCCACACTGCTCAAGAACAACGCGTAATACGTTTGTATACACTCTTAGTTCCAGTTCGTATATCAGGTAAGACACAAGACAGATATTACGTGTGTGGTACACTCTCGAGTTCTGCAGTTTGAGTGTGGAAGCTAGAGTGCGCCACCTGCTGGACCGTGACTGAACGATAACAACAAAGAATGTGGCTCAAAGTGCACGGACAAGTGGAAGAAAGCTCAAGCAGACCTTGTCCGTTTCCGCTCTTGACAGCGTGGATGTCGGTGATGGACAATCTATGTCCACAGTCCCTTCGCTCACCCCGCACACCTCCCGGATGATCTGCCCACATGCATACAAAATACATCATCATCATCATCAGCCTCGATCCATCCACTGCTTGATGAAGGCCTCCCAAAGCCGTAGCCAACAGTCCATCAATACTGGTCTCATTGCTCCATCTTCCTTTGGCTGCCACTCTGTCGTTAGTCTCGAACACCGTCCATCATCCCTTCTAGAATTGTGGCCTGTCCATGCCCACTTAACAGTTAATATGTTGTCTCTAATATGAGCTATGTGTTCCTAACACTGGAATAGCACAAAGCACTGCAGGTAACAAAAATCATGACCCTTTCCGAGTACTTTGTAGGTTTTCGCAGTTGTGCTGTACAGCTCTCCGATGCGTTTTCTCGTTTAAACACGTGTTGTTTGGGCTCAACGCCCGACGTTTTCCTCCCAGCACAAACAATCGAAACTACCAGGGACGAAACACCACGGCGGCTCGACCCGAACAAGAGCGCTCTCGAGGCAAATCGGGTGATGGATGGCATACACCCACCTTGAACCACTCCTCCGCCTGCTCAGGACTTTGCGTGGCGAGCACCACGCCGTCAGTGCCGGGGGGCCCGTTTATCCGCAGCTCGTACTTGCGCTTTCTCACATCCTTGGGGGAGTATGCTACACTGCAGCCCAGAAGCGGCAGGTCGAGCAGTGGCTGCTGGTCCTTCGAGCTCTTGTAGCACTGTTGAAAGAGCACATCGTCATTATCATCATTATCATCAGCAATACATTCCTGGATGAAGGCCTCCCCAAGTCATTGCTATCTCTCGTGGTCCTGTGACGTCATCATCCAATTAGAATCTGTGCGTGAGCTGATTTCATTGCTGTTGGTCTGTTGGTGGATGTCCTCTCACGCACGTCCCCTCCCTTGGCTGCCACTCGATCATCATTCGAGGTCATCGGGCATCATCCCTACTCATGACGTGTCCTACACAAGCCCGCTTCCTTTTCCTGATAATTTCGTATAAAAACGCTCTGCAACGTCCTGCCACTTTATCTATCACATTGTGACAGAAAGTAATACTCTAGCAGCAATGTAGAGTCCTTTGTCAAGGCACTGTTGAATTAGGCCAGTTCAGTCATGGGAGTTGTTTGACCATACTTTACCATGCTGGCAAGCGTGGCTTGGTGAAATGGGGGGTGTACCCAGGACCATTAATATCATCACTCACCACTGTGTAAAATCTGTGGATAGGAATCAAACTCAGCTTGCCAGGTTCACAGCACAGTGGTGAAGCAATGCGGCACCACTCACTCGTTGGGCTTAATGTGAGGAATGGTACTCTTTGATGTTCACTCATTTGAAATTTGTTGAATATTCAACTGTCGTATTTTTACAATTCTCGATGGAGGCATGCTCAGTTGAAACTGCAAAATAGGAAGGAATAAAAATCATACAACTACATGGCTTCTGCAATGCTTTCCAGCGTGTGTTTTCCTCCAGAGAAATTAGCCATGATGACGTTACGTTCCAAGTCACACAATGAGATGACGTAACACGGTGCATGATACGTGACCTCATTGCCTTGGTCGATGCAATAGATATCCTACGAGCTCTGGTTTTAAATCACCACATTTTTGGCAATCATTTGATTAATTTGGACAGTATACTCTAATAGTAACACAACCTTACGCTAACATTTTGTTCATAATGGATCATCTTTACCAGAGGTCTCACGAACCCCGCACTACAGACGGACACAAGAACAAAGCTAATGCATTAAGACTTTTGGATTCCTCTAGTATAAATACATATTCAGATTCTGACTTTCAAAACTAAACTATTAAACTAAATTTTTATTTTACCAGGTCAGGGCCACTGAGCTATACAGCTCTTTTTCAGAAGCGACCTGGCCACAAATGATAGTTCATGTAGAAACTTATATCAGCCAAATACTCTAAATGCACATTTCTGAATGTGGAGGGGAAAAAACGGGAGCACCCGGATAAAAATCCATGTGACCACGGGGATAAAATGCAAACTACAAATATGCAGCAGGTGTCAAGGTCAGGATCAAACCCACGGTCTCCCTGCATACCAGGCGAGGCGAATAACATCTCGGCATTGCGGGGGGCAACCCCAGTTGGCGTATATATAAAAAAAAATCACGATTCAAAGCAATATCCCCGCTTTTCCAGAGAAGCCTCACCAGAAGGTGAGTCTCCTTGATGACGCAGAGCTGACGAGACCACTGCCCAAAGCGTTTCTTGCGCAACAGGAAGGCGCAGATGCGGCTGTCCTTCACCAGGTTCATGGAGGCCTCCTCAGAGGGCCACTGCCGAGTCAGTGTCTCTCCTTTGCCGTCCTCCTCCTCGTCGTCATACGACTCGTAGGAGCTGCTCGCCACGTCCGAGTCATGGTCTAGGGAAAACCGCATCCACCATTTTTTTTTTTTTTACGTGGCATAGGCAGAGTTTGCCCACTTTTTGCCGGTGGAACAAACCAAGACAAAATGATGGAAAGGAGAATATTTCACAAGACCAAAAGAGAGGAGAGCTAATTGCAAATGCATTGTCTTGAGTTGTGTATTATTATTATGTTTATCATTCAAGAATGTTTAATGTCCTGAGAAAACTAACATATGTGCAAGGACAATTATCCCAAAAAGAGGATGATCCTGGGAAACCCAGGACATGTGGCAACTCTAAGCATAGGTGGGCTTATTTATCAAGCAATTTTCACATCTCTCTCTCTCCAACCACATATTTACCACTAATGTAAAGCCGGGTGGTAACCCAGTCTCACGTGTGTTGTGGTCCGATTGAAGCATGGTGTGCACAGCTGCAATCCTAATTATCGTCATTTCCTCCAGGGTACAATTAGCACGCATCACTCGCTAATGAAGAATGATGATCATGGCGGCAGCTGCTTATAGCAGTGAATGGCAACAGCCAGTCTGGGCCTTTATCTCACACTGGAACGGTGCCAATTTGAAAGGTACAAACCATGTATTAATCATTACACCTAACATGGTTCAATTTTAGGTTCACAATATGCTCAAATATGGGCTGTATGATGAAATGTTATCATTTTTAACGCATACAGGCATTGTGGGGGAGGGGGGTGGGGGCAGAGAGCAACGTGAGAAGTTTGTAACTTTTGAAATGACAATTCTGGAGGACAGAACCAAGAAGGTCGGGGGGGGGGGGGGGGGGGGGGGGGTGTAAGGCGTTATTGCAGAGCGCATCTCTAAACCGACGTGAATATTCCACAAATAACTACGGGCATCTACACACGCGTTCATTTGTGTGCAGGGGGGGAGGGTGGGGGGCAACATAGGCTTCTCTGCATACACACAGGTGCAAGCCATGATTATGGCCAAATTAAATATTCTCAAGGGTTTATTTTAGCTAAGGGGGGGGGGGGGGGGGGGGGCTGTTAGTGGAGAGGAGATCCTCGTACTTTTGGGGTGACAGCTGTTTTCCAGCACCTGCCGCTCGTCCGCCTCTTCGTAGAACGCATCCTGAACAGGCCCCGTGCTTATTCCGTTGCTGTCTGCGAGTCAATAAGAGCGGGCAGCAGGCACAATTCGACTTCAACGCTTCTTAATGCTCCGGGATAACGCACTGCCGGAACATTTTTCAGTCTTCATGTATTATGTTAATGGAAAAGAGCCAAAGTTGGCTGGGATCATTGAAACATGTGGTCTTGGGAGAACTCTACTGTTAAGTGTATTCTAACGCTGCGAAAGCTGTGTATGCCGATAAATAAGACAGAACCTGGGGGCTTTAATTCTACGAAAAGCATAAAGCCAGACCGAGCATTAAATAATATTTACATAACTTGCAATACGTTTTCGCTGAGGAATCCACAGGCTACTTATTATATATGAACCATAGCATGTCACCGAAAACTATGGAAATGCATGTTCCTATTTAATGAGTCACATGAGAGGACCAAACATTTGCCTTTGACCTGTCGGGCACATTTTAAAAGCACCGCAGAAAAACGGCCTCATTTTTTTGCACGGCGATTTGAAAACATACTAAAATCTAATCAAAATCAGAAAGAATGTGATCTTAAAATCAAACAAATGAGATACGTTAAGATATTTCCAAACAAAATCAGTGACTGCACTCTCACATAAGATATTTAAAGTGTGAATACTCACAGGCTCCCAACTGTTATTCCATCGCTTTATAAACATTAATATTTTTCTTCCTCATATTCTAACGTGTTTTTTTCAAAAGGCCGTTCAAATTTAACACGAGTCACAAGGGAGTGATCTCTGAAGGCAATTCTTCTACATTATTTACTTGTATTTCATTAGTGTGTTGCACTGGATGCCACAAGCGTACTTACTCATGTACATGGTGTATTGAGGAGCCCGACTTGGGGTCAAAGGGTCAGCCACTTCATAAGCATCATTTGCCCCAGCAGACAGACTGGCCCCCTCCTCTGCCTGCAAACCCCGAGACATTACATCATTGTGTGTGGGTCAGCACGCCAGTCTGTGTGACAAACTATTCTGTGGTGAAAGAAAACCTAAGTCTTATTTACATTTTTTCTGTAAATGCTTCAAGCGTTCATTCTGTAACTTGCACTATACCTGCATAAATGACCTTAAAGCAGCGAAAACCAAGTTCAACTTTGCCAGTTTGAAAGGGGACGTATTTATTTTGAATAAGGAATGTTTGCTTTTAAATAATTAATCTCAATGTAACGTCAGAAGCACAAGCAACAATGTTGTAAAACATTCCCCATGGTTGTTTAAAGCGAATTAACTCGTACGCTCAACTAATGTCCTTGAACATACACGAAACATTTCGTGCGCATTCTATCAATTAATTTCAAGTTTCACTGGTTGTAAAGTTTTATCCTGTTACAGGTGCTGATAGAGTTCAGCAGGCACATTGTATTTGTAAGGGACCGTAAGGACATAGGAATGTTGTAGACGATGATGGCCAAATGGACACAGCGAGTCATCTTTCAGTGAACACCGGTGATTTATATCAGCCAAGGGAGAGAAGTTACCGCAGCACCCCCCCCTTCAATTTTGTGTTCAGGGTCAAAAGGAAACACAGACGCACAGTAAAGACCACTCCTGAGACCCTCCACAGGGGGTTAGCCGCAATTGACAAGTGGCGCTGCGCGCCATAGGTTGAGCATTCCTGAGTCTGGCTGCCTCTTCTCAAAGGTGACGGTGCATGTCAGGTTTTGGAGTGCTATAGGCCATGAAAACGGCTGTGATGTTTCTGCAACTCTTTCAGATAGCAGGATTCCATGCCGCCTGATTTTAAGCAGCCCTCTGCAAACGACGGGATCCTCAAAGTCTTTGTAATCAAACTGTTAATTTAAGTTTACACTTTAGGATGTATCATTGTCACATTGTACAGAGCTCTTGAGCATTTCCGAATGGATCTTACAATGACAGCGTGTTATCTCATGCTATTGGTACTTAGTAGGTATGCAGCAAATTCACTTCCCCAGAAAAGTGTCATGGTTCAGCACCAAGATTCAATTCAGAGAAACATTATTTCACGTACATATATATTTTAACCTCTCTTTCGTATTATTTCAAACAAAAAAAATTGTCATGCAAGAATTTGTCCGCTCCATCAACCTAAATGAAACACAAGCGCATCATCAGCAAATAACTTTAATCATTTGTAATGAAAATATTCTTAAATGCACAAATTGCACTTGTTTTAAACACAGGAATCGCTTTTAATCAAATAATTTATGCACTGATACATGCCAAGCACCGATCGGAAAACCGATGTACTGTACGGATTTCTACATCCGCCGATATGACTTGCGCTCACGGCCGCTTTGTCAATACGCTGCTGGAGAGAGGCTTCCCCCCGCCGTGCCGTATTCGTCGTGAGGTTTGTTTCACCGTACTGCTCGTCACTGCAGGTTGGTGAAGAGTGGCCAAGGGTCAGTTCAGATATCACTCTCCACTGACGTTAGCCATTCCAGCCCACCCAGGCACTTTCAAGTACACTCAGAAAAAAAACTCTTTAAGAGCACCCCCTGTGCACCTCAGGAATTGATATACTTTTGCAATGTGTGCTTGTTTACACGTGTATATATATTTTAGTGACTTACTTACATTTCCTATACTTTGCACTCCTATGGGTTTTTGCATTGTTGTTGTAACCTTTCTGACCTACCCCTGCTGTACATCTGTGAAAAAGAGCTTCATAGGCTCATCGGATTCCACCAGGATAAATAAATATTCTCATTCTGTTCAATCGCTGGCCAATCTCACGTCCCCCACTTGCCATGCATTACTGGTCTCCAGAATTGAGGACTTTGCATTAGAACTTCCCAAGGTGTTGCACAGCAACCAATGGTGAAATTTTCTAACATGGAATACAATGAAACCCAAAAAGGCTATTTTAGCAAGTGTGTCAGCTGAGGTGGTCATTGATTTACCACTTCCAGAATAACGTTGCATAAAAGAAAATGGACCACATTTCAACACATACCTTTAGTATTAACTGCGGTTATAAAATAAAAGTGCACTTAATTGCACCTGACCTTGAATTAGGCTAGGGTCTGCGCCAAAAACAATTCTGAGTTACAGATCGGGTAGCGCTGTTTGAGTCTCTGTCGGCATCTGGTGCCGCTCCAGGCTCGTTCGAGCGTTTGTATTTGCAGTTTCACAGCAGTGAACTTTTAACTGCAGCAGCAGCAGCAGCTGCCGTTGGTCTGCAATGTGACTCACTCTGCATGTTCTACATCTGTTCGTTCTCAGCCCAATATGTACGTATAGAATCTCAACCACAAAGACAGCCATAATCAATCTCATCTATCCGATTCTCCTGAATATTACGCGGGTTTTTTCCCCCTTGTATTTTAAAGTAAAAGCTGGGGAATACTTCTCATAATTCAGTCGGTAGGTATGTGCGTGTGGACATATTTGTATAAATTTATTGATGCCGGACACAAGTTTATGTTGAACTTATTTCGCACCATACATAACCAACCGTGATAATCAGAGGAAGGACAACAAACTAAACACAAAAAGCAGTTCTAAAGAAATTAGTTCTCAATCTAGATTTATAAGTGCATATCACCAGTGGCTTCCTAATATCAGAATGAAGAGCGTTCCAGACGGCCGCAGATTCGTATCTGAAAGCGCACAATGCAGTAACTGTCTTTGATCGAATGGTTCGCCAAAAGCTGCTGCGAGGATGACTGGACTTTGCATGATGGTTTACGCTCCTTGATGAGATCCGCAAGTTGTGCTTCCTTTTTTCTTCAATAACATTGACGATTATTTACAAGAGCAATTCACCATAGTGCAAGTGTGCACATACGAATATATTCATATGGCAGTACTCATTCCACCTTTATAGACCACATTTTACTGAGTCATAATTAATCCTAGCTGCCTGAAGTTTCAAAGAGATTGTAAAAAAAAAAATGCTGGACCATAGCCAAATATAGCACTGCAGCTGTTCTACATAAGAAACATGCGGAGACTTTCACTCCCACGGGCAATTACCGGCACGACCAGCTCTATTTATAAATCAAAGTCTACTTAAATAAACAAATATTTTTAACGAGTCATAATAGCATCAACAAATTGTTAAAACATTTTTTGTTGCATTCAACAAAGTGATGTGTTCGTACAAGCTGCACAACGATATCACCAATAAAGTAAAGGTAACGCAATTGCTTGCTCACGCTACTCCTGGTGAAAGGGGATTCCCGTAGAGAACTCCTTTGGATGATATTTGACCTCCTGTTCGATGCTGGCCAGAAGACTTTGAAGCTTTTAGAGGGAATACCTACACTTTACTCCACCACGTGCAATCTGCCAGTCGACACACTCTGGTAAACTCAATATTTCTGGGTAAACAAAGGCAGGGGAAATTTCGATTTAAAGCTTTCGTGACTGCAAGGATTCATCTTCTTTGGTTCTTTCGGTAAGGTCACGTAGAATGAGAATAAAATAATAAAATAACACAATAAAATTCTCACGACGTTTCGGCCACAACGCAAGCGGCCGTCTTCAGGTGAAAGGTACAGACCTGTCGACAGACCTGTCGACAGACCTGTCGTCCCGACAGGTCTGTACCTTTCACCTGAAGACGGCCGCTTGCGTTGTGGCCGAAACGTCGTGAGAATTTTATTGTGTTATTTTATTATTTTATTTTCATTCTACGTGACCTTACCGAAAGAACCAAAGAAGAAAAAGGCAGGGGAGTTTAAGAAACTTGCCCATTGTTTCAACGATCACGGCAGGAGATGGAATTGAACCAGTGACCTCTGGATTGCAAGTCCATTACACCACAGCAGCATCCTATATCAGTGATAAAAAATAATGAAATACAAAACGGGGTTCTCTGATTGTCAGTTCGTTAGTGTAACAAAGAGTCAACTTTTCTATGTAAATCACTCAAAATATATCATGTTACGTGCATATCTTTATATACATTTCAGGAAACAATTTGCTGACACACACAGTTGAAATATTTTGTTTGATCTGAATGAACTCTTAGAGTGTTGAAGGAGAAAGAATGAAAACCTGCAACAGAATACAGCTAAAAATAAATTGCTCTTAGAGAACCGAGTTAAAAAATGTAGGTCGTTTTATAAATTTGGAAATTTAAGCGCCACGACATTCTCAATAGAGCTCTGTTCGGGGCTACCAGATCGCGTCTGAATATGCTATTGTGAGCTCCATATTCCTATGCAATTAGTTCTGTGCCTGCTATGAAAAGAGGCACAGTTCATGCCAACCACTGGGTTTCCATGAAAGGAATATGGAATTCATCACGAGTGATCATTTGCACAAAACCCTACATACAGAACCCAAAACACTTTTTTGGCTGGAATCGATCAAAGAATCAAAGAATGGCGGCCCTACTTTATTTCAGCTTCGCTCTATGGCAGCCAGCAATGGAAACTAAACAAATCTCCACCATCTACAGTGACGAAAGATGCTCAAGCCCATCTTGTCGTTATCGCTCTGCGCGCTGACATGTGTATTTTGAGACACCGACCGGCATTTAACCCCCTCAATGCACAATTCACTTTTGTGAGTGAAGAGGCTTTTGGAGGCCGGCCAGCTTTCTCTCCCACAGAAAGCTGCCGGGAGGACTTGCCGAGGGGACACAGGGAAGCTTGTGCTGCCCCAAATGCTTTATGTGTGCACATGGCTACTGGAATTTATTTTGGAGCGACTGAGCTATAATATGAGAATAGGTTTTACCCTTTTTTCTGGCAAAAAAACAGATGTTAAGATTTTGATTTAAAGCTTTCGTGACTGCAGTAATTCATATTCTTAGTTTTTTTGGTAAAGTCACGTGACTTTACCGAAAAAACTAAGAATAGGTGTTAAGATGTTAAAACACCAAACTGAAACCTTTTACAAGGAATCATGTCTGCATTAACCACAATACTTGTGGTCAGAATGCAAACAAAAAACGTAGTCTGATAATATATTTTGGTACTGGCAAAGGAGGTCCCATGATGAACTATAATATATTGAGATTTAAAGCCTTTTCCTTATATACTAACTACCCAGAGAGCTTTGAACGATTAAATAACCGTTACTTTTAAATAATTTCTTGAAAACAATGTAAGGTCAGGGGCATATAATAATTCATTCTTTGTTTAATGTTACAATATTCATTCTATAAATGCTGAAATAATAAATTACATTTTAATGTGTGCGTTTGTAAAATGATACTACACAATGACAAAAAAATATTTTTTAGAAAACCATAACCGGAGCTTGTACTGTACTCAATAATGAATGTGCGAATCATCACTACAGGATTTTTACTTTTTTTTACATTTCAGTTTCACCTGAATAATTTGGTCACATACGAGCCACCGGTGAGTGAACACATGACCAGCAGTGAGGCACTGCGATCATTATAAACAGCAATGTTTCGGATGAAGCTAAAATACTTTTTAAAAACTCAGGTTACTTTTAGGACCAAAATAACACCGTTAAACAACAAGCAAACAACATTTACCTGGAAGTACCATTGTCCTGTGACAATCTTGCCTTCTTAGGTTAGGGTTACCAAGAAAATAGCAGCATTTGTAATCCTTAAAGTGTTCTCTTACCTCACCAGCAAAGCAATATAGCAAATGCCCTATTGCTCTAGAAACTAATAAGGGAACCTGCCGATTACACGATGAATTTCGAAACCAGGCCAGAATTTTCTTTCGCTGAAATTGTGCACTTCCAGAAGGCAGTGTGGCTGATGGAATAGGTAAGATTTACTTTACTTCATGTAGAGGGACGATTATGTGAAGGAAGCACGTTTTTTATTGATTTAAAGCTTTCGTGACTGCAGGGATTCATATTTTATTATTTCCCTTCTACGTGACTTTACCGAAAGAACCAAGAATATGAAGCACATTTTGTCTTTATTTATTTTATTGCTCTACAAGCTCATGTTCTCATCGTGATAATGGGTGCCTTTTGCAATCGCACAAAGATCACACCTGACTAATCTACTCCTGATCTTGTGACCACACCTCTGCAAAGGCTAGTCTTGTTGTAGAACAATGCTGGCCAATTCAGCCACACAACATTTGACATTGTCTCGCAAAATACACATCTTGCCAAATGTGTTGCTGCACGTAGTTCCCATGTTTTATTTTCATATGTTACATGTAACCTCAGACTCAGACCTGAGCAATGTGTGAAGTAATCCATATAATGTAGCCAATGGCATACAACATTATTTAAAAAAAAAACTTTCCGCATATTCCGAGCAGAAGCTTATTCGCGTTAAAAGTGAGCACACCCCATTTTGGCTTTAAAATGTGGGTGTGGCGAGGAGCGGTTTGCTTGGAAAGGTGCCAATGTGTTTGCCTCAGGTAGTTTCTTTAGCACAATTGGTAAAACTATATCACCGTCTGGAAATGTACAGCCAGTCCCATGATTAGAGCATTCAGTCGGGCAAAGTAAAGACTGCATGCGCAATCAGTTAGGAGCTACAGGGAACACAGACAGTCATCGATAAGTGCCTGATTTTGCTACAGAGTATGATTACGTTTTGGCTATAAACCAGACACTGACATATCGAGCGCTTGTACTGTTAAGAAAGAATGAATGGGAACAAAATGCCCATCCCTTGTCCCAACATCACAATCCTCCATGGCTCTCAAATGCGTTATTCAGCTGTTTAAAAAAAAAAACCAAGGATACCCTAAACCTGCCAGACAGTGGTTAATCACCTGCACCGTTGTGAAGCTTGGTGTGCTTTATTCAGTACTGACAACTTTCACCGATTTCCAGCGAGAAATGTCTTGAAACCCAAACAATAAACAGAACTTGTTTATGTAACATTAAGTAAATAAAATGACATAACACAATTCTAGGTAATACCTCGCTCAAGATAAAGGCACTGCCAGTACCATCATAACAAATAACATTTATATAAAAAAAAACCTCTTGGAACCTGTTCTGAGGCCCTCTGTGGGGTTATAGTTTTGACTTGCAAGCGAGAAATGTGGGAGAAATTCAAGGCAGGTGTTGTTTTCTGCATTGACTCACCAGCAGTAGAGGCAGTGGGATCTCTGGCAGCGGGATCTGAGGTCTGGCCGGAGCGCGGGATGCTTCTGATTTGTGAACGGTGGGCCGCCAGCAGTGTTCTGTGCAGAGGGGAGCCCATGGGGATGGGGTCTCTTAGAAAAACCCACCGCTGTGACACTTGTGCCTCCTTTCCACTGCACAACCGAGCCATGCTGGTGCCATGCCGAGCCGGCCCTGCGAAGCATGGTTTATAATCCGAGTCGCGCCGCTGATGTTGCATATGAAGGATTCGGTAATGCCGTGCCATCAAAGTGTACTGACCGACGTCACGCTAAATTTATATATGGTGAACCTCTTTTGCACGATACGTAGCAAACCGTGCTAATTATCGGAGGTATGGGGAAGTATAAAAATGTCTAAATTTCCCCAACCCTGGTCCTACATGGCCAACATCCAAATTCAGATGTCTCGTGATACCAGCGTATCATGGTTTGGTTGTGTGGCTCGGCATGGCAAAAAGCTGGTGGAAAAGAGCCCATACCTTGGGGCCCCCAGTCTTGTATGGCATGGATGTGCCAGTGGAAAAAAAGGGTATTGCCGTCATAATGGTGAATGCTTGCAAATGCTCAACATTTAAAAAAAAAGCATCACTGGCTCAATAAAAATCTAAAGCAATAGAAAGTCACCTACAACAAGTGCACGAAACAAGTGGTGATATCTGTCGGAGGGACGCAACTGTAAAACACAGCAAAATGTATACTGTATAGAGACAACTATTGCATATAGACCAAGTTCAATATTATGAAATATAGAGGTGGATGACAGCAGGCTAAGTGTGTGCTCTTGAAAATCTGAGCTGGATAATGAAAAGTAGCAGAGCAATGTGCCTAAAGAAGATAGGTTTTTTTTTTAAATCTGAGTGTATTACCCAGTATGCAACTATGACATGGATGAGAAAAAAAGAGGCATGCAGAGGTATTTGCTTGGAATTATATTGAGAAACTAAATTAGGAGCGCATAGATTAGAGAACATACTACTGGACTGACCGACCCTGACTGGACATCTGTGAAATAGAGCTTTTTAGCTCAACGGATTCCTCCAGTATAAATAAAGATTCTGATGTTTGAGACTAATCGACCGTAAAGAAAATGGGGGCTTGGGCAGAACACGTCGTTAAAAAGAGATGATGACCAGTGGTCAAGACTAATAATGGTGTGACAGCCAAAGGAGAGAAACTTGCCCAGGCGAACGTCCACCGTGGAGATGGAGTTATTAAGTCAGCTTGTGTGCAGATGGTCGATGCACTGTTACGTCGCAGGATCATGAGAGAGGGTGACAGCTTGAGCAAGCCATCATGAAGCAGTAGGTTGGTCATGGCTAATGTTGATGATGTAGAGTTAGGCGTGTTTAATTAACCAGTTATTAGGCATATAGCAATCCCTTGATTATTTAAGAATTCTTAAGTTTACAACACTTGCGTCAAATCCTTTGTGCAAAAAATGAGCACATGATTTTTACTAATTTATGCTGTATACATTGAGTTCGTGTATGTAAGTTGAACTTCTTCCGCACCGTGCATAGCAAACTATGCTAACCGGAGGCAGAAAACAACAAACTAAACACCCCCGCAGCCAAAAGAGGCAGAATATTCACCTCCAAAAACAGAAAAATAAAATATTATATGATCGAATCGCGACCATTGAAATGTGACAATTCATTGAAATGCAAGGGGAGAAGAACATCATTACGTGCCTCACAAGTAGTACAATGCAATGTTGATTTAAACAATGCAGAGAAAGTGGGTGTATTCATATTATAGAGAAACGCCATTGGTCATACATACGCAGAGGGAAAGAACAAGTGATTTTTTGTTATTTTATTTTTACCTACATGACTTTACCGAATAGAACCAAAGAGTATGAACAAGTTGTTTAGCATAGCTTTGGATAAAGGCAAAGTCAACTGTGGATGTGTGTGGATACATTGTGACCAGGGTGAAGAATGTCAACATCAGATACAACGGTGGCACAAAGTTTCACTTTACTATATATAGCATTAGCGTGGCAAATACACGCAATGCCGCATTGTATTTACACGCAATATGCGGTAAGTTTATACTCTAACATCTGTTTGTAATTTGTTTCCGCTGAATACTTAACGATGGCATGCTGAACTGCAAATTACACAACAAAAAATCCCACACAGGTCAACTTGGACGTACGGAAACACACTGATGTAAACATGACGAAACTGGGCACAAGACATATGCATACACAATGCTTAGAAAAGACAATGGATACCTGTACTAAATGACCGCGTGTTAATTCGACAACAATGGTTAAGTATTGCTTCAAATGAAATTATTCCAAGACAGGCCATAGCAATTAAGGTTTAGACCGTTAGTGGTTACACGAGAGCCTTATAGATCTGGGCACATACCAAGAACTTGCCATAAGCTCGTTCCGTTTCTAGAAAGGCCATAGCTCATGTAAATGTACTCTTTGTCCTCCACTGTGGAGAGAGCAAGGGATTAAATGAGTGCAAACATCTGCGAGTTTTGCTTTATACACCAGGCGTCAAACTTAAAACAGGAGCAGCAGAGATAATTCCGCAAATTGAGAAACATTTTTTTTTAGGAAGTAAAACATTATAACTATGAATTTAAAAAGTATATAATTCTATAACTTTATTTATATCGCTCTCTCTCTCTCTTTATATTTGTACATAAGAGAATGCTTAAGTTAAATTTGTTAATATCACACATTAAATACACTCATTCTCTTTGTTTTTTTTTTCGGTAAAGTTACGTAGGTAAAATAATGAAAACAACTAAATTAAATCACGACGTTTCGGAGGCAACACAACCTTCCGTCTTCAGGTGGAAACCGTCACAGCAATTTTCCACCTGAAGACGGAAGCTTGTGTTGCCTCCGAAACGTCGTGATTTAATTGAGTTGTTTTCTTTTATTTTTTATTTCATGGATTTTTTTTACCTACGTGACTTTACCGAAAAAAACAAAGAGTATGAAATCCTTGCAGTCACGAAAGCTTCAAATCTAGAATACACTCATTGTTTACAAGTTAGCTTGATGACACGCATATGTTAGACAGATACGAGGGGTGTGACAATGCATTGATTCATATCAATTCTTAATGCTTGCGATGTTTGTTTAATTTTTGGCCATACATACTTCGCTGATGTGACAAATGTAGCCACTGGAGGCGCAACTATGCATCGCGATGTTGAAACCACATTTTTATATAAATTGCAATAATTAATTATTTTTCGCAGTGAGTGGCAGAGGGTAAATCATCACACCTGTAATATGTCATGCTATGAGATGCTCGTGAGGTATACTTATGTTTGTTCAGTGCAAATGTTAAATACTTATAAAATAAAGACTAACTTGATGTCACAAAGCATCATCAGAAAGGCAAATAGAAATTATCCATCAATATTGTACTTAAAATATATTTGTAATGACAAATTTAATAGGATATAGTTTTATATGCAAAAAATATAGCATACTCATGTGCTCTGTAAAAGTTTGAAACATTAAGCTAACACCGAATTAATAACTTAAATTATCTGTTTTTTTCATAATGAAATGAGCCACAATGGGCCCAACTTGCCAGTGTAGTAAACGGATAACAATACATTTCTGTGGATACGTTGGCTTTAATACAAAATGACAGCAAGTGTCCCATTAAAAACATTACTAAAGCAACAGTGGAATCCAGAGCAATACAAATTCCGCACACACTGCACTCTAGTCATATTGTAGAGTTAGCAGATTGCAGAGATTTTTCCTTCACCAAATTATTGTTTTAAAAGCAAAGGCAATGTTTTTGCAGGTGGGTACACTAATTTGGCAGTCACCCACACACACATATCCTCTTGGCTGCCATTTTACAAATCGTGTAAGTCTATAGTGGCCACTTATCTATCGTGCGTGTAGAATCTATCGGAAATGAGACCTTGTACGTTACCATCTGGAGGCTGCAGCTTGCTCATCAACGCCACCACGACTGTCTTCTTCTCCTTGGTAGCTCCGCTCAGATGCTCTTTGTCCAGCATTACCAGCAAGGATCTTATCTCTGGCAACAGTTCTTCCAGCACTGAAAAAAATAAACAACGTGATGTAAAGTCATTTAAGAAACGCAAAACCATGCTAAATAGCATATCTAACGCACATTGTTGTCTGGCCACAGAGTGCGTTCATGAAATTAAGGGGTCTCTCCTCAAGTAGTTGAACGCAAGCTGTTTGTTCTTGCGTTTGCCGGGTAGAGAATTCCATGCGACAGGCCCCCCCCCCTCCCACCTCCTGAAAAGTGAGGTTGCTGTGCCTCTCTTTAAGTGTGGGTCGTGAGGTCACCGCGGACAGCAGCGGTGTTGTCGTTTCCGATTAGTTGCTGGCGACAGGCGTACACAGCAATGAGGTGTCATACCACGTAGACACTTATACATAGTCAGCCAGAGATCATTATTATTTCAAATGATGTGGAACCGGCAGCCAATCGTACACGCATGATATTCCGGAGTCCGTGATCGTATTGTCTCGTGCCAATGAGTAATCCGGCTGTTGCATTCAAGACAATGCCGATGATTGATTCAGCGTGTCCCAAAAGCGATTGGGGAATGGGAAAATATCGGCGTCGAAAATAATCCCAAGGCAAGGTGATTCTTACTCCAGTGAGCATTGAGGAAGTGCTCATCCCTCATGTACAGCCCTGAGCCAGTGGAGGAGATTCCACATCCCTGTTGACTTCCCCAGAAAGTGGCACTTATTTTATCGATTCCAGAGGGATGATGGGCTGAGTCATACCCCCCCCCCCCCCCCCCCCAATGAGGATATGAACTCGCCCTTTCCAATTGAATCGATTGGCGGTGACCCGGGTCACCATCGCGACCCGGGGATGCCAAAACCTCCATAACTCCGATACGCACGCCAAATATGGAAATAAAAAACACACGCAAAACACCCATAAAAAAGGGGGGCTGCTGGGGATTTGTGCGTGGCAATGGCTGTTTATCGCTTGTTTTGAAAGTACATCAGGATGCTGGTCTGGTCATTCCCGAGCACGTTCTGCTTCTTACGGGGGCAGCAACCCTTGTCTTTGAGAGCGAGACTACTTGGAGGCAATGGTGCACCAGGCGCTCTCTCGGTACGGGCGGCGGTCACGGTCGTGCTGGCGGGATCGACATCGTCGTCATCATCATCGCTCCCAGCGTCGCCCTCCGGCAGGACAGGGTGGTAGTACCAGCGATGCTCTCAGAAAAAAACCTTAAACTATACCCGGCCCACCAATATTTTGCGGTGACCCGGGCTACCGCCAATCGATTCAATTGTGAGCCAGTCACTCGGCGAGGGGAAAGCTTATGAATGAATGACGAAGTACAGCAACACATTTTATATTCATTTGAAATCCAAAACATCTCTTCATTCTTGACATATTTCACGAGCAACATATCAAACGAGGCTCTATGCTTCTCAGAGAAGCATTCGTGAAACTTCTCCAAACCCCTTGTTCCATCTTCTCTCAACACACCGTCAATTCCTTTCGCACAAAGTCCCTTGTTAACTGTATTTTCAAGGGCTCACAAATTCCCATCAGCAGCACAGGTTGGAGGTAAATCTTTCGGGGTGACTTAGAGCTACCACTTAGTCACACTACACAGACTCCACTGATGCGAAAACCAATCCTTAACTTCAAGTCCAGATTGAAAGGGGTGCTGTACATCCTCCACACAGGTTAGTCTATAGAAGTAAATACGCTGTTTAACAAAACATTCCAAATTGTATTGGTGGTGTGGCTGCGTTGTGATTGGCGCATTGATATCTAAAGCTGGCAACCTGAATTTGATTCCCGCTCATGGCTAAGGGCAGCGAGTGATACCTGAACCAGTCCTGGGCTGCACCCTCCCCAACCCCGCTTTACCAACCCTCATTTAACCAGTGCGCGGAGGTATGGTCAAACAACCCCCACAATCAAAGATGAATGGCTAGGCCTTCCTCCAGCAGTGGATTGATATAATATAACGGGCTGTACATTATTATCGTTATTCTAGTGCCAAAGCTTATACAGTAGAGAGGAGGAAAGCAATAGAAACAAATATGAACGTTTATGTGCATTTCAAATACGAGTTGACATATCGTGCGATTTTACGGATTGAATGAATCACTTTCCACGGCTATCCTATTGAAAGGATTGCTTGTTATTTTCTCGTAATGTGCAGCCGTGCTAAGGGAGGAGTGGGCGGTTGGAAAGGCAGGGGGGGGGGGTCTGGGAGGGAGAGAGGGAGCACTGTGTGTGTGTGTACTGGGGTCCACTGCTGCACAGGAAGGAAACCGCGGGCCCTCCGCCCAAAACGTAAACAAGACCTCCATTTAACAATAACCTTGAAAGTCTCCAACTCAATTCCGCAAAAATCTAGCATGCAAGGACGTATATCAACGTCGTCTTTTGACGAGCTTGACTGAAGACGAGGAACACACACACACATTGCACAAAAGGTATCTGCTTTGCAATAAATGGCTGGATGTTGAAAATCACGAAAGCAATCCTTTAATATATATTATTGCCGTGCTCAGCAAGTTTGCCCTGCCCGACGTAGCAAAGCAAAACAGAAGCTGACCTGCGGAGTTCCCATGAAGCACCCAGGGAAATAAACGTCACGAATGGGAAGTTCCACGATCTCGAAAATAAATTTCCGACACTTTAAAGATGTGCGTAATCATTAGCATAATCAGGATATGGATTGTTTTACTTGTGCATAGCATATCACCCGATTAGGATTGTAATTTCGATATAAATAATGTGCCCACCTTTATTGATAAGGGAGACATTTTCATAAAATACCACCGGTGTCTGGATGTATTTGGACCAATTGACTTTTTCACTCATACTGGTTCATTTAGGTGTGTGTAAGTGTCAAACTGTTACCTTATTCCACACATACGCTGCATTTTCTAAGACTATGCTGAATTAATACACCTTAAAAATTACATCCCATATGTATTATAAGTGTGGTTTTGAAATTTGCACTGTGAGAATTCCTACATTTCTTTTGTAACTGCCCCTGAAGTAGCAACTTCATAATGACCTAATATAGTTGTGTTTGTTAATCAGAAGCTGGAATGATAAACAAACAAATCTGGATAAGTCATTAGAGTAAAGTAATTTCTGTCCGTGCAATTAAAATGATGCATTTAATTTTATTATAACTTTAAAAGAGAAATCATGAAACACTTAAACCAATGTTTATTTAATCAAAACATAGTCCACTTAGTGAAAAGCACAAGGACTCAAAACTCAGGGTCCCCTTGAGTTTAGCCTGCACAGGATTTTGATTGTAAGGAGATAAGGAAATGTGGTCAACAGACTGTGCACTTTATAAGTACACCGATCTTTTTCCTCTCATAAAAATGTATCCCGGATTGATAACTGGATTTTTTGGGTATTTAATGCGCAATGATTTTAAATTGAACAATGATTTTCAACAGAATGCTCAATTTATTATATTAATTAGCAACGCTGCTTTAGTTCAACACAAAGCCTTCCTTATGAAAACCCGGTCGGCTAACTCATTTTGGTCTCTGCAAGTCGGTACCACTTTACCCCGGGTGAAACATGAGTTGGTGATCAAAGCTGCCTTTGGCGTTGCAGGAATTCTTCTTGAAATACGACAAATTGAGTGGGGAGGATCGCAGTTAAAAAGTACCCGCCGGGCCATGTCCAATGAGGTTATATACGGACAGTGTGTCAAGATCCTGGTGCACAAACACCAGAACAGGCCGCCGCTCAAACCAAGCCTGCGCTCTGCACAAGGCAAGAAACACTGAAATATGGTTATGAACCACTGATCACCATAGAAGCCACCAGGCTCGTAGTCTGTCTGGGAGGTCCATGCAGACCAGCTTTTTTTTTTCTCCCAGCACACGTAGACGCTTGGTTTTGTGTCGCAATTGTTTGAGTCACCATTTTCATGTTTCTTCATTTCCTCCTGGGTGATCACACTGCGTGTTAAATGGACCGCGGTGGGTTACTCGCTAATGGCCTGGGAAAGTTACATTGAGCCACACTGACAGGTAGATACCATATGATTAACACAATTAAGTTATATTTTGCAAACAAATGACTAAGTGCAGAATTGAGATGTTGCTATCTCCATAAACCTACGTATATAAAGATCAGCGGTGGAACGGTTAGTGCACTGCGCTATGAACCCAGTGAGTTAAGTTAAAATTATGGCCATGGCTGACATCAAGTGGTGAGTGATACCTGATCCGGTCCTGGGTTCCTCCTTTAGTAACTCACCGCGGTGGCGAGATATTAACTACATCGCATGGTATGCAGGAGGTAGTGATCCTGACGCCTGCTGTATATTTGGAGTGTGCATGTTTTTTCCTTGGCGCATGATTTTCTCGGGGTCCTCCAGTTTTTCCCTCCAGATTTAGAATCAACATGCGTTGAAAATATTTGTCTGCTCTACATTTCCACATGCTCAGCCACTTCGTTGAGTCATTATGTCGCCAGATTGCTTCTGAAAAAGAGCGATGTAGCTAAGCGGGCCTTACCTGGTCAAATAAATAAAAAAAGTTAGTTAGTAGTTAGTTCGTGGTGGAGAAAGGCAAATGATGGCCAACACGACATGGCAGGTTTTTTTTGGCAGAAGTAGATTGTCAATGGGCTACAAATTAAGTATTGTTCTTGTTGTTATGATTGTTATTGCACATATGTACAAGCATATCGAAACAAATTCTAGATTTGAAGCTTTCGTGACTGCAAGGATTCATACTCTTTGGTTTTATTCGGTAAAGTCACGTAGGTAAAACAAATTAAAATAAAAGAAACAATTAAAACACGACGTTTCGGAGGCAACGCAAGCTTCCGTCTTCAGGTGGGACCAGTCACAGCCAAAATCGCTGCACCAAGGTGGAAGCTTCCTGTCAGTGTGGCTCAATGTAACTTTCCCAGGCCATTAGCGAGTAACCCGCCGCGGTCCATTTAACACGCAGTGTGATCACCCAGGAGGAAATGAAGAAACATGAAAATGGTGACTCAAACAATTGCGACACAAAACCAAGCGTCTACGTGTGCTGGGAGAAAAAAAACTG